AGTGACAAGATGGCTTCCTTTTGTTCCTAGTACTGGTGCAATTGTCAAATACTACCTCAGCAAACACGAGTGTGATTGAGGCTGCCAGTGGCTTTGCCAAGAGGCATGCTTAGAGAATTGAATGGGATGTTACAGGAGGGGAAGACTGCAATGGCCCCTGGCATCACACAGGAGGATTTGGAAGGGAGGAGCTGAGAAGATGAGAAGACAGAAGATGAGTATTTTTCCAACTGATAAGGGGATTGAGGCTCTTCCGCTGGTATTTCTCACTGTACTTCTTGAACCTGCAAATTGCAGAACTGTCTCCAGGATGGGGAATAAGATGTGTCTGGACACAAGCTGGGTCTAGGGCTTTCGTTTAGGACTGCCTATCATACAGAGAGCCAAATCTGTCCTGTCAATACGTAGACAAATCCTTTACCTCAGCTCCTATGCTCCACTATAAATCACTGGGGTAGCAACAAAACCACTTTTCTTCTGGGACCAGTAGTTTCATAGGCAGGACTTTAGCTTGGAGCTGGTTTCTAGTTTGATTTCAGTGAAATACATCAAGATGACATGAAGTACACTCTTAACCTGGAAACTTTTCCCCATCGATAGTTATAAATACACCACGCTATTGTGCTTGGCATGCTGCATGCTAATAGAGGTGAGGGCTCTGAAACTCATTAGGAAAGGGAGCGGGCTGCAGAGCAGATTGAGGACAGTGTGAAGCTAAGGTTGATAACCATGGCCTTGTCCAGAATAGGCCATGGGAGTTTTCTTATCTCACTTTGGCAGGAGGTGCTGCTAGCTTCCTGTGCGAAATCAGGAGCATATGCTGCTTTCCTCTTGTTGTTTGGCTTCCTCTGCTACACAAGACGGTTCCCAGCACTGTGATTATCTTTGCATCTTCAAACATGGCACACTCTGCTTCCTCAAAGGCTTGATGTATTCTTGAGAAGCAAGCTAGCTCCCCTCCCCCAGGCCACTTCTCTAGGGCCCCCACCGGTGCCAGCTCCGCACATCACAGACCTTTAATAAAGCTGAACTTACTTCTGGTTGCATAAACCTCCCCCCAGCCCTTCCAAAGAAGTGTAAATTCCCAAAGCTAAGGGCAGTGAGTAGGTCTGCTGGCGGAGCTCGCCCTACGCTGCAGGCAGCTGGGCAGGCAGCACGTGCTGCTGGCTTCCCCCAGCACCAGCAGAGCTGTTCTCACCTCTCCTTCCCCCCGTGCTGGGCTTCTCTTGAAACCTGCAGGAGAGTTAACAGCTTCTGTTTTTACAAAGGAATAGCCTATTTCTCAGGCTCTCAACACAAAGGGTGAAGCATGCCTGTGTGTGCAGGTGTGTGTGTGCGTGCACACAGGCAACGCGCATGCGAGCACGCACGCAGGCACATGGAAAAAACTGCTTAGGGGATGAGAAATCCGACTGCTTTGCTTCTCCCAGTGCTCGACTAAGTAGAGTCCAATTACCTCGTTCTGAGATTGCATAATGTTTATAAACATACATTTGTACACGCCCCCTTAGCATTTATTATGTAGCATCTCTACACGTGCATAGTTGCACCCACAAAGTCGGAATGTGAAAGGATCTGCAGGGAAACAGGTGCTTTGAAATGTACTGGAAGATATTAGCTCATTTATCAATCTCTGTGCACACTGTGTGCTTTTTCATTAGCTTGGTGGTAACCCTGCTGTAAATTCTCCTGAAGATGCAAAGCAATGAGGCTCATCCCACAACACAACATTTCAGGAATTTATGTGCTCCGGAGATATCTGGAGTAAGATTGAGATATCCAAAATTCAGTGGGAGTTCCCTGAAAACACAGGCAGTTCTTGCCACAAATAGGATACGCTTGCTATTTTACTGAGTGGATAGTTTGAAGTAACTTGTAATTCTTTACAAAGCATAGAAATACGTAGCTGATGTTACCTGGGGATACATGCAATGAAACATCAATTGAATTAATGGGAAGATGATTGTGTATTTTGGTCCAAGCCAGAGTAAATTTTTATATTTTCATTTTTCTCTCTTTCCTTCCAAGCATCTGTACTGAACACAAACATTTGGTTTGATGACTACATCTAAGTTCAGTGGAGTCTTTTCTCTTTCTGTTACAAAACGCCTGCTGCTAGGAGCTGAAGTCAGGTTAGGAGCCAGGACTATCAATTACTGCCAGTTGTCCCTTCCCCATCCCTACCCGATGCTGCTGGCTTAAGCAGTGGCTTCACATGGCACCATTGGCAGCGGGAAGAGAAAGGATGACTGAGTACTAACCTGAGTAACCAGCTCAGGAGACTGGAGGTGGCTCGTGTTCTCTGTCCCTAAGCTGTGTTAGTGTATTTGAGGTTAAAGTGAGAGCATTTGGCAGCTGAGGAGAGAAAACATCTGGTTCTGCATCCAAAGGGATGAGTCTGAGTTTTGTCCTAGACTTTACCTGGCAGTCACGCTACAACTGATTTGTAACTGTTTGCTGATCCAGCAGACTGTGGAGCCGAAGTGGTGCATATGACAGTACTCACATCTCCTGCTGTGTACATGGGCTGTTGGATAATATATTTTCAGCTTGATTGTGACTCCTTTTTTATTAAAACCATGGACAACAGTTATTAAGTATAGTCAATTTTCTACTATAATTGCATCAATATTGTAATCAGCAGTTTGGAGATAGTATGGTGTGTGAAGTCAGTAGACTTCACATATGTGCCTCCAGGGCTAATATTTCATCTACTGTTTTACATGTGTTTTTCTTGTTATTGGAATGTTATTGTAATTATGATGGTGGTTTTTATTACAGTATTAATGAGTAATCAGCACCCCATTGTGCTAAGCACCAACAAAGACATAACACTGTCCTCAACCCTAAGATATTACAACCTAAATATATACAGTCTTTTTCAAGGAATTATGAGGAAAAGTACAATAATAACTAAGCCTGGAGGCTCCAGAGCTGCAAGAAAGGAGGTTGGAGATGCACAAGCACTTTCTGAATATGCATTGTACCTTCTTTCCATCCTCTACCAAAATATGTGTCTCTGTAAGGTCTTTTATAATAAAGAGCACAAATTTTCAGCATTGTAACAAAATAATATAAATTCATTCTGTAAGGAGAGATAGCGGCTTCCAACTGTTTGAAAGGATGAAAATTCAAAAAAGTATTTTTTAAGTATGGATGAAGTGAGATTTTGGGGTCCCCATCTTCTTATATAGAGATTTCCCTAATATCCAGTCATAACAATTTGCCTTTGATACTGCCTATTTGTGTTCCTACAGTATTGGTATCATGAAATAAGTTCTGACATCTGCTATGGCATGGAAATGTTATCAGCTTACCAACATTATTATGTCTTCTGTGTTCTAGTCTTGTTACAGAACCAGACTTCTTAAAGTATTAAATGTGCAAAGTAAATGGCATCTACCTTTCTGAACAATTTTTAACCAGTTTTCCCCTTCTGAATTCATCAACTGTCTTAATGCAACTGTCTTTCATCCACCCTAGCCTCAACAATCATGTATTAGAAGTTGGCTTTTAAACCAGAGTCTGGAAGATATGTTTGCATAGATAGGGCTTTCTTGTCATGTTATTGCTCCCCGTCCTCTCTCCATGCATGAATGACCATGGCCTGCTCCTGGTTTTTGGCTTTTTCAGCTCACTGAGCCTCCTAATGCATGCTAAGAAATTTGGGCAGACAATCATATATCTATGCTAATGATTACAGCCCAAGTTAGTTTACATATCATCGTTTCTTTAAGCTGTAATATCTGCTAAGACACTGACCAGTTTGACGCAAAGCTGCACAATTAAAAACAAGCATGTAAAGTTAGTGTACCATTGATATCATAAACAACACAAAGTTTAAGCAAACTGCACAGTTAGCTGAAGGGAAAGGAACCTCATTCTTTGGTCAGGATTGCATCACATGCTGTTATCCAGTCACTGGGCTTTAAAGATCATTTCTCCAAACAACTGATATACATGTCAGAACTATTTAATTACAGATACTACAGTTGTTATCTTTCAAATCCATGGAAGATCAAAGGAATATATCGTATTTGAAAGAGCTTGACCCTGCTGAAGGGTTAAGCTCTACTCTTGAAGCTGGAATTGAACAAGCAACAAGTAAATTTTGGATGAAAAGCAAAACTAGATATCCTCAAAGAAGAATAGGGACAGACAGCGTTTAAGAAGCATTCCAATGTGTTTATTTCCATGTGTACCAAATTAGGGTTTGGGAAACAAATTAGCTCTACCATGACCACACCTGAATGTTCTGATTAGAAGCCAATTTGTTGCATAAGGCAAAAACATTTTTCCCTGAGATTTCCATTCATTAACATGACTTTGATTTTTTTCAGATTAAATGAACATTTAAATCTTTTTGGCAATTAGGTATAGTTTTTTAACTTTGTTTTGCGAATTTGCAGGATTATGGTTATTTTTACTGTGTCTTGTAATCATTGAATCCCGTTAATTGATATTTTGTTATTTTGTAAACTGTACTGAAGAAAATATTCAGAAATGAGAACTTGCATCATTTTTTCATGATAACAAAAAGAACCTGCACATAGTGAAATGGCATCCAATACATTATGGAATGGATCTTGAAACAAATATAACTTGTCTTGAATTTAATGCTGAAAATAATACAGTCATGTTTGAAGCCAAGCCTGAACCATGACAATGGCTGAAAACAGGAACATTGAAAATGGGATGTTGGTCTTACACAGCCCTATAATTAAGGTCAGATTGTAAATTCTGACCTCCCAGTCCTCAGTGAGTTAAATGTTAACACTGACTCCAGAGAGCTAATATTCAAGGAGGGGCTGTGGAAGTGAATCCAATCATCAGGCTCCAAACCTCAAGATTTTATGAAAAGTAGCTATACTTGCCTGGTCATCACAGCACCTACAGTTTCCTTGCCTGATCACTGTTTCCAGAATAATTGTTTTGTCTTATGTGTTGAATGTTTCAGTCTATCACCAAATCAATAAATCTTCAATTTTTGTTGTCTTCAGGCATGGCTTTTGCTCTTATACTGAAGGATCTTTCCTCCTGAAAGCTGGCAGCAACATAGGAAACAGGATCCAGAGCATCACTGAGCGAACAGCTGTAATAGAGGGCAAAAATAAGGTATGATTCCTAGGAGCGGATAACCTGTCTGTGTGACAAAATGTGTTGAAAAGGCACTGTAAGATGCTATCAAGGCAACAATGAAGAAGCCAGTATTTTTTTACATATTGTTCAGATCTGAAGAGCTGCATATATGCAAATAACTTCCATACTTGGTATTTATCTGCTGAGATGTAGAGATGTACTTATTTCTGCATGCAGTCCTTATTAAGGTAAGTGACATGCCAGGAGAGTGTATCAGTGGAATTCACCATATCTGCTTTCTTAGAGCTGGTCTGTAGAATCCTGGGACACCTCAGGGGCAGGGTTCCAGGCCATCTTTGCTTCATTTTGTGACATTGCACAATTTCCTGTTGTTTTTTTTCCTATAAGAATTAAACAATTTACTCTCATTAGAGAGTTTGTTCACAGATGTGGTCCTAGATTATTAGATGACCAGGGGGTTTTTTTTTGCAATAAAAAAATGTGAACGGCCAAATGAATCCAGATTACAGAAGCAAAGTTTAAGAGGGATGTCAGTCAGAGACAGTATGGTAGGATTCATCCCAGCTGCATTAACTGTCTAAATGTTGTGTCTAGTCCAAGTCAAGCATCCCTTTATGGAGGGAGGTACAGGCACTTCTGAAGGACAAGTAGACCTGTCATCTGTTGGGGTCTAATGTGGGAAAGAACGCCAATGAGATTAACTTGCCAAGGGGCATGAAGATTCTCCATCAGTTAAACCTTCAAATCAAGCTGTTCTCCTAAAGGATGCCCTAGATCAACTGCACTTCTCTGGTTTAGACACGAAACTGATTTGGTGTGGTTGGGTAGCCTGCACTACTAGCTCAGGTGAAGATGCACAATGCCATGCCACTGTCACAGCACCTGGTTTCACAGACTAGTTTGGTTTGTGGCAGTAATGGCTGAAGAGATTATAAATTTTAAAGCCTACCTTATTCTAGGCCTGTCATTTCTAAGGACACTGAAATGCTTTTTGTAATTCTAAGGGCACCAGGGATATAGGTCTCCTTTCCTTGATGGCTGCCTTCAATCTTCTGCATGTGAAAATGGATATAAACTGTAATTACTCTCATGTTAGGGCCCTTTCACAGACTGCAGAATAAACAGAACTTTGTGTGCAGCCAAGAATCAGGCCTGGGACTGCATTTTCTCCTGCTGTTGTATTATTTAGAAAGTACCACAAGCATTCATGGTGCCGTTCCAGTGCATGGGAATGGCTGAATCTCAGTGAGGCATTTGTTCTATTTAGCTGACCAGCTCTACATGCTTAACGACTGAGGCACAGATGGGAGCAAACAGCTTCCCAGGGGAAACTATCATAGGAAAGCACATGAAAAATGAGACACAAGGAGGGATTTGAAGGTGGAAAGGGAAATCATTTCAGGCACAGGAACACACAGGCTATTCCAAAGGGGGAATGATGAACAAAAGATGATGAGAACCAGTTATTTTCCAGAAGGAATCTAGCCATGTTATGGTTGAAGTCTTACCTGCTCACAGGGTGCAGAAGGAGCTGTCTAATGACCAGACCTTATTCTCCTTGTGTGCCATGCATTTTGGAGACAGCGGAAGAGGAGTGGCTGAAATGTCAAAGCAACTTCTAGTCAACAGCAAATAAATTCCTCCCTGGAGGAAGGTGCTAATAATGGGTCCTTGCAGCAGAACTGCAGGTTTTGTTTGAAGTGTTTGGCAAGCAGCCCTTTTTTAAAAATGTGCCGAGAAATGAACCAAGGCATGGTCTCTGCATGTGTTACATGGAAAATTTTGCAGTGAAACTTAGTGGTTCTCCTTGGTATTCCCTGTCTTCACACTGTTACTTCATCTAAGAAAGGTCTACCTTGCATCACTTTATCCTCCTGGTCCTTATGGGGAAGGGGAGATTAGTGAAACAATCTCTTTGCTCCACTTTTTCACAGCTTTTCTAAGGTTTCTTCATTTCTGCCGCTCTTCCATAGCTTTTCAAGCACAGCTGGATTGCTATTCTAAGTAGAAAATGCTCTCTTAGCCTGGGTTCCTGGCCAAGCTGTGAGTTCCATAATTTGTGTGCACACAGCTGCTCTAGAGCATCCAGGATTTTTTTTTTTTTTTCCGTGGGAGTCTATAGCTTTTCACTTTTTGCAGTCCAAGAGTCATTCTTGGTCTCCCAGAACAAACTCAAAGGGACACAGTTCAGACAAAACCCTTCCTCATCTGCTGGGATATTGTAAGACTCTTAATAGCACTGAGCTCGCTGAATGCAGCACGTCATCACAAGTGTCTGGCTCCGATGGACTGCTACTGTGAGCAGTTCTGCTACTGCAAACAGCTATGAAGAGCTCTCCGAGGCACTTCCACATCAATGGAGTCCTGCTATCTAAACAGTGTCTATCCCACTTCCACATCCAAGCATAGCATGCATGGTAAAAACAATCTCAAAGCTCAATGGAAACAACAAAGACATAGGAGACAAAGCAGTAGGAAATGGATGAAGAAACTCAAAAATTTGCACATTTGAGTTAACATGAAAGGAGAAATGGGGGTGACCACCGGATGAGGTTGTTGTAATCCAGGGAAGAGATGAACAAGGAATGGTCAAAAGGTTTCTTTTAGCAATCAAGGTAGCTCTTTTCACCTTGCTTAAAGACGTTGTGCCAGTTCTGCCCATTTTCTTTATGTGCAGCATCTGAGTCCCTCCAGTGTGGCCTTTTGCTGTGGTAGGTTGATTGTTTGTTTGTTAGTCTGTGGTTATCCAGGTAGCCACAAGTATATTTTTAAAGTTAGAAAAACCTCAAACCCTGTGTCTGTACAGTTAAAGTAATGCAGGAAGCCTGTGCTACGTTATTTTTCTGGTGACAGAGAAACCGTGACAACAACAGTGTTTTAGTAACATTTCCGTTGAAGCCTCTCTAAATGGACATTGAGAAACTCGAGTGGTATAATGGAAGAACTTTGTAACATAAGCCATAATATTTAATCATAAGACAACTCTTGAAGTGATTTGATTCCCACACCCAAAGTTTTCATTCTCATTTTGTTGGACATTTCACTGACTTCCTACAAAGTTGGGCTATTCTTAGGCTTATCATGTAAACAGGTCACAGACACTCTCCTGTCATTCAGCTGCTAAAACCCATCACTTCTCAGTGTTCCCAGCTAGAGCTAACTGCTATGTATAACTCAGGTCTAATGATGATTATTATTATTCTTAGCATGATCAGTGTTCATTAAAATGTCAACCTGTAAATGATCTGCAGTAGAGGTACAAAGAGCTGGTGTATTCATTGGTATAAGTGCATACATATTTGGTATATATTCTCTCCTGTGTGTGCAGGCACACACTGGTTTATCAACAGCTTTGAAAGAAGGAGTCAATACTTCTTGTACAGGGGTGCAAGGGACATGGAGCTGCAGGGGAGGTGGACAAAGATCCTGGGCGTGGAGAATGCACAGAAGAGTGCTAAGATGGTGAGTTCAGATGAGAGAGAGTAGAAAGTGTTGGCCAAGAAGAAAGGATGATAAGTCCAAGGGAAGGAGACAGTAGAGAGGAAGACAATTAAGTACAGGGAAAAGTTGGAGGGAGTGGGACAAAACCCCCTTGGTTTTGGTGGAATAACCTACTAGAGCCACATTCTTGAGAACCTGAAATGGAACAGAAGGTCCCTGACTGCCCCATCCCTCTGCTGCCAGCAAATGTTGGTGTCCCACTGACAATAACAAGTACCATGAAATCTGGGTCTGTGTCACAATGCATGCCTCCAGGAATTGTGTATAAAGAATAGTAATGCAGGAAGATGTGGTTTATCATTCATATGTGTATATGTATGTATATATATATATATGTATGGCCTTGTTTCCCACTGCATAAATACCTTACTGACACAAGCTTTTAGTGGGCCCATCCCTTGTGAGTGACAAAGCCACTTGACTTCAGGGAAAATGGAAAGTAATGAGCTTGTAACAGGATTCTGCAAAGACCAAACCTAGGTTCGCCCATGTCCATCTCTGGTTTGGCTGGCAATGATGGGTCAACCTGACATGCTGATCGTGGGTAGTATTAAAAACTTTGACCATCCAACATAAAGGTGGACTGCTAGACAGTCAGAAGAGTCAGTCCTTCTTGGATATGACTGATAAGGTGTGACCATGCAAAACAGGACAGACCCATCTCTCCTGCATCTTCTATGCCAAGACCTAAACCTCTAGCTCTCTTCCATGTCCCCTCATTACTGATGAGAAGAGGAAGCATGTCTTGAGTCTGTTCTCAGTCCCTACACATGCCAGCTGTCTGGTCAGTACGTCTGTGCTGGCTGGCCACCTGGAACCCAAAGCAGAAGAGAAAGCCATGTAGCTCACAACAACACTCATTTTGATCTTTCTCCTCTACCCAGCAGCTGGTTTTCGTGCAGTGCATGAGATCTTATGAGCTTTGCATTGTCTGTCAGTTTTGGTTGAAACTGGGCAATGGGTTAAAAAATTACTGAGGGCATGGTGGGGGAGGAGAGGATACTGGCAGACAGATGGACAGGCTGGCAGACAGATGGACAGACAGACAATGTGATCTTCCTAGGAAGCCAGGCTAAAGATAGCAGTGGCAGCATAGCTTGCCTCTCTTTCAGCACGTTGTAACTTCTGGAGCCTTCCTGAGCGCTACTAGAATTGCTGTCAACACTTTTAAACAGATTGCTGGGAGGTGCCAGCTGAGTCGAGCCCTTGCTGAGATTAAAACCAGCAGAACTTGGCACCTGCCTCTGCCAAGCTGCAGCTCCCTCCAGCTCCTGAAATTGATCCCCTCCCTCGGTGCGAGGGGGGCGTGAACCAAGCACTGCCTCACTTTACCTGTGGCCCTGGGAAGGAGGGCAGAGGATGCCCATGGTACAACTGTCTGTAGCGTGATCTCCTTGCGAGTCAGCTGGATGCACTGAGTCTCGTGGCCTGTTTGAGCTGGACAACACATGATAAAGAGAGAAACTGCAGCTCTGCTTGCTAACAGCAGTGACTTGCCTGTCTGACCCAAGGAGGAAGGGGGTGCTCTCCTGTGTGTGTTCATGTCCTGCCATTGAAGATATTTTGGTGTTTCTTCTGTGGTGGTCCTGAAGTTGAAGCATGCTGTCCAGATGTCTTGCACTGATGCTCCTTGCCAACATGAGGCATGCAGATCATATGTCTTTGGCATGAGCAGAACAATCCAATGGTGTGCTGCCAATATTTCAACATGGGTCTTCCTAAATAATATTCCTTTAGCCAAAGATAAATCCAAGAGGGTGAGGAGAGCATATTTTAATTTCTTTCCTTTTTTTTTTAACAAATACATTTTCTTAAAAGCATAACTAGGAGGGAATCAACAATATTTGGCAGACTGCACCGTGCTGCTTAATGCTGAAAGGAGAGTATTTTGTTTTTTAAATGTATGGGCTGTTTTGAGAAGTTGGCACAGCAATCTCTGGATGGAGCATGTTTACGCCTGTGTCTGTGGAGGCCTTCTAGGAGTCAGGAAAGAGTCAAGTTACTAACCATTTTCTGAAACCTCCTCTTGCTTCTCTGCCACCAGCTGCAGCAGTAGGAATCCTCTATCTATCTAAGCTACTTTGAGACAAGAGAAATTCAAGCAGACCCTCCAGGGGAAAGACAGGCACACCCTGACTCCAAGCACAACGATCATGCCAGTGGCTTTGCACTCTCTTCCCCCCCCCCAGTCTTTTCCTCATCAGTTTCCACCATGAACAAATCTGTAAATTCCTTTGCCATCTCTCAGGATTTCTGCTTTATGCCTCTTTTATTTGCCAGCGGAAGCAGCAGCAGTGTGGGATTTACTTCCCTAGCCCTTGGCTCTGAGATGAGCCTGTAGTGTAGTGCTTCAGCTGAGGTGATGGGTGCAGAAAGGAGGAATAAAGGATCAAAGCTTTAGTGGTAAATGAGGTTTGTGGACAGATGATGCTCAAGACCCCAAGCATGCCAGGAAGGATTTGCCCTGTTCTGTCTGATCATGGCAACTGGATTCAGACTTTCTGTACATAACATGGTTGCAAATGCAGGGCCTGAAACTCTCTGTTGCGAATCCAGACAGTACAATGCTGCAAGAACTTTTTCTCCTACTCCTTTTGCAGCAATAGCTGTATAGAGGAACCATGTAGCACAGACTGACCTCAAACAGCCATAATTGCTCAATAAACAACAACATGCCAGCCTTAGTTTTGTACACACTCCTCTTCTGGTTGGTTTTGGCTGGCATCCATAATGCAGAACACAGACTGCACCACTGGAGGGCTCACAAACTGTTTAAAGAGATGTTATCTTATCCTTATAACTAATATATAAGCTAAAAGATTTATGCAGAGACATGTTGTCCCTAAAATATTCTGTTCTGTTGCAAAGTCAGTCTTGCTTTTTTCCTAGACACTATGGCTTTCTCTGCCTTAGTCGAGTAAACATACCAATGACTGCTGTCTGGCACTAAGGCCCGTGTTCATAACATTTATGTCCTCTACCCTCCAAAAGACGTTGGTTGCGTGGAAGTTGCCTGTTGGGAGTGATCTTTGGCCCGTGCTAGAGGAGTATTTGGGACAGCGCAAGTTGGTCAAAACCAAAACAATGCTGGGAAAAACATTCAGATTAAATTACTGAATTTCAGTGCTGAGGAATGTTCTCTAGGGTCATTTAATATGCAAGAAAAGGCATAATCTATAACCACTCCAGTCAGTAACTGTAGTCATACTGCTTAAGTGTAATTGTATGTGCAGTCCTCAATGTACTAAAAGTAATAATCACAACATAGTGGGCTGGAGCAGTAAAACTCAGATAGGGTGCACAATTTTTCATTAAGAACGAATACTTGGTAATGTCAGGGCAAAATAGTTTGATAGTACAAAAAGATTTCCAAACCATTGGAGTAACTGTGGGAGGAATAATTGACATGTATTTTTCAGGCTCAGAAATGCTCTGGTTCTGGGTGTAGTAGGATAAAGACAGGTGTCCTGGAGTCAGAAAGTAAGAGGTTCATTCTCCTTCACTGTGTATTTTAGGTCACTGTTCCTACCTGGGCAAAGTTGCTATGAGGTAATACCAGCTAGTGCAAAAAAGGCTAATTTTGTGATGGAAAGTCTGGGATGGCAGAAGCAGTTTTTAACCACCCATGCTAGCCATCTGGCAGATGTTATGGGACTTCCTTCTATTCTGCATTAGTGTTGATAAAACAGCTGCAAGAATCCTGCCATTGGGCCCTGTGTCCACACTTTACAAAATCATGTTTAAAAACTGGAAGGAATTCAAAGAGAATGACAAAATATAGACAGGGCTGGATCCATGCTTTGTAATTAGGAATTTGTAGAGGTCAGCCTACTGAATTTAGCAAAACAGGATGATTTTTTTTTAAGGTCTGTAATCATCTATCTGGTATTACTGAGCTTCCTTCATCACACAGAAGAGCTGAAAAGGTAGGTTAGAAAAATTCTAGCCAGAAATGAGATGCAGTTTGTTAGCAGACAGGTAGCTGACCATCAAGACAGCTTAACAGGGTAGAAGTGCTGTTAGCGTCACTTGTAGTCTTGAATTTGCCATAGGGCAGCTTTCTAAAACGAGTAAGCCCAAATGAAACAACTTGACTCCACTGTGTTTGCTCGAGTAGTAGGAAAGGTAATAGACTCTTTCTACTAAAGAATGTTTTGGGAAACCAGATGATCTATATTATTTAGGGGTTCAACAAGGAGTTTGGGCACAGCCGTGAACTCTCTGAGTAGGAGACATAGAAGCAGTGCAAATGTTCAGCCAGTGTTTATGTAGAAATGTAGATAACTGGTCCTTATTTATTACTGACTCACCCTCTTGTGCTTGTCTCTGGACTCCAGCAATCAGGCAGACTTAAAAGAATGTATTAATTGCACAAAATGATTTTGGAGTTTTTTAGAAAAGCCAAATAATTCCAAACAACAGGATTCTGCGGCCACACAATTTCCTCTCATCACTGTCCCAGCTCTGCCTGTAACTCCAGCCAATGCATGTTTTAGAGAAGAAGTAAAATGGAGACAGAAAGATAGAAAACTAAGCTACTAAGTTGTATCTGAGAGCACATCTCAGTCCCACTGCTGAGCTCCATGTGCATGCCCCATGTCTCAGCTGCATATCAGAATGACACCTCTGTTGTTTCTGCATAACTTTCTTCTTTCACTTAGTGCCCAAGCCATTAGACCATGGCTTTCCATCACCATGAAGGTATAAGTCTCATTAGTACAGTGGGTTTTATTTTTCTAAAGGCACATCAGGTGTTGTTGGTCCCTGGCCCTCCAGGGTCTCATCTTGCAAATCGTACCACTTTGTGAAAATATTTAGTGTGTTGAACCTTTTAAGATGGTGATAGAATACAATGTAAATAAACCCAACATATTATTATTTAATGATAGAAATATTAAGTCCAAGAAGAGGAAATATTCCAAAAAAAGGACAAGTAAACATCTCTTTTGCCCCTGTCCTTTTTCACCTGACACTTATTTGAGAAAATGAGAGAGAAATCAAATGCATTTATTGCCAAAAGGAGCTAATATTTTCCCAGCATTATCCGAGTGCCTGGGGCATTCCTCACCTGTTCCCTTTGCAGTCTGGCTGCCCTACAGGCTGCTCATCTCCTCGGGTGAACCATGTTGTGTCGCGCTTCATGTTTTTTATCATATCATTACATCAGCAGCAAAAGATACATCATTCAAAGATTTTTGGTTATGATGGTTCTGATAATATAAGGATCTTCCAAGGAGCTTGTTTTCCGTTATTCTTCCACCCTTTCCAAAACTGTATATGGTGACATCTCCTTTAAACAGTCCCAGTGGTGCCCATCACTGAACGTAATGGAGAGACTGAATCATGGGGCTGTCAACATTGACTTAGGAAAAAGAGAAGGGAAGCTTTAACCAAGTTTCTGATCCAAGGAGAGCTAAACCTCTTCTTTCTTTTGCAGACTGCTAGCACTCTCGTTGTAGCTGAAGCCAAATCTTCTGGAATCTACAGCTGTGTGGCATCCAATAAAGTGGGAAAAGCCAAAAGAAATGTCAGTTTTATTGTAACAGGTAAGAGCCAAACGTGTTTCCTGGTCCTGGGATTAGAACTGTTAGGCTGTTGTGGCTTTTTCATATACCACAGTTTGAGAATTGTTGTAATGTGTGCACCTGTAAACTCATACTGTGCTTTTGGGTGATCCTGGAAGGGTGTTTCACAGCAGCTGGTCTGGATTTCTAAGGACACCAAATTTGGTGAATGACTCAACCATCCATCAAGTATCCCACCATGACACAAATTGCTCACAAATATAGCAACCTGCAATTCCTCCTTTTAAATCACCTAGCCTCTGCAATCATTCCATAAGTGAAATTTTACCGTATTTTCATACACCAGCAGGCCAGTTTTATGTGTGACACTGACAGTGTCTACAGCCTCATCCTGCTGCCAACCAGATCTCACAACGTAGTGCCCAGAGCAATGCCAGAGTCTGCAGGCAGTGTGGTGCCAGAGGAGGGATGCCTGGAGTACCTGGGCAGCCTCTCACAGCTCTCAGGGACTATGGCAACTTGTAGGTAGAAAAGTGGCAAGGTATAAACTACAGAGTTTTGTTCCCTCTTCTGGGAAGGACAACCTTGGATGTCATTTGGGCCATGGCACTGAGAAGACTCATTGTGGTAGCTGCACATATGAGTATGTTTCCAGTTATTTTTCCACTACTAGGTGTATGCAAGTGTTTGCAGATTCAGAAATAAATGATTCAATATTTTATTTCAGAAATTCCCGAAAAAATCACAATGAGTTTTTGTAAATAACTACTGCGTGATTTAGCAGCATGATGTCTGCAGATGCCATAACAAAGGATTTATTTTCTGGTGAAAGATGTTATTTTGGTTTTGTTAACAAAGTGGTAGTTTATAGAGCACTTAGGCTGATGGCAACTTTCAGTGTAGGTCATTAAAGACATGCAACTCATTCCAAAATATGAGAAAAGACAAAAAGGTTAAAATATCCTGATACTTTAATCCCAAAATCATAATCTTGAAGTTGAAAGAGGAAAATAGTTTTAATGTATCCAGTTTAATTTTTGTTGTTTCTCTTACCTGTTTTTGTTGTCAGTCTCTCGCTTATCATTCTGATGAGTGATTTTAGTGAAACTCCTTCTGTTACTATACTGAGAGATATCAAAAGAGAGTAGACACACACTCATTAGATTTGGTTAAAAAAAAAGAAAGAAAACTTCCTTGAAGAATGTTCCCCCTTCCAATTTTGTGGACCAAAATTTACATTTTTTAAGTACTCTGACTAGCTGTAGTAATACACTTCCACATTTAGAAAGTGCCAATCATCTATAAATACGGAAAACTAGTAACAAGCATGAGAAGTAGCTATTGAAGTATAAACAGGTAAGTGACACATAGGCAGGTTGTTTGTTAAAATACAGAAACAAGAACATCATCTCCATGTTATGTTAATGGATGTGACAAGAACATTTGCCACCTTGAAGTTGATAGCTGTCCCTGCTCTCAAATCACAGTTTTGCTTTCGTCCCTATCCTTACATTGTGCCTGTTTGGACAGGAAGTTAAACAACGCGTAGTTCTCCGTAACATGACATGCCAATGGAGCTCTATTCTCATCTTTATGTGGGGACTTCACATGTAACTTTGAGCAGTCACTGAGAATCACTCACTGAGGCAGTTGCTCTTTTAATGTGCAAGATGCTGAATTGACCTCCTCTAGCTCTTAGTCCTCAGTCTTCAAAATGTCACGTGGAAGATCCTGAAACCAAAGGAAGATGAAGTTTGATGGGCCCCATTCACTGTATCCAAATCTCCTTTTCAAAGTTTTGATGGCAGTTTCGGGTATTTTAGTGCTGTGACATGAAGGAGTTAGTTTCCCTACTTAGATCTTGCATTCTTAGATCTTGACCAGGGATAGAAGGAAATCCTTCTTGATACCAAAGCTTGCAGAATATTATGACTTTCCTTTGAAGACTCTTGCATTGTCTGGTTTTCAGAAAGAGGAGCGGCTGCTTCATTACGGCTTGGAAATTCTTAATATCTTGACTGGTGGCAAACTTTCTATATAGGGTGGTAAAGTTGAGATGCATTTGTCCTTTGAGTTCCTGGAGCTGAGCACTTCAGTTGTGTGACATGGAAAGTCCTGATCATCCACTGACACTCAGTGGCACTGATTGAAGGCAGTCTGTTTAAACAATACTGCTGTTTTGTCCTTACAAAGACCAAGTCAGGCTCACTCTTCTGACTTGTGCACATAGTGCATCAGTTTGGCTCACACGGTGTAAACATAATTCTCCTCCATCAGGGTGAGATCAAACGGCTGTGGCTGGGTGTCAGCCTGTGTTTCACGTCAATGAAACAACTGCGTTCAGCATTTGCTGAAAAACACATTGAGGGAATAAAAAAATGAAAGCCCTAAATGCTGATGGATGTGAACAGGACACTGCAAAGTATTTCCTTCTGATGAGTCCAAAACCAATACTTCAGGTCTCATGTGACAGCTTGGGGCTAGTTTATCTTATGTTGTTGCGTCTGCTGGAGCCATACGAAGCTAGCCGGAACCACACAAAAATAAGTGTAAGAGAAGTGTCTAAGCAGGAGAAGGTGATCTCTTGTAGGAAGACGAGCTGCTGCCCTCTGTAAAAGGGACAAGCCAGAAAGGACTCCAAGGAGCAGACAGATATAAAGACTGTCCTGAACAGGAAGAATCCCTTTCCTTGGTGGGAATCTCCTTCAGGCCTTGTCCTGGGGATTAGAAAACACATGTACTCCAGTGAAGCATGTGCATTGGTGTGAGGAGTCTCTTTTCTACAGGCAGAAACCATTGGAAAGGTGGTGGGAAGGCAGAGCCTGTCCCAGCAGCCCTAGTTTGGCAGTGGCATGTTCCACCTCTTCAGGGAAAGGTAGATCCGAGGAAAAAAGTACAAGAAGGTATAGCAGAGAGGACCCAATAAGAACAAGCCCTTTAAGTTATTGTAAATCTCATTATTTCTGGGCTTGAAGTGCAACTTGTGTATGTGTTTCTGGGAGGTTTGAGAGTGGTATGATTTTATACCCTGTGCCTGAGGGTGTAGGACATGAAGTCCATGGGCTCTGCCATAGCTTTCCTTTCGTATGGTCTCTGTCAAATGGACATTTTTGGGGTGTTGTCACACTGACTTATTTCTAAAAGCAATCTTTGTTCAGGGCCCAGAAGGAGCTGTGAGCTTTACATAAAAGCAATGTGGAAAGGTGATTTCTGAAAGCTCTTCTGCTCGCTGATACAGAAACAGTCTCTGTAACAACACCTTTATGCCAAATTTAATTGTGGTAGCCCCCCCTCCCTCCAGCCTGCCCCTTTCCCTACATTTTGGGCTGTTTTGCTGGCACACAGCAGGCCCATGGGTGTGTTTGCAATTACAGAGGGTGAAACAGGAACAGCTCTGCCTTATCTCCCTGGTTTCCCAATGTCACTAAGCGCATTTTATTTTGAGATTCCTGATGGTGCTTGGCAAAGATAAACAAAATCTTCCATCAGGAAACCTGGGAGCTATTTCCACAGGAAGCTTCAAATCACTAAAGTAAATAAAACCCTTTTACATTATTCCCAGCAACATTATTTAGCTAGCCTGAGTCTGTAACAATTGGTGAGAAGTGTCATATATTAGGGAGCTCGTAGCCTTTAAACAAATGATTTGCTTGGAATCCTGTGCATTTTGCTTTTGTCCCTAGATTTACTCAGAAAATAGTCTTTCTTCACAGAAGACACATCTAGGAAGAGCTCCAGACCTGACAACATGGATGTAGTTGCAACTATATTATTCTGTTGGCACGCTATCCTTTTATGTTAAAAATAGTTCATTTGCCTCAGTCCCAGGGGATCTTTAGTTTCATCTTAAGAGTTTTGCTTGGCTCTTCCTAGCTTTTGCTGAGCACTGGCATCTGCCAAAGCCAAAAATTAGCAGCGTTTCAGATGCATACCCTGGCTTTCCCAAGACATATCAGAACAATTTGAGATGTACGGTGAGTAAGACACAGCAATTTCTTTGATCCAAATACTTATCCATGATCAAAACTTTGGCCCCTTGATTGGTTTTAAGTGTGTCTGAATTCAATGCTTTTTACCAAAATCAAGCATAGGATTCACTTCACCTCACTTAAGCCTTAAAGTTAGGTATCTAAGCCTAAGCTGGTCATGTAGGATCATTTCATAATTAAGTGTGAGGGATCAGGATCTCTGGAATTTGACATATCTTAAAGATATGGGTTGCATTGCCCTCTGGAGGTGTCTGTGTCACCCCATGGGCTGTAAACCTTTGTCCATGCATGAAACAATTATATTCAAGTAGATGTCTACATTTTTGATGGCTTAGGCTAAATATTCTGTTCCCCCTGTACGGAAAATTTTCATCTTAGTAGCACTCCTAGTTGACATGTTCTTAACTGAGACCAGAATCTGGCACCATGCACCCTTACATATCAAAAAGGATGCTGATGATCGTCACTCATACATTAGTTCACTAAGTTTAATTAAAGTTTTTCTTACAGTTTTGTTTGCTGGAGAGAGGAAAAAAGGGAATCCCAATGAAATGTAAGGGGAACAAGTCAACACACAGGCTTTAATATCCAATCTAATATATTAGTGTCACTGCCTCCATTAGGTTGATCTTTGGACTACACATCTGAACTACAGCTGGTGGCACTTGGCTCTCACTGCAAGGGCACAATGCATTCAACCGACAGAAATCAGGCCTCTCCTGGAAGGCATCTACAGTCAGAGGAAATTTCAGTCCAGGGCTTTCAGGAGCTCATTTACCCTGTGTTTACCATTCAGGGCTAAGTGTGGAAAAGACGGTATTAAGGGGAGAAACTGATGCCAGACTTTCAACAGCCAGAATTTTGAAAGGCAGAGGTGAGCAGGTCATGTTCATGGCCCCCCTGGGGAGGCAAAGCAGCTCAGTTTGCTTTGTGAGAATTTAGGGAGAAGCTTTCTGATGGATTGGTCAATCACTGAAAGAGGTTACTGAAAGAAGGTGTAGGATATTATTCACTGGAGATCTACTCTTTACGTGTCCCTGCTGCTGTGACATTAAACCCAAAGCAACATTGGTAAGCATGGAACTGAATGAAAGTTGGCGTTGACCTGTTCATTTGCTAAGAGACAAGAAAAGAAGGCATAATTCTCCCTTATGAAAGACGAAACCATTCTTACGATTTTTGAGTCAAGTTCACAGCCAAGAGCTGTAGCAATTAGCAGTGAAAGAACAATTGAAAATGGCCAAAGTCAATGTCACTTGACTGAGAAGAAGGAAATTATTTTATCAGAATATTGGCTACAAATAAACAAAGAGAGATTGCATTCTAGGAGTAAAACTTGGAAGTGCTTTCTCTGAGGAACTTGCTTCTACTTTCACTGAGGTCAGTGGTGTAACTCTCCTTTGCCAGAGGGATGAGCCCCAGGTGGAGGCAGCCAGGATGCAGTCAGCACCAGTGCGGGTCTGCACCACTCCCCAGGTGGAGGAAGCTGCAGTAACATTACAATGAACTGCAAACATGACTTTTTCAAGTACGACTTTTTACACTGTCAGCTAAGTTATTCCTGCCTGAACTATCTGCTATGAAAAATCCTTGTGCAAACTTAAGTCATATTTACAGTTAGTAAATGGTTGGTGCGATGACCCTTGGTTTCTCTCAGGTGGAAATATTATTCGTCTATGTTTAATGCCAAGCAGTCTGAATAGAGTGATCTTCATCCTAGCGCTGCCCACACACAGCTGGCCACCCAGGCCAGTGGGTACTGTTTCTTCATTGCTCTTGGGTGGCTGACATGCTTTAAATGCATGGAAGGTAAATACCTCTGTTCCAAGGGAAATCTCAGGTGTGTAATCACAGATTCAGTAATTTCTCAGGATTTGAAGCATTTTTAAGAAATAGACATAATTTTTCTGAATACTCATGAATAGCAAGAAAACAACATAACCAAGCATGATGAGCTGCAGCATTTTTCTACTGTCCTCTTGAGATTCATTTTCTCTCATGCAGTTCATAAGCTGGAGCTGAGCTCTCCTTTTTCATAGTCCCACTGTGCTGTCTTTAAATAATTCTCCTTTTGGTACCTTGCCCCAGCCTGTCTTAACTTGGCATAACATTTATATGAACTCATTACTTCCAAGAGAGACTTCAGTTTACACCAACCGATGTATGAACCCAAGTGTCTCGTAGCTCCAAGGCAAATTATAAGAATAGCTGGAGCCTAGCATAAGAGAGGAAAGATTAGAGACATCAGCACGAAGACGACGACATTGATTGGTTCAAAGGCTTCCTGATAAAGGGGAAAATATACACTGCGTTAATTTTGGCTAATTCATTTCGTATAAACTAAAAAGTGTTCTTGATTTTTGACAGATGTACCAAGTGGATTCCATATTAGTTTGGAAAAAATGCCCATTGAAGGAGAGAATTTGATATTGTCCTGTTCGGCCAACAAATTCCTGTACAAAGACATTGCTTGGATTCTACCAAGGACAGTCAACAACCAAACGAAAGCAAAAAGGTCTCTCAACAAGGAGTACTCCATCACCCTCACTCTGACCATCAAGAACGTTTCCCTGGCACACTCGGGCACCTATGCCTGCCGAGCAAGGAACATATACACGGGGAAAGAAGTGCTTCAAAAGAAAGACGTTACAATCAGAGGTGAGCACTGCAACAAAAAGGCTGTTTACTCTCGGATCCTCAAATATAAAAGCACAAGGAATGATTGTACAACACAAAGCAATGTAAAACATTAAAGGACTCATTAAACAGTAACAGGTGTCTCATATCATCTTGATTTTTTATTACTGTTACTACCTTTCAGGCCCTGAGGTGGTGAACATTTCCCCATGGGTTGGACGTAGGAGGAATAGCAAACGAAATCATAATGCGTGAGCTTCCAGTTGAGTTCAGACGGGTGTTTTCTGCTTTGACAAGGCATGTGGAAGCTGGGGTTTGGAAGATCCCCTGTGCTACATTTTGCATGTTGTTTTTTTTCTCTTGCTGTCTCCTACTGAGCAATAAGGAAAACTTTGGATCAATCTTTTCTTCCACTTTGATATCGGCCTCGTCAAAAGTGTCAAAGCTGAATAAACTGATTAACTTTAAAAACTGCTGTTATCAGTTAACAATGGACATTTAATAAATTAACTTTAATGTGCGGAATGAGCACGATTCAGTTTGAGATTGACTGGACTACATATTTTTTATTTTAATCTGATCTTGTTGCTGAACAAGTTCTAATGCTTATTTATTTGAAATTATTTTCTACACTAAAGTACATTAGTCTTAAAAAGTATCTTCTAAAGGAAGTATGCAGGGAAGAAATAAAAATGTTGATATAATGCACAGACCTATCATATCATTTATAATAATGATGATTTTAAAACTGACAGACGTGAACCATGTTTCTCCAAATAAATCCAGGTAGACTTCCAGTTGCTGTGTTGGTCAATTTTTAAAGTCAATTCTGCACTACTGTAAAAAGCTACTGATAAAAGTGTGAGTATTGCTCCTGGCCTGAAGATACAGGAATTTGTAATGTTGTAATAATTTTATTAAATGAGAAATATTACACTAACATGACTGACAAGGTTGCAGCCAGCACAGTGAGTTATTTAATACATTTTTAAAAATACAAATTCAAAATTGAAGCCATTAAAAATATTCATTGCTTTTGGTATGCAAATGACAATTGGATTTATTATGGGGATAAAGAACCAGCCAAACTGCTGAAGGAGAATTAAGGGCAACCTGAAACTTCCTTGTGAACGTTTCCCCTTTTTTTTTCCTTCATCATGATTTTGCTATGAGGTGTTTCTGTGTATTATAAATTCTGTATAAGGAAGAAGTTACTATTTTTAATAGATCTGATATAACTTTATTTTTTTACAATACATAGCTTTTATTATTTTTGGTTACATTTATGATTGATCATTTATATAGCATTTACATAAGCCATAACAAAACAGACCGTAGTGACCAAAATAGCTACAGCAAAGGAACAAAGTGGCTGTGCTTTTAAAATAGAGGGTGACAACATGACAGTTTCTTGTGCTTGGGAACTCACCAGACTATTTCCTCCTTTAGGTATCGAGACCGTGTCCCACGGCTAAACTTGTCTTTCACGTGGGAATTGCTTTTGTCAAGTGTGAAAGGGTAAACAATAGCATTTCCCCATAATGCCAGTTTCATGGAGCCTAAAATGCTTAGAAAACAATTGATAACCTGGAAGTTGTCAGAGTAAAGAAAAGAATAATCATTTATATCTTGAAATGTCACCTATAGCCTGCTTGTATACAGTAGCTCTTTTGTTCATTATTAGTGCGATGGCTTCCAGAAACAATGTGTTCTTGCAAAGGGACCTGGGTCTCTTTTTTTCTAAAATATGCCTTAAAAGTAAGCAAAATCATTGGTGACTGCTTAAAAATGGGGCAAGTGTGCTCTTTAGCATTTGCAATTCTTCAAAAGAATTACAATACAGAATCCCCCTTTTTATGAGGCTATTTTGTGAGACGACATTTGACGGCAAGGTGGGCGGTGATGACAGGACGTTATGAATTTTCCACGGCCTTGGGAGCTGGAGCATGATGACTTGTAGCAGCCAGTTGCAAGGAAAATGAAGTTTGGGCAAAAAAAAAAAAAAAAAAAAAAAAAGTGGCAATTAGACTGTTCCTCTGTGAAATTGTTGTGAATTACGATGATGTGTATCACTGCTGGGTGGACGTCCTGCCAGCCTGGTCTCAACCAGCACTTGGAGGGCCATGCTGTGCAAGGATGTCGTAACATCCCAATGTGGCTGTCCTTGTTGGGAGGCACAGAGAAACCTCACTGGAAACGTTTGAGGAAAGCAGTTCCTGGTGGCCAGATAAAAACTACTGATGTCACTTTTGATGTCCTCAGATGACTGGAGAATCTCATCGGTTTGGGGAGTTTCTCTGCCTTCTGTTGTGTAATATATTATTTAGGGAGAAAGGTGTGAATTATATTTCTTGGATTTTTTAAGTGTTAAAATTAAAGCTTGTATTTATATTTTTGTACTGATTAATAAAAATAAGTGAACAGACAACATAATCATAACAAAGGACAAAAATGGATGGAATGCAAAAGTATACCCCAAAATGAACAAATTGTAACATTTTTTTTACCCATTTGCCATTGTTTGCTTTTGGAAATGCAAATTTTCCCTCCTTACCACCCCAGGCTGGCTGAGTGCTCTGACACCAGCATCCCCTTCTCCACTCTGTGACCCTCGCTGTCGCATCCCCTGGGCCAAACTCTGCCTACAATGAAGTTCCTCGGGGGCACTGAGAGCAGAGTTTGGCCCAGCAGAACAGTGTTTGCGGGCAGGCACGAAGGCTGGGGACGAGCTCGGGGGCTGCTCTGGGCGCTGAGCCCTGCACTGTCCATGCTGGTGGCCAGGGCAGCCCCTCAGCTTTGGGGTGAGCAGAGTGGGATGTTGGAAACTCCCCCGCTTTGGCTTCACTACAAAAATGAATGGGAGAAAACAGATGGTTTGCAAAAGAGAATAATCCTCAGGTTGACCAAGTCCTTGAAAAAACAGCTGATTGCAGCAGAGAAATTATTGGAAGTATGTGAATGGTGACTGGATCTAAGTTTTAAGCAAAAAAGTTTTTCTTAATATGAAACCCCATCTTTAGTGTATGGCTATAAACAAATTAAAATTAATCGCAAATAACTCACAGAATGTGTGATTTGCCTTTGTTGTGTCATCTTGTCCGCCTTCATTTTGGATGTCTGGTCTCGGGTGTCCATCAGGGACTGCTGATAAATGTGAAATGGGGAGCTCTTCTCAGCATGCATACGTGGACATGTGTCAGACAGTGCCTGTTCATAGACAGACTGTGTTGTGAAAAATGAGAACTGCACAAAAATCGAGGCAAGGTATCAATGAGAAGAGGGCAGTCTTGGCCGCAAAGCGATATTGTTGACCATGTCATTGTGTAGGTATTTGATGAAGAATTTACAGTCTCTCTCATGAGCATTGCTGTTTGGAAAGAGAGAACAAATTGTCTACTACACTGTAAACAAAAACTAGCATTGCCTGTGGAAATTACAGACTTGCAGCTCAGAAAAGCTCAAACTGGTCTTTGCAGGGTCATGACTGTGCTGGAACTAATTTCAGGGGGTAAGAGCATAGCAAAGATAGCCTACTTTAAAAGTGCTTTTAGTACTACAGAGTTCACGCGCACTGCATAAGCTGGTGGCACATAGGTGCTTACTTTTTCTGGAGAGTTTTTATTTACAGCTGGTAACAGAATGATTGTGAAGATGGAAATATCTGATAGTCATTTTTTCTGAAAGGATAGAGAATAATCTTCCAAACACAGAATGTCAGAAATTCAGCTGATATTGTACTTGAAATTGGTGTACTGGTATCTACTGCAGTCTAAAAGAAAGTATTTCCAAAGAGGTGGTTTCTGCTTTGTTTTGCTTTGTTATATTTCATATTTTGTAATGCGTGTCTTACCATGTTAGTAACTGCTGATCCTGGCAGTGTCCTTGAAGGGAGAGATTGCAAATAATCAGTTCTTGCAAGACTGAGCAATTTGAGGGAGTCTGCAGAGCATTTGCATCTGTGAGATTGCCTGGGAGCTCCCCAGATTCCCCATCACTGCTTCTTTTAAAGGGACCGAAATACCAAAAAGGATGATGTGAGAGTTGCAAATGTGACAGAAAGATTTTGCCATATAATGTACGTAAACATTGCAAATATCTTGATCTTTGTCAGAACAGCCTTTGGCTCTGCACAAAATGGGTACGGGATTGAAACGAGGATGAGAAAGATTCATTGGTTTGCTTCTTTCAGCGATGACTTTAACATGTTTACAGAGTGTTTTTGAAATGCCCTTCTGGGAGGCCCTTGAGCAGAAACAGAACAGATGAGATGTGCTTCCAATACTCTTTGTCACTGACTGTCATGGAAATGTGTTTTATTACATTGCATTCGTATGAATGTCAGTAGATAAAAGTAAAACAGGAGCGGTGTTGCTATGCTGTGTGGCCTGCTAGCACTCAGCTTCGGCCCCTGCCATCCGGGTTTCCAGCGTCTGTGGCTGCCAGAGGACATGGGCGCATTTCTCACCAACACAGTTTTGGCAGGCGGGCTGTGGTGTGGTTTGGCCAGGCCTTGTTGTGTTCAGTCAAATATGTGAAACGCAAAAGTGGAAGAATTTATGAAGACTTTGGGATGTGTAACACAATGTTTTTGTGCTTATGGTTTCTGGTTTTAGATGATGTGAGTTTACTGAACATGATTTGTAACTGTACTCTTTAAAGTAAGTAACTGATAAAAGTCACATTCATGGGTAACGTGGTGCACAGAGCTGCATGGTGCTATCAATGACGCAGAGATACTCTGCTACAAGGGTGTCCTGCTAATTGTTAAAAACTTTGGTGTCACAGTTTGTTTCTCCCGATGACGCAAAACTCTGAGCTTTCATAGAAATTCATTGCTGTCAATAAACAAATGTGGTTGGTAATGGAACTGAGGAAATCTTTTAAACAGTTTATCACTGGGTCTTCATTGGTCAGCATAACCGGCTATCACTGAGTAACAGGGTTACTCTGTACACACCAGATGCTCTTAAGCAAACTGGAATGGTAAATAAAATCTGTGAACAATGAACTTGGTAGAACAGCCATAGGTGTTTACATCAGTAAAATGCTGGTAGGGCAGATAATTAAACCCCCGCAGTTATAGGAATGTAAAACGGAGGTGTTGTTTTGTCTTGTAGCTCAAGAGGCACCAACCCTGCTGCGGCACCTTATGGATCAGACAGTGAACACCAGTAACTCGGCTATGTTGGAGTGCCAGGTTCGTGGCATCCCCGAGCCCCAGATATCCTGGTTTAAAAACCATGAGGAAATACAGCAAGAATCAGGTGAGAGCTCTGTATACCCACTTACCTTTTACGGCCTTTTTATTTACCTGTCTGCCTTAGGTAGCCATTTGCAGAGTCCAGATTACCCAGCTGTAAGGAAGGAGTACTCCCTGGGTGTTACAGGCAGGCAGCAGCATGGGTTGCTCCGCGTTTTTCTGTCTCACTCCCAAACCTCAGCCAGGCTGGAGATGTAGGCACAACGGGCCTCTATGGAGTCAGTGGAAAAAATACAGCTCTCAATTTGCATCTTAGAAGAGTCATCTCCAGAGAAACATATGTCTCTCCATTTACTATAGAGGGAGCCTAAGGATCAGGTGTCGTGGCCAGTGTATAGCTAGGCAGAAGAAAACCGAGCTTGAGTGGTGCACGTAGGAGCACCAGTGGGAGTCTGTGGTCAGGCATGCAAAGTCTGTTCTAGGTTCACAGCCTAGCCACCAGACTAATTCCATAACTGGGGTCTCCAAAACTGCAATGCATCTGCCAGCAGCCAGGGAATCCAGGTCTCATGCAGCAGAAAGGAACAACTTCCCAGGTGGCATGCTGTAGCTACAGGAAAACTTCGGGACATATTTACCGCTGTGTCCGGAATGTGGCTTCAAAGATCAGCTAAGGCTACATGTCCAGCTCTGATGACACCACAGTCACAGAAGTACTCCTTGGAGATTTCAGGTGGAGATGAATGATGAGGGAAAAGGCAAAACCTTTCTCATGGGAATTTGTCCTCATTTGGCTCAGAAGCACACAATGAGCTAGTGTTACAGGCTCAGCAAAAATGTTCAAGGAGGTTTGGTCTGTAGGAACTTGAATCCTAAGTGTAGTCTTCAACAACAACATTTCAGAAAGTTTGTCTTTAAGGTTCTGTCCTGCATTGTTGGAAATTACTATAGCATGAATAAAGGTGACTGGGAAAAACTCTGAGGATTTCTCCCAGTGAGTCATAAACCTGTGCAGACTTGCAGCACAGACACTAAACTTAATCTAGAGCCAGATTCCATGAAGCTTTACAGTGACCACATCATTGTAATGTGCATTATTACACTTTCTTCTAAAATGAGTGTTATGTGTCTAACTTGGGTGTAATACAATACATAAAGCTAGGGGCCAGGAATATGTCTCTAGAGAGTAGGTCAGAGCACTTTAGTGAGGTACCTGAAATAGATGGTGGGAATGCATTTTGGTGGGACAGTAGTTCTGATGGAGCCAAATGCACAAGTGTGTATTTGACTGCACATTTCCTGGCTATACAGTGCCTTAAAGGCAGTCCTGAGGCCAAATCTGCTGCCTGCCTCCTCCTTGCTTGCTGGAGTATTGCCCAGACTGGCTTCTGGGTTGACCCATCTGGAATAAACAAGGTGTTGAAAAATTCAGGTAATTCCTATGTTTTAGGGTATACCTCATGGGACCTCCCTTTGCTCTAGCTGGGGTCCATCCAAGAAGGGGCCCATCATTCCACATGGGCAAGTAAGATCTGGAGCAAGTCTGCTGCCCATAAGGCCAGTGTGGATGCATGGAGCTGGGTCTTGGAAGTGCTCTAAGCTCAAGTTGCTTCTGGTGAAGACATACACCTGTAAGTGCAGTGCTAAGCAATCAGACCACCCGTTTTCCAAAACATGGAGACATCATGAAGAACTCACTTGGATGAAAGTCTAGGCACAGTGCTAATCAATATACACGATACCAAGTGCTCCCAAGATCATTCCCTTAGGCTGAGCATTTTCCACTCACACAAGTGCTTTATAAACACTGATTTCCAGAAGATTCCCAAAACATCCAAGTACCTTTGGCTTTCCTGCAGATAACATTGCGCTGTGCAGTCTGTGGCTCAGATTTCTTTTGAGAAGAACTTGAAGCGCATACTATTACACAAGGGCCTGTTTTTGTTTATATCCTGGCTCCCTCTCATTGCAAAATATTTCATTTCACAGGAATAATTTTAGGGCCCGGAAGCCGAATGCTGTTTATTGAAAGAGTAAAAGAGGAGGATGAAGGACTTTACCAGTGTATAGCCACCAACTTAAAAGGGTCCGTGGAGAGTGCAGCATATGTGACGGTACAAGGTAAAGCATGACATTAAATGGGAATAGCAAGCTTGCCAGGGTGATGTTCTTACTCAGGCTGGAAAGGCAGGGGTATGACCTGGGGCTCAGGCGGTGATCTCTGAAGGCAGCAGTTTGAAGGAAGTTCTAGCAAGGGAAGTGTACCAGGTTGGAAAGGAAGCCTAGCAGGAAATGCTAACTCAGAGCATGTTTACACTGACCTAAAAAGAAGAATTGCTTCAACCCAACAAAGATCGGGTCAGGGTAGAAGAGAAATGTAAATTTAGTATCATCAAAACAAACAAAAACCAGAATAAGGAACACTGTCCTACCCACTCATATTCCCATTTCAGGTTAATTCCATAGAAATTAGAGGCCTGGGCTATTTTCATTTGTTTATTTTCAATGTAAAGCGAGCTGTCAAATTGGACTAGAAGACTTTAGCATAGCAATAGCTACATATGCATTTTTCAAAGTACTTGTTGTAAGAAGTAAGTATGATCTAGTTATTTCTGTAACCATTACTTCGGTTATTTTGCTATTCATTTAAATATTCTGCCTTCTGCCAAGCTTGACTCAGGCCTGTGGCAGTGATTTCTATGAAGTAATTTTACATTGCATAAAAAGAAAGTTTATCCACTGACTTTTCAGTTTCATTGAATACCCTTTTGGTTCTTACATTATGAGATAAGAGAAAAAGGTTGACATTCTCCATATAAGTCAGTGCCACATATAAATTGAATTTGACATAACCTATCTTATTGATCTCATGTGTTAAGTAAATAGTCCTAAATACAATTAGTTTCTCTTTATAGAAGACAATTTGACTACCACCAGGTCTCTCAGGCAGGGATTATGTCTTTGTGGATGTTCTCATACAATTGCTAAATGTATCTGAATACTACTGAGTCTTTGGATTTTACCCTGTAGCAGAAGACAATTACAGCTAGTAAATCAGTATTGATTTTCTGCCATAAGTGCGTTAGCAGTCTCAGTTAAAGGTGATCATTGATGATACTATGATGTTTTTGATTGAAAAGGTCAGGGATAAGTGTATGTACTTGCAGGCTGGCCTGATTGGTGTAATCAAGGAGTTAAAACCACCTATCTCCTCACGACTAATACTAAGGTTTGTACAACCACTATAACAGCTAAAAGAATAACTTGTTCCTAAGTGCTTGCTGTCCGATGCATCCTATTAATTGATAGTCCTGGACAATGAACTCATTATTGTGTTGATTTTTAACATCATTGTAGCTTGGCTGTTTATTACAACCACAAGCATTCTGTCAGTTGGCTTCTAGGAAGCCATATCTCTTAGTCCGTGATCCAGAGGAGAGGAAAGACAGCAGCCAGGAAGGCTTCTTCTCCGGTTACATGTCCTATGGTCTACTGGCAATGTTCCTGTGTGACTCCTATAGGGGGGTCTTAGATAAGCAGGAGATGAAGTCTACCATATTATAATCTATAGCTTTGGGACTGGATGAGAAAAAAAGAGAGTGAGTTTGTCTTATCTACTATGATCAAAGAAAATGCCTTTCCACCCTCTCTCTTCCTACTGCCTGAAAGGACATCACTGGAGGTCTTCTCGCTCATTCCTATGCTGAACTGCAGTGTCTGTCCCTCTCCCAGGGAATGGCAGCCTCTCACCCCATCCCTGACCCTGGAGGGATGAGATCAGGGCTTAAACATGGGCCTCTCTCTAGGCTTTGCCACCTGCTCGTCTTTCTGAGAAATACAGCCCCTGCGACTGTCACTGCAAGTACCAAAGCCTACCAAAGCCTTCCCTCCATCCCGGCAGCTCTCAGAGCACGGGGCTGCAGATCAAAGGGAGCGGAGCAATGCCTTGTGCTGATGGCCGTGTTTAGCAGATTGGAAGAGTAGTTTGTGAACGAGTCAGGAAGGAAACTGTCTGCTCTCTTTATTTCCTCTGAAAAAACATTCTTATACTCGCAGATAAAACAATGTGTTATTTTTGTATCCGAGATGGATGAATGGATGGTGGAATCCAAGGGCCGTCTTTAAATAATCACAGCCTGTGTTTGGTTTGGAAGCCATGCTTGCTGGGCTGTCTGAGGAGGAGAGGGGCTGAGTTTGTGGACATGTCAGAGCAAGCTGTCTGCTTGCTCTTGGCTGAGGAACTGAAGAGGCAGTGAATCTGCAAGGAGTGAATGGGAACAGCAAATGGCTGCCAGAGCACCCAGCAGGCAGAGGGGACTGTGTCCCTAAAAACCTGGGGACACAAGCTGCTGGGCACGGGGGGAACACAGGCTGTCTTGGGCAGCCTTCCTGCAGGGGGGGTCACAGTGTCTGCCCTGCTCACAGAATGGATGACTTGCCATGAAAGCCTTGCCCTGCTTCTCCTGGGGACCCGCACACCCCCCCCTCAGCAGGAGACAGTGATACAGTTGCAGAGGTGCTGCACCATTTGAAGGGGATGTGTTGACAAAGGAAGGAGCATCTTTTACAGCTCGCACTCACTGGAATCTGGATGTATAACAAGCAAATGAATACAGCAACACAGCCCGTCTTAAAGCTGATGCTTGATAACTTAATGTGATCCCTGCTGATGAAAAGAAAAGCATCACATTTATTAAGCATTCACAGAACTATTCTGACACTATGAAAATGGTGTTTGCTTTTTAAATAACTGTCTCATTTTCTACATATCTATCTATCTTTCTGACTTTGTAACTCAAAAAGTTGTTTTGCTTTTTGGGTCACTGACTCTGAAGTCATCAGGAATGTTTCAATGAAGTTTAGCTGGAATTCCCTCGGCTACTGGATGGGTTCAGCTTGGGTTATGTGGGTGACTGTAACAGAAAAGGTGAACATCAGGGGACACTTAGAGTCTTGTTACCTCAGAGAATGGTCAAAGTGGGTTGGAAGGGAATCCTGGAGATCTCTAGTTCAACCTCAGCTCAAACCAGATCATCACCAGCACTACCTCCAGTCAGTGATGCCTTTGTCTGGCCAGGTTGTGACAGCCTCCAAGGATGGAAATTCCTCAGCATCTCTAAGCACCCATCCCAGTGCTGCAGTGCTGTGATCATGGGATCACATGGATTAAGCAGGGTAGACCGCATTGGTGTAGGGGTGAGGGACATTTTGGGTGCAGCAGAGTGGTGTTGGTGCCCCAGGCACCGTGGTTGGCACCTGACACAGAGCTGCAGGGACAGGAAGGGGGCTGCCACTTGCTGCAGCGAGTCAGATGGGGCAGAGCCGCATATGGGGGAAAGTCTGTGTCTAATGAGGTAGCTGGTGGGTAAAGGTCTGGGAGGGGTGTAAGGGGGAGCCAGAAAACTTGGGCTACTGGGCAGACACAGAGAGAGAGAGAGAGAGAGAGAGAGAGATTTGGTCCTGCTTACAGCCCCTCCAAGCTCTGCTAATCCTAAACTGTCTTCTGAGTGTTCCTGCCTGTTCTGCCTCAAATCAAACCTTTTCCTACCCAGCTAAGAGGCACTCAGCCAGCTCTGGCTGCAAGGCTTTTAGCAAGACTAGGAATCTGGCGTTTGATAACCCAGCCCAACCCCAGTCTGGCGAAATGTTTTCCAGTTGCCTAAATTTGCTCAGACTTTTCAAAGACAGCACCTTCAAGTCTCTTCACTAACTCCTGGGCAGCATATGGTAGCAGTTAGGGAGTTGCTGCCTTCCACCCCAGGACTGGCTGTACCATGCCTCACGGGTTTTCTGAGTCCTGCCATATGGAGCAGTGGCAACAAATGAACCTTCAGCCCCTCCAGGTTTTGCTGAATAAATGTCAGAAACTATTACTCGCCATCTGCACGGGTGCTGCTCAGAAGCAAAAGGACCGTATCCATATGTAAAAGGAAAGCCTGGTGCCAGAGGATAGGCAAGCTGTGTTAAGCTGTATCATTTGTGGCATCACTATGTCCCATATTTAAATCAAGTCTTTAAGAAAACACTTGTGAAGAATGAACACTTTTGGTATTTTGAAGAAACAGATACTTTATATCTCCATTTGTAGTTGCAGTCGTATTTTTCTTCAATGAGCTTTATTCTCAAAGCTCCAGAATGGACGTGCCGGAGGAATCTTAGATATAGGGCACAAATGCAAATCTCGTTATCACCTTTAGAGAGGGAAGATATTATGCTAGCTAAGCCACAGCTACAGGAAGCAATTCAACCTCTAAACAAAGCTCCGTAGCCTTGCCTAAAACCAGGCAACACATCCCTCTGGATTACTCAGTAAGCCCATCAGTGAGACATCAATCATCCCTTTTCCATGTATCAGGGGTAACACCGAGCTGCCCGGGGTCTGAAACTGCTGCAAGTGCAGTTGACAAAACCACTGCAAAATCATGTTCAGATTCACTCCTCCTTGTTCTCTCATTTTCTCTCTCTGGAGAGTGTATCAGAATAAGAGGCAGAGCACGAGGGTTTTTTTGCATTTGCTACCAATCAGATGGAAAACATATTGTGGGAAGTGTGGTATTTTGACACGATCACAGGATTTGCAAAACAGACTGCTCTGAAAACATTTTACAAGTCCCTAAGTAGCAGTCTGAAGCGAATTTTATTTTCGCTTTTTTTTAAGATCTGTCAGTGGGCTCTAATACTCTCTGGATTTCTAATGTTCATGTTTTCTTGCTGCTCTGTTTTCAGTCGTCATTTTTGTTTTTGCCTTTCTGTGCTTATTCTGTTCCCTGGTTTGGAGAGCTCTCCCAGCTCCCTGCCAGCTGGGTTCTGTGACGTGCTGCTGGGGACCAAGAGGGCCCCGTGTCCCCTTGGGGAGCCTGGCCCCATGCTGCTGGTGTGACTGGCAGGAGACCTGAGGGCACAGAGCCTGCCAGGGGGACTAGCAGGTAGGAGGAAGCACTGGGTCCTACGCCCCAGGTTTCTGGCCACACTGCTTGGGGGGGATTAGGATCAAGACCCCTGTGCCACGCTCTGCACAAGCTGAGGTCACAGGTGCCAGACTGGGACCATCCAGACCATGTGAAGGAGAGCTCATGGACTGCTGCCAGCTGCACCGCAAGCCTCCAAGGGAGCCCCCAGCTCCCCCCCAGAGAGGTTTTTGGTGAGGGCTGGTAGGTTTCCAGCATGGCTGGGATGGAGGTGCAGGCTGCAGGGCTCAGCCACCAGCATGGAAGATCTTGCCAAGCTGGGGAAGAGCAGGTGCAGTGCCCAAGGAAAGGCATCAAATGTTCTGGACAGCAAAACCCAAGCAGCAGCGCTGCAGTGTGTCCCGGGTCACACCTGGATTTACTGGTGTCTACACCAGCACAAGCCCTCCCTGGAGCTTCTCCTGCGTGTCCTCAGCAGCTCTCGCACCATGGCATTGCCCCTGGGGAAGGGCCAGCAGAGCCTTTCCCTCCACACAGCTCTGTCCTCTCCTGAGGCTGCTAGGGACTAAGCGTTTCTGAGACCTCTGCTCTTCTCTCGGATGTGGGCTTGGCCCGATGGGTTTTGCTGTTGCAGGGCAGGGGGGGTGGTGAAACTGCATGAGCAGGCCCACACACATTCTTACACAGAGAAGATTTGGCTAAAAATATCCTGCAGCTGAATTTCCACCTCAAAAAGAAATTATTATCTGACTGGCCATCATCAATCTGGTATACTTCACCTCCTGCACCCCAAAGAAGAGCTGACTTTTTACTGAAAAACTTATGGATGGTTCAAATGCAGTTTTGCTGTGTTCAATAAAACAGCTTTTCTGGGGAGACCATTTTTTTCCTGGGTCTGCGGGCCAGTCCAAACAGAGATTAATACCCCATTGAAAAGAAGCAGGTCCTTCCTGGTATTTTATTTTAATGGCAAAGAAACTTAAAGTGCCCTTGCTTTGAAGGTCATTTTCTAAAATGTTTGCTGCTTGATTTTCCCAGGCACATCAGAGAGGTCAAACCTGGAGCTAATAACCCTGACCTGTACCTGCGTGGCTGCGACACTCTTTTGGCTCCTGTTGACCCTCTTCATTCGCAAGCTGAAGAGGGTAAGAACGGATGGGGAGCGCCCGGTGGCACCTGCTTCTCCTTACGAGCTGTTTGCTCATGTTAGAAAAATCCTTCCCAGGCCACTGGGATTAATGACTCTATAAAAAAAAAATCTGATTCTCACCTTTGTTCCCTGTGCAATCAGCAGGCTGCTGATGGGTGCCGGTGACTTGCAAAGCTGAGTATGAGTAAGCCCAGAAGCAAAGCCTGGGTGGGGCAAGGCTCTGAGACTCACAAGCATTTGGGTTCCTGACTCCCACCAAAGGCATCCCCATTCCCTTAAAAGCTGTGGGAATTCGGCATCTTAATGCCTCTGAAGATCTGAGTGAGTGGGAGTGACAGATCTTCGCAGAGTGCGCTGGGGTCTGGTTTGCACATGGTGTCTGGTACCATTACATCACCTGCAAAGTGATATTTTACTGAAATAGTTTTGGTGGTGCAGCCTCTAGAGCAGATGATCGTGTATCAGCATGATAATGTTAACTGCCCCTGCAGCTGACCCTCCTTCTTGTTCAAGGCTGACTGATGGTTTAAAGCCCCTTTTTGTTGACAACGTCATGTCTGCCTTGCGTGGTGTGTGCAAGTTAAACGACAGCAGCTCTCATAAGCAGAAAATACAATTCTTTGGTAGTGCAGAAACATCTCAGAGCAACATGCAGGAGCAGATGGATTTGAGGGAAGGGAGGTACCGGGGCAATGGGGTGCTCTGCAGGACCCAAGATGAGGCATGGCTGCACGTCCCCCTCTCCCCCAATCTCACACCACAGTGGCACCGAGCCCCAGCTGCCCTCCTTCGCCCAGCTGGAGAGGTACCACAGCGCAGTGCCACGGGGATCAGCTCACAGCCACCATGGCTGAACAAGTTCCAGCTGGCTGAGCTCCGTGACAATTGCTAAAGATTCACTGCAGCCTTCCAGACAGTTTTATGTCAACCTGCATTAAGGCCTGCCTGTATTTTAGGTTTTACACTGAGAACTTCTACTGACTGATGGGAATGCAGGACCAGACATCCAAACCAGGACAGTATGGCAGCAGTCGCTCTGCCTGCCTTCCTACTGCCACCAACTTTCATAAGAAGAAATGCGTAGGAGTTTTAGGGGAGAGAAAAGTTGAGGTCAGCTGAAGCTGTGAAGAAACTTTGTACCTGTAGAGAAATTACAAAGCAAGTGGGACCAGGTCTAACTGCTCACCAGTAATGACGAAGCAATTCATAACAAGACTGCGAACCCTTGGGAAACTATAAGTTTTAAAAGTAGCAAAGGGTCTCAGGTTTTTTTTTTTTTTTTATTTGTTATGATACCAAAACTTGACATTTGTTTGTTAGATTGTTAAAAGATAATAAAAGTGATCATCATTGCTGTTGAACAAGGGACTTTAACTAGATGACACGTGAAGGCTTCTTTCCAGATGAGGCTTTCCAGATAGTGTTGGTCGTTGTGTTTCTGTTACAAACCCTTACTCTCAAGGATTTATGTCTGGAATTAACTCTAAATTGAATTTCATATACAAATTATGTTGCCACAAGAGAAAAAAATACTTTTATGCTCTCTGAGAGCATTTTCGTAAAGCTTGTCTGTTATGTATACAGGGACAAATGCTATACTTAACAATTCTTCAATCATTCAAAATGTTGTTTCAAATCTCTAATTGTGCCAACGATTTGGTATTCAGTGCATCTGAAGAAAGAAACATAGGCAGCTCTCTGCACGTTCCCACTCTTCTAGTACTGTACATGGGATGGGTCCACTTAAAAGCTCTTCTAAAGTGACTGGTAGGAGCAGTCTGGTACACACGTCTCTATCAAGAAATGCTCTTTTCAGAGCACCACACACACTTCTGTTTCTATCCATATCCCACTTATCCATGTCCAGTCCAGGGTCAGTGGATGGTTTGGAGCCAGGCTTTATGCCACCTGACTTTTCCCCAAGCATCAGTGTAGTCCTTCTTGGGACTAACATGTGTACTTGGGATGGTGAAAGGCGACTAAAACAGGAGCTATTAACTACTGTCATTTTAGTCTAGTTACGTTTGTAACCAAAGCTTACACAGCTAGTAATACCCTTCTCAAACAAACACCTGGAAATGCATGTATTAGGAACATATTTCCAAGCTGTAGAGGAGGAAAGTTGAAAGTCCCAGGGGACAGTTAAAGACTATCTAGATATGTCTGTGTTTTTGTGTATCTGCCTGTGTGCTGTTTCCATGAGTTTAGGAAAAGCAACATGAAGGGGTTCAGTTCAACAGATTTTTCATAAATTCCAAGTAATAGCCAGGAAATTAGAGCAAACACTAGACCTTTTCTATAGAAATATCATTAGTCCTGTGTCAAGAAAAGTCTAGTGGATTAGAGTGGCAATCTAGGTGCTCTTTGAAGGAAAATATGTTTCACATGGATGGACTGCAGAAAACTTTGAGATTAGGTTCATCTTTCCTTACGTTTCTCATGTGAAGTGGATAATCCATTTGCTCAGTAGAAACTGAACTTCTGGCAAATTCATTTGAAATTATGTGTTTGAGTCTGGGTGTTTATGAATTCTTCCAAACTCAAATAATTTCAGTAAATTTGTCAGAAATGATACCAAAGAAATAAAAAATTCTGAAAATTTATAAACAGTTTCTGAATTGTATAACATCTAGTCTCCTGACAACTGGTCTTGCACAACTTCTAACCACATATGACATATCTTTGCTGGGTATATGGGAAAAATAAGCACTGGCAGTTGAAATCCATCTGTTGCATATGACCAATTCTTGCTTTGCACAATCATGAAGAAAAGTTATTTTTATCAGCAATGTTTAGTCATTTGCTGAAAATAGCTCTCTTGACTGTGCAGAGGGCCTGTAGCATAGCACCATATGTTAATACAGATCCACATGGATTTAATTGAAGAAACCTATATGTCACATACGAGGAAAGCTAGAGGACAGAGTTTCTTTTACATAAGAAGTCTTGCAATATTTAAAAAAGCCAAAGGGATCTTAACCAAACCATCTATTGGACTGTGAAACACGCAGCCCTGTGGACAGAATTAACTTGTAACCCTTGATCCAAACAGGAAGATGCTTATCCTCTTTTACATTTTGCCATATTCTTTGTTTTCTAGCCTTATTCCTCTGAAATGAAGACCAACCATTACCTGTCAATCATAATGGATCCTGACGAAGTCCCCTTAGATGAGCAATGTGAACGTCTGCCTTATGATGCCAGCAAGTGGGAGATTGCAAGGGAAAGGCTTAAACTAGGTAATATTGTCATACCTCACACTGGGTTTGCAGTGATTGAATGAGATGTCCTTGTACAGGTAAAGAGGAGTTGGGTGTGTTTTAGACACGTGTTTTTTAGTGCCATGTTCAGTGTGAGCTATTCCATACCAAGTGCCCTGGTCCGTGACTGGCTTACAGCATTTAGGACTGACTGACTGTGTCTACCTGACTTTCCGTATGTATTTTGACTCCAGGTAGGAAAACTAAAATACAGACAATAATGCTGCACTCTATTTTTTGCAGACCGATTTTCTTAAAACATGACATAAAAACAGGGCAGCCGAAGGCTTCCCAATCAGACTGCTGATTTGGATGCTTCTCTCTCTAGACTCAGGAGCCTGACCTTTGGCGTTTTCTGTTATTTTCTTCCCCTGCAACATGGTTATGTGCTCATCTGGCAAAAAACCTACGCAGAAATGGGTCCTCACACTCCACTCTGTACCCACCCCTGTTTCTCCCTTTCCTCTTCTCTCCAGCACACTCTCCCTGTTTTCCTTCTGTGCTACAGATTTATAAACATTCTTGTCGGTGCACCATGAAGTGTGAGAATGTGACACATGAGTCCACACATGAATAAATAAATATCTACAGAAACTTTGAACCTGCATCAAGCTCGCCTACAGATGCCCCAGCAAACACATGGGTTTGGGAGCGTTCCTTACTTGCTTAGCCTAGTGTGGGGCTGATGAGGAGGGCAGGAGGGTAGGGACCAGATTTTGAAGCTGAGGAAGCCCTTCAGAAACCACACAGGTTTTAGCAAGAGGGTCAACACTAAAATATCAGTGATAAGCTCAGCCTGTTGCTAGTGCTGTTTGTTCTTTCAGGAACACATTAGATTTGCCCTACAGCAAGGTCTAGAAAATCCCTGCATGTTAGCCAGGAACTGTAACAGATTCCTTCTGTCCTCTGGGGATCAGGGACAGAGGGTGATTAAAACATGCATACAATTAGGATCATACTTAATTCTCCTGCTAGAAGTCACAAGGCGACCAGATGTGGATGAGCACAGCTGAAATACATTGCTAGCAATTTATAATTGTCATACACAATTCTGGGAATGCTAAAACATAACCTTCTGCTGGAATGTCTTCAGTGTTCAAATAGTTTTCTTACTATGACGGACCAAGAGCTTGATGTTCAGACAATGTGATCCCTGCTTTATGCAATGCTTTATTTCTGTGTAAATCCCACGGAAAGAATCAAGCAGAAATGGAATGTAAACACCAAGGAAAACCCCATGTCTTGCAGGGTTGGTGTTTGGAATCTGGAGGTGAGGAATGATGACCAGAGAATGAGTTAAAAGTGGAAAAGCTGGTGTAAACAAATAAAGAATGCTGACAATGAATGAGAACCAGATTCAGAGAAGTTGGGTATGTGCAGTATGCTAGATTAGCTCAGTGCAAGTCTTGCTTACATGGCAGTTGGCTCAGTCTTTGAGTAACCTTGGCAGTCTCTGAGGATTAGTGTCTCACAAACACAAAATGTGCTTCTATGGCTTTTTAAAAAATATTTTTACTTAGAAATGCAACGCCTTCCAGCATCAGATATGTCTGTTTTTCTCTTTCCACCTACTTATCCTCCAGGATACATATTTATTGTAACTTTTGCAAGTAAGTATCTCCTTTCAGCCCGCATCTCCTTTGCTGTGCGTTCCTCCAACATACAGCCCACAGCTGTGATGCAATGCTTATATAACAGGACTCCCTCTCCATCTGTAAGAGCTACAGATGTTACAGGAAATTTCACACAGGCACCACTGGAGTCAGGGTAATCAACACTCAGTATAGATTAGTCTGACTGAGAGCAAAATGTCATCTTTTCATTAGGCAGAAAAATGCTGGTTATATAAATCACTGTCAGCGTGGTCAGTGATAATGTTGCTGTCCAGTGTTAAGTGTTGAGCTATCATGCATTTCTCACCTTACTCTTGGGCTTGACCTTCCTAGTCTATGAGAGGTCACACACTGCTTATGCTGTGGTGCAGGACTCCGAGGGAGTGTTGCCACACGGCTCCGGTCCTATATCAAATATGCCGGTGGTAGACGGCTTCCTGAGGCCTGCTCCCTCCTGTGCACTGCAAGCCCACAGCACTGACACCAAGCAGAGCACCTTCCATTCTCCTTCTCATGCAGAGCTGTTGTACGTAACATAATGGAAAATATGAAGCCGCACGTGGGGAAAACCCAGATGACTCAAGCTGCGGCAAAGAACCTGAGAAACAAACACACTTTTGAGCCTCTGCCTTCCCACGTACACGGAGAGCGGTGTCTGCAAGTGCCTTTTGCTGATGTCCCAGTCCAGCAACTCACATGCTTGAAGGACCCTGCTAAAATGGGACTGAAATGGAAACCTCCTGATCCAAAACTCCTTGACTGAGGGGTATGTTCACTTTAATGGGTTCTGAATTGCATTAGGAAACCAAAGTAAAATTTAAGGCAAATTTAAGTAGAACGTTTTGCTTCCTTGGTCTGGATGTAAATGCTGCAACGTTTCATATCTGAGCATTATCCCAAACATGGCCAGTGTAGTTGCTGGAGGGCTATGACAAGTTGACTGCTCAGATGGTTGGGCATCTTAATATTCCTCTGTTTAATTGCTCCATTTAATAATTTTGGAATTACTTTGTGTGTCAACATAAGGGGCTTTTGCAGGAGCAATCTGTTAGAGTCATAGACACAATCTACATACTAAACTGTGGAGTTCGATCTATGTGCTGAAAAGTTAGAGCAGCCCTATTCTGCGCTAACATGTAGCACGGTACAAAGAATAGCGGAGCAACAAAGACTAATACTTCAAGTGTTATTACAGTCTCCCATTAAATCACAATCGTTGTTTAGAGAAGGAAGTGTTGTTTCCAGTGCTCATTCTCCTTTATGAAAGGTTAGCAGCTTTGTGTAGCTTTATGAGCTAACTATCTGGTATGTTTTCCAAGTGGTGACTAAGTAGGTTATCTCAATGTAGGAAGTGAGTTAACAGTGATGGAAACAGATTAAAGCTATGGACTAAACAAAAGTACGATGGGTTTTATAGGACCTCAAATTGCAACTTCATTTTACAGAAACCATGAACAGTCAATACGTTAAGGACTAAGAACATCAATTCACCAAGAAAATTGAGACCTTAGTCTTAACGTTCCTTCCCTTATACATCTGCTATATGCAGTAATTGAAAAAGACGGTGACTGTAGATTTTTGAAGATATACACTGATTCACTTGTATTTGTGTGTCAAACTCTGGCTCATCACATACCAAGGCTCAGCCATCCAGATTAAGTTTTTCCTGGGTTTTATTTGCTGTAAAAAATGCAAAACTTTTGCACATCTAGGGGGGAAATAAATTTCTGGGGGTTTTTTTTGGCTTAGCATATTCTACTTCATGATTCCATTGCTTTGATAATGTATGCTGTTTGCTTCTACTGACAGACATACTGAGAATTACAGTTTAGAAATATGATACACATATAAAAGATAGTAGCTATTTAATTTAATTTAGAACTGACAGCAGCTCTTTTTCTCTGCCTGTGAGTGTCTGGGTGGGATTCATTTCTCACTTAGCTTTAGACATCAACAAGGTAGATGTCCAAGTGAGAGCTAGTCAAACAGAGGCCCATCATAGAAAAAGGAAATTGTTCTATGGAGGTGGCTATGTCACAAGTGCATATCTGAGAAATAAATATATGGCACATGTTTATCCTTTGCTTTTGTATGAAAAGCTGGCCTTTATTTTCTGCTCCTCTCCTCTTCACTGCAAAGCCTGCTGCTATACTCTTGCTATCCACTTAGGTGTCTGAGTTCTGCTGAAGGTGAAGCACAAATACAATCTGAAAATTGTTACTTGGAAATAAAAGGTATTGCTAGCTAATACGCTGACAAGTTCTCTCTGATCAAAACTCTGCCAGCCACTTGAGAAGGACAGAGGTGGCCAGGCCTGTCCACATAAGCGCATTGTGAAAGATGTGGTCAACGCTCCCTGCTTCAAACAGTAATAAATCACAAAGGAGGCTGTGAAGATCATAAGATTTGCATAAAATGTCATGAACTCTAGAAAAGTTATTACAGCACCCTTGGAGTCTTACCTGGTTCTGAACGTGAAGGATGAGGACACTCAGCTTCTACTGCTGGAGAATTTTATTGACCTCTGGGTGCTTCTTCTAGGGTCTGCTCAGTAGCAGCATGATGATGATATCATAGCACAAATGTCTGCCCTTGGGCACCTGGAAACATCGTACCCACCATGAGCAAAGCCATCATTTGTCACTCCAAGTCCCTTCTCACCGAATCCCCCAGATCTCTTTTTCCAAATGTAAAGGTCTCATTTGTACAGATTTGCAGCTTCTCACCACTCCGTGGTAGCAACCTACAAGGTCTTGTTAGGGAAGAGCATCAGGGGGTTGTACATGTACTCCAGAGGTTATGATGCAAAGTTGCTGCTGCATCCCTGGAATGATGATAATTTTAAGGCACCTTATTCAGGAAGGAAGGATTTCATTTGTCAAAAATTACCAAACTCTGTGTCAAGCTGCATCTCAGTGTGTGTGTGAGTTTCGGCTAAGGCCCTATGTTGTTGTGGACATAAGTAGCAGTGTCACAGCCTGCTCCATGGTGCAGTGGGCTCAGGGAAAAAAGAAGCAAATCTTTCTTTCTGCTGGCAGAGCTAGACTGAAAAAATGGGGTCAGAAGCCAGTGTACCTCCACTGAATGGTTGCACTCATTTAGCATCATTTTAGTCATATCACTTATTCCCTCCAATGACTCTGTCTTCTGGTTTGACTGCTTACTCTAAAAAAAACACCCACAAAACAAACAAACCAAAACCCCTAAAACACCTATATGCTGGGAATATACATGTGGGACTCATTGTAAAGCACACTTTTCAATTCATTATCTATGAAGCCATTTGCTGACAAGATTTCTTTTTTATCAGAATGTGTATCTCCAATTTATTTTCTTTACAGGAAAGTCTCTTGGACATGGAGCTTTTGGAAAGGTGGTACAAGCATCTGCTTTTGGAATTAAGAAATCACCAACATGCAGAATAGTTGCTGTGAAAATGCTGAAAGGTATCTTGCTGCAGATCTGGGATGGAAAAAATGATGCCTTGTATAGGGTTCCACTTTTAATATGATTCTGTAGAAAGCAAGTGTGTATGATGTAACACCACCCAACCCCACCCCACCCTGCCTGAATAGCTCTCTGAAGCCTCCAAAATGTGTACACCAAGTTTCAGGTCCACCACAAGTGAAATGGCAGAACTATGAAATACAAATTACATTCACAGTAAAAAGGGTGAAAAATTGTGACATGATACAGAGAAAGTTTCAGGTGCAGTGAGAACCTGATAGCCTACTTTTTTAAAAATCTGGTTCCACTACTTCAAATGCCAGAAAGAATGGAAGAGTCATTTTTGTAGGATCAGAAGGGGCAATTAGATTTCCTGCATACCCTACATTGTATCATTATGCTAGACTGACCCTGTACTGAACACTGTAAATGAAATTTTGCTGAAGCATAAGGCACCCACCTTGATGTGAAGACACTTGGATGGAAGCTTTTGTATTTTCCTTGGTCATTATTTTCAATGATTAATCATCTCATTGTTAAAAACAGGTGTCTAATTTGCATCTGTCTGACTTTCTCTTCTCATTCAAACCTTCTCCATTAGATTATATAATGATTTTTCTTCATGAAGGCCCTTTTATTAAGCTAAACAGATTGAGCTGTCTAAATCTTGGAGTTGTACAGGTGTGTCCTCTCTTAACTGTCTGCAGACTCATCACACGGGCTTAGGATGCTGACACGCAGGTTGTGTAATGGATTTGCCAGCGCTTTTCATACACCAGTGCTCTTCCCAAAGTGAAATCATCTCCCAGCTATTCACTGCCACTTTTCTCATTGGAGCAGAAAGGACAAAGACCCACATCAGTTTGAAGAGGGTGCTTGGGAAGTTAGCAGGCAGGAGGATATTCAGTAGTAGCCTGCAGCAGCTGTGGCTGAATTCCCTAACCCAGAGTCCTAGTGGCATCCCTTTCTACGTATTTAGCTTTCCCTTGTTAGATATCTAAGGATTATATCAGGCTTTTTTTTTTTTTTTTTTTTTTTTTTTTTTTTTTTTTCCCCGATTGCCTTATCTGTCTTAATCCTTGAATGCTTTTTGGTGTCATTCTTTACCAGGACACATCCCCTGTTCTGCCAGTAAGGCTTGGATCCCTGATGTTCTCAGTCAGCTCTGTTCAGGCATAGTTTGAATACATCCCTCTTATCCAGTGGCTCCTAGCTTCACAGCTGCATACTTGCTTATCAGTTATCAGGAGATCTGTACATGTTACTTCCAGCCCCTAGAGGGGCATGTGCAATACTCTCAGACCTACAGTCTGTCCCTGCAACACTCAACCTGAAATAGCTTCTATTTCTTGCCAGCAATGACTTGGCAGCTGTACTCGGTGTAGGGTGTGCCCTCTTGATATTGTCTTCAATAGGCTTGTTCTGCAACGTAATATCAAATGCTTTAGCAGGGGGTGGTACCTGCTACTGTGATATCCAGGATCATCCCCAAGGAGGGAATTTGCAGTTGAGAGGGTTGCAAACCTTTCTCCTCTCTGTTGTTGCAGAAGCACAGAAATACCCTGTTGGCCAATGCCAAATGAACAACTACCCTGCAGCAAGCACATCTGGAAAATGGGAGGAAACTAAAGCTTTGGTCCCTGTCAAGACCTTCTGCAGCAGTGGGCCAATAGCCATCTGTGTCACTGGTTTCAGTGGATGGCCTGTCACCGGGGTCACTGCCTGACCCCTGATTAACTGAGCTGTTTTGCCAACATGCAGACATACGTGCTGGCAGAGTGGTCAGCCAGATTCAACTGGTTTTTTTTATGTACAGCAGCAGGCTTCTTGTGCCAGCCGGCACCATCAAGCCAGCAGAAGTCACTCCTGGAATAGATAGGAGCAGATGGCAGCTACAAGGAGTCTTCATGGTGGGATTCATGTGTGTATGTGCAGGGTAGATGCTTGTATCTGAGTTAGTCACTCAGATTCCCTTTATTGTCAGTGGTGAGAAACAACAGTTCATCCCATCCTAAGGCAGATCCCTGCATATGGTGAGCTGAGCGCTTGTTTAGCTCTGCTGACTATGAAGAGAGCCTGTAGTGACTAGATCCTCCATAGGCGTCTTCACTATGGCCACCTAAAGTTAGGGGAGATCTGCCCCATTCCTTGTGTCCTCACTAGATTATGCAGGAACTTTGAAGTCATTCATGGGCTTTGTCCTTGCAGAATTCCCACGAGGCAGAGGGAAAGTGTCACCACCTACACAGATGAATAGTGGGTCACCGGCTAGATGACAAGTTTTGTGTGGGGCCACCAAGAAAATCTGTTTCCATTCAGATGTTGAAACCAAGCCCTTTAAGACCTAGCTCTAGGGTTCTTTCCACTGGACTATTCTTACTCTTGGTGTCACTAAACTGAAAAAGTCCTTTTGGGTCTACATAAAGCAATATGTTTTTTCTTGTTTTCTTACCAAAACAAAATTCTGCAGAAAAAATTTGCTTGAAGGGAATGAAAAGTTTCACTCAACACTAAAGAGAATCTTCTGGGTTTCGTTGTGGGATTTCTTATATCATTACTATTATTAATATTGATCATTACCAGTAAGGGTGAGATGCAGTCACCTAACTTTAACCATTTAAAATTTGCTTCCATGGTCTGTCTTAATATTCCAGGCTTCCTCTATAATGAACAGAACCAAACAATCATCACCAAAGGGTGGTTCATCACTTGCATACACAGATGGCTAAAGCTGATGGCTGCATCAGCCTCTGGAAATGCTTTGCTCTTGCCACTGACTCATTGAGATGTTGATTAGTTCAGGCTAGTACATAACCCTTAGATGGCTGAAGTCAGGTCAGCTGAAACCTACTCTAGATAGAGTTAATTATAGTCTTGAAATCCCTTTTTATTTATTCTTTCATTTTTTGGCTGAAATGACAAAACTATTCATGTGAAAAAAAATTCTCTCCGTTCTAAATATAACAGTCTACTGGGAGGAAGTTGAGTGCCTAACTCTTTTTATGGGTTTTATTGCGAGTAAGAGGATGCTGAGCAGGGACGAATAGACAAAGAACATCAACACATGAAGTACATCCAGTAATGGAGATTATTTCAATAGAAAGTAATGAGAAGTGCTAAAGCTCAGCATGACCAGTTCTTTGCCATTTCACATTGACTTTATTTTGCATTTACAGAAGGGGCCACAGCAAGCGAGTACAAAGCACTGATGACTGAGCTGAAAATCCTGATCCACATTGGTCATCATCTCAATATTGTGAATTTGTTGGGAGCTTGCACAAAAAATGGAGGTAAAAAAATCTGCACTGCACTGAAAATGGGTTTGGATGACCTCCCAATAACAGTCAGTTGGCCGTGTTGTTTTTCATCCAGAGGTCAAGTTATTAACCTGAAATATTTGAGCTCATCCTGTGGTTGGAGAAAGAAAGAGGAAGAGAAAAAGAGATTTTCAGTCATTTAATGAAGTGATTAAACATTTTCTGTACTTAAACTCTCTTTTAGTATTAACATAAGAAGTGTGAATTTAGGACCATGCCTCTTGTTGTCCTTTATCTCACTCACTCCACTGCTCAACCTCAAGTTAAACATGATCTGGAAAGGCTGGGAACAAGAGATATCAGCTGTTGGCCCTGAACAATGAATCGCAAGGCAACCATTGTAAAATCCTTCCTGATATTCGACTAAGAAAATCAAAGGGCCAGTATGAATGATCGTTTATTTTAGATATGTCAGTATTCCAGTTCAACAAGCGTGTGTGGGCTGCGGGACTCCAGTCTGAACACAGACTGCCCGAAGAGGAAACAGAGGGTTCCTCAGGAGCCAGGTTCATGACCCAGCTTTCAAAAATTAGGCCCTTCCTTAATTTCCAGAAACAGTTTTTCTAATGTATCCAGTGCCCTTCAGGCAGCCTTCTACTTCATTCGGACATATTGTTAGTTATTCTGGACTCAAGGTATAGCTATGGGCATGAAAGACTATCCTTCCCAGAGCTGACAACCCCTTGTATTGCTTTATGCTGCTCAAAATGTACTTTCTTTTGCCCAGGGCCTCTGATGGTGATTGTTGAATACTGCAAGTATGGGAATTTATCAAACTACCTGAAGAGCAAGAGGAATTTTTTCTGCCCCAACAAGGTGAGGAGGCGGAGGCCTCTGGTAGGGTTCATCTTACCTAATATAAGTGTTGGTAATGTAGATGTCAGCCTCTGAGCTGGTCTCCTTAGACTCTCTTCTACCAAAGAAGAGAAACTGCTTTTGGGTGCAGTTCCCCTGACCTGTTTTAATGTTTGGTGTGGGATGTGCTGTGCTCATTTTTCTCCCCTGACTGTGCAAGGAGACTGCTGTAATTTGGACGGAGCCATCTACAGCAAAAGGAAGTGAATCCTATCCAAAGTGTCCCCACATGCTCTCGCCCCACTGCTCTGGGAGTCACTTCAGAGGCTGGTGTCAGCGAAGCCGAAGGAAGTGGTTTTGCCCACTGATTTCAGTACCACTGGGAACACAACCGAGATAATGCCATTTAAAGCTCATGTTCCAAGACACCCTAATGTTCAGAGACTTGCAAGTAATCTTCTTATTGTGTGAGGAAAAGGGCTATCAAGAGGAAAAGAGATTAGGGTCTTGTCCTTACATCCCACAGCCCTCTGAATCAAATCCACGGCATGTTTCTTATTACAAACCTGAACCCAAATGTGCCAACTATATCCATGCTTATGCTCTTTCATCAAAATCCCCCAAAGGATTAAGGGCTCTGAAGTGGGATTTAGGAGCCTGGACCCAGAACGGCAGTCCTCAAAACCCCTGCTCAGCTGTGCCAAAAGCTCAGCAGCATCTCAGGGTTTTTTCGGAAGGGCTCTGCGGGAAGGCACGCTCAAGAGTACCTCCCCCTCCAAAAGGCTTTGGCCAAGTCTCTGTTCCCAAGGCCATCCATGCTGGACTCTGCATGAAACACAGCAGCCGCCTCCTCCAACGTGCAGTTGTTGGTGTAAGAGGCTCAGCAGGGAACATGGCCGTGTAGGGTCCACCCTGGGGGGAGTCACTCACATCCCCCCGGTGAGGAGCCTGCCCGGACTCTGTGCTCCAGCACCCCTGGGAAGGGTGCCTGGCAGGGAGGGAGGGAGAGAGCCCAGCTCTGCACCAGTGTGTGCAGGAGAGAGACATGGTCACAGGACAAGAGGAAAGAGGAGAGGGGGCAAGAGCATGGCCAGGTGGCTAGGCTGCTCTTCGGGTAGCAATGGGAATGTGTTTTCCAAACAGTGTTGCATGTGTCGCATTAAACCATCATTTACTGTAACATGAAAGCATTGGATAAAGGCATAGGGGAAGAGAGGTGGTCACTTCCAAAAGCAGCTGTGTTTCAAACACAAAGTGCCCTTGCTCCTCATTGGAAGGGCTTACAGACCCGTGCCAAGCTCTGTGCAGGGACATAGAGACAGGTGCCTTAAGCAGTCTGGGATGAAGAGCTGATGCTTTATTTTGGGAGGGCTGGAACACCTGCACTATGGGCACATCCTTCTCAACTTATCCCTCCATGCTCCTTGTCTGGCTACTGGAGAGAAATATACCCTTTCAGATGTCTCATTTCAGGCTGAGATGAGCCACAGCCCAGTGGACATGTACATCCATGGACCCTGCAAATCCTCACCACATCAGAGGTAGCCCACCACCCGGGTTGCCCCAAAATCATGTGCTGGTGCTCCCAAGCCACCATGTTTCTGCCCTCTGAGGATGGCAACCTTGATGGAGCACAGCCCTGCCACCAATCCCTGCCTGCTGTGGTGGCACTAGACACCCATGCCCGTGGGAGACATGACCGCACGTGCCACAGACCAGCATTTTCTCCCAGCGGAAAGGCGACAGAAGTCTGACTCGATTCCTCTCCCACCCCCTCCGTCACTCTGATGTAGCACCTCTTCTCCTCTGTTTGTTTGAAGGACTCCTCTCTGCAAGGACAGCCAATGAAAGAGAAAAAGGATATTGAGCCAGTGGAAAGCAAAAAACAAAGGCTGAGCAGTGTCACCAGCAGCGAGAGCTTCGCGAGCTCTGGGTTCCAGGAAGATAAAAGTCTGAGTGATGTGGAGGAGGACGAGGAGGGTAGGTATTAATTTCCCTACACGGTCTGTGATATTTTTACAACATACTGTGCATCCCTGAAATTTTTTTCCTCATTTATCACCCTAATAAACATCCGTGGGAGACGCTCACAGGGTCATGTCCAGAGGATAGAAGATTTAAAAAAAGATTATTTCCAGGGTTACTAAATCTGACAGGAAAATGTGTGATTGTTTCTTCTGACTGCTCCTTATCTTTGGGGAAAACACAGCAGTGTCCAAAGCACGGGGTATAAAGCAAGCACTATTTTTGTTTCCAGTGACAGTGGGTTGACCTTCGAATACTACTCTATGAAGACTGAATTTATGGGAGTAATAGGGTCAGTAAGAGAGGGGGAAAATAACTGCCTTGTGAGCAATCTTTGTAACAAACTGCGTTTTCCACCTTTGCAGAGGCTGATGAGCTCTACAAGTTGCCCCTCACTATGGAGGACCTGATCTCTTACAGCTTTCAGGTGGCCAGAGGCATGGAGTTCCTCTCCTCCAGAAAGGTGAGTTTTGTGCTGGAGATTTTTCCCTGTAGAAGGATGGGATTCAGAGGTGGAATCATGTCTATGTTTTAGCAACACCTTCCTTGGGAGAGCTCCCAAAGGAAGAGACGCTTTCCTCTTGGCGTTATAAATATAATGGTGTGTTTATCCAAGTCTCTATAGTCCATAAACACAGGATCATGGCTGAAGGCAGTGGGTCAAGCTCATTCATTCAGGGAAGATCTTTTGGGTGTGGTGGTTTTTTTTCTTTATTTCAACATATAGTAGGTAGGGAGCTCCAAATGAATCAGCGCTTTCCCTGCAAATGTCAAGGGGCTTAAAAATTTATCACTTTCTGGACTTAGGGTTTGGTTTCTTTTTTAAGAACTGCCACTGTTTACAGTAACTTCATGTAAACTACAGTCAACTTCCCTAAAAAAATATTAAATTGATCTCTCAAATAATAATAATAATTTTAAAAAGGATACGAGAGACAGTCAGGAAATTTGTGGGCAGGATTAAGGAAATGCAGTTTGATTGTGAAACTGTTTTATTATAGTGCATTCATCGTGACCTGGCAGCCAGAAACATCCTTTTATCTGAGAACAATGTCGTGAAGATCTGTGATTTTGGCCTCGCAAGAGATATTTATAAGAACCCTGATTATGTGCGAAAAGGAGATGTAAGTCAAGATGATGTTTATTTACCCAAATGTTTATAACATATCATTTCAAACTGTCCACCAAAATGTTCTGTAGATGTTCACATTTCCTGAACTTAAAAGAGGTTGAAAGCTATCACGGTATTTGTGCGAAGATGAGCTATCCAGATGTGTTGTAGATCTGGAAAGCATTTCTCTCTCCTCAGGCATAGGGCTTGGACATGCTAACTCTTTCACATCTCTGCCCTGTTAATACTTTAGATTTTTTTTAGACAAGTTTCTTGGCTGGCTCAGCATAACCCCCTTACTTGGTAAACTTCCTTCAAGGAAGCCAGTCCCTCCAAAGCAAGGTGCGTGCTCCCCAGTGCCCCCATGCCGAGGCCAAGCACTGCTCATGGTGCCTCAAGCATCAGAGCTGGACTCGCTGCCTCCAGCTCCTACTCAGGGTTTTGTTTTTTTTTTTTTGCTTCTGCGGCAAATAGCAGGCAGTAAGCCCCCTGCCAGGCCTACCGTGAAGGCTGAGTCAGCAAACCGTGCCTGCACCCAGTGATGCCGTGGGAATTTAGTGTGGGTATTGGGGTCACACAGAGAGTCTCCTTCTGGAGGTCTCACCCACCTGCCAGCTATTCCTTCATCAGTAAATAGCTTTCAAGACTTACAGCACTACATTTTAGCTGGGAAACATTGTTCACATAACTTGGGTACCACCCAGGAGAACCTAACAGGCTGTGCTGAGGGGGCTTCAAGGATTGCTGATATACTCCTGCAATTCAGGCTCTGAAAACTTCCCCGAGAACATCTCCAACACCATCACAGAATGATTTGCGCTTGGACATAGGGTTTTCTCCCCTGTCTCTCAGACGCTGGCAAGAGACCTCTGCTCTTGCAAATCTCCACATCCACGTGAAGAAAAGGCCTGGTCACTCTAGTCACAGGTCGCCAATATCTGGTGTTTTGTGCCACACATATTTTAAAAACAGCCTTTTACTCCGACAATTTGTTAAGAAAGTGTCTGAATGAGTATGGGTTTATCTTGACTGCCTGTAAGGAAATCCCACGGGTTCCTGTTTGAATGGTAATTATTTAATTAACAATATATAGTTGATTCATCTACGATTAAATTATTTTAGGCTTTGAAAATAATAGTCAGGTTTGTCCCTTTTACTCCAGGCTCGACTTCCTCTCAAGTGGATGGCTCCAGAATCTATATTTGATAAAATCTACAATACAAAAAGCGACGTGTGGTCCTACGGGGTCTTGCTGTGGGAGATATTTTCCTTGGGTACGTTAACTCTGCACACTGGGAACTGGACTCAGCGGCGGGGACTTCAGCCTGGGGAAAAACATCCATTACCTTCAACGAGCTTTTGCCAGGTCTTTAGTGAAGAAAGACCTAAATCAGGCAGAGGTGGGGTAGAGGGGGTAGAGGGGAGAACTGTGTGTATCACGCCCCTGCAACTGGAAATTTTGACGCTTGTAAGGGCACTGAAAGCTGACTTGTCAGATTGAAAGCCTTAATGGATGGTACAGCTATCTGAGAACTTTATCACCTATTTCTGCCATGGGAAAAACCTAAGCTTCCCCTCTTTTCCCTGTAGAAACCCACAGTAGAGATGCAGGGCAGCACAGCCAGAGCAGTCACAGTGCTTGTTTGACTGATGGCGCAAACCAGGAAAATTGGGCAAATTTTTAAGTGTTTTTATTAAATGTGGAACCCTGTGGGATAACATGGAGCTGTGGGCCTGGGTCGGCAGCTGCCAGCGACCGAGGCATCGCCTCCTGTGCCACAGACAGCATTCAAGACACCGAATGCCAGGGGCTGGGTGCTCCCTCAAAACCTTCTTCTCTTGTGGGAGCAAGGGAGCTGAACGCACACAGAGGTCTCTGCATGTCTCAGACTGTGTCACCCCCATTTCCAGCCTGAGACCAGGCAGTCACCCCAGCCCAGGAGGGACCCGGTGCCCCCCCAGCCTGGGCTGCTGGATGCAGCAGGCGAGCAAGCATCCGCACAGATGCCGCAGGATGAACTAGAGCATGCAATCCGAAATTAAAACCCAGTGAAGCTTTTTTTCCCCCCCTTTCTTTCACGTGGAAAAGGCAGGATAGAAGATGTACACTGAGCAGGAACAACAATGACTGTCAGAATAGAAGAATCTTAATTGGGTTCAACATAAAGGCTGACAAAAGAGGCAAACAGCAGAGGAAACAATACTATACAATTCTCAGGACAATCAATCATTTATTAGTTTAAATACGTGTTGTTGGTCAGCCTGCCAACTCTTGTGATTTTATGGTCAGCCTCATAATACCTGCTATTTTTTTCTTAAAGCCCCAGCTCCTTGAACCTGGTGACTGACTCAGACTGGTGGTTTGGTTTTTTTCTTTCGTTTTCCCTTTTCCTGATGTTTTCTTATCTACAGAAAAAAGGCCAACAGCACTATCAGGCTGCATCTTAAAACCACAGAAACTGAGAAATAATGCAAATGTACTGTGATCTGATTTAAAACCATGATTTTTTTATTTTCAAAGTGGTTTTGAATATTTGGGGTTTGTTAATACTCTGCTTACTAGAATTTGGGGTGGTCCAAACCATAGAGAGATTGGACTTGGCTGTTGTTGAGGGATTCTTTCCAAGTCAAATTCATGTGTGTTTTTTGCATTCAGGCCAGGTAAGCACCACCAATAGTGCTGGCTTGACCCTGCCCCCCACCAAGGACCAGGGCTTGGAGCGCCATCAGCAGCAGTTCCCTGCCTGTGGCAGCTGGCAGGAGCCAGACCCCGCAGGGGGGACGCCCCCGGGCTCCCAGCTCTGCAAGCAGATGCTGCACACCCCGAGGGTTTGGGGGGCATGCGTAGGGCCAAGGCTAGGTCACAGGTACCCAGCTCAGGGGATGTATGATCCTGTTGTCCCAATGTCGTCCCCAGGTGCCTCTCCTTACCCTGGAGTCCAAATAGATGAGGATTTCTGCAGCAGACTAAAAGAAGGCACAAGAATGCGAGCCCCGGAGCAAGCGACCGAGGAGATGTAAGATGCCTTTCTCTGCTTGTGTTGTATACCGCTGCCCTCCTGGGCTGCCTTGCAGATGACGTACGAGTCTCTGCAAAAAGTATGCCGTGCCAACATAAGGAAAAACAGCCCAATGCTGCCTCGTATCTTCTTGCCTCTCATCAGCACCTTCTTGCATCCACCCCCACCCTTGGCCCCCTGGGCCTCCTGTGGGGTAGGAGAGGGTGAGGAAGTACATGGACCCAAGCCCAGGGCAGCACTGGGGCTGGGCTCTGAGGGGAGCTGAGTGAGCAGCCCGGAGGAGGAAGGTCACTCGTTCCTCTCCAGATTTAATATTTACCAACGTGCACACAGAGAAGTGCTGGAGGAATGTGACGTTATTAACGTCGTCTTGACTTAGGAAGAAACAGTGGAGGCTTCCTCGCAAGCATTCAGGTGACAAGGGTCCACCGTTTCCTGGAGACAGTGTCTGATGGCAGAGGAAGGTGACGGGGAGCTGCAGCCTCCCAGCCCGTGTTGCCTGTGGGGTTTGTCTGAGCCCTTCCACTGTGACATCAGCTGTTGCTCCCTGGTCCCTGCCTTCAGGTGCAGCCTCCAGCTGCTGCTGCATGGCCAACACCTTTTTGGAGTCCTGGGGGGGTCCCAGTGAGACCCTGAGTTTGCAGCCCCTCTGCCCTGGGAGCGGGACGGAGCACCCTGCCCGGGGAGGCACCTGCGGCATGCTGAACACACCCCATGGCACAAATCATTCAGGAGCATGAACATATCCAGGGTATTTTACCTCTGGGGGCAAAATCAAGTAGGTTTAGGTGTCTTCGGTGCCTTTTTGAGTGCTATGTCAAGACTTTAAATAGCAACACTTACCAAAAAATAGTTCTGGAAGAAGTAAAAGGATGCGAGCCAGCCATGCCTATCTGGGAGTATTACCCATTGGCTAATTTTATTATCCTAGTGACAGTAGATAAGAGCTTTTTTTTTTTTTCTCTTCCACATATTTTATTGCAGGAAGGAAAGCTCGACTCGACCAATACGAGGAAGTGACACATTCATATAAGTCATCTTAGGATGTCTTAACTTAAACATTGCCAGTTAATAGATGCTTAATACAAAGGTTTAATGCTTAATTAGGAATAAAAAAGAAAGTATGACTAGTTGGCTATATTATTCTTTTGATGTGGTCTTCCCGCTGTCTTGTGGGAAGAAGGGTTTTTTTCTTTTTCTGTGGAAAGTTTACTCTTTAACTTTTAGTAAGAGACCTTGGTGGTGTTAGAGAGAATCTTTGTAAAATCAGGTGGGTTCAGTAGTTAACTCTACCAATGACAAGCTGTCAGAGACTGTGCTGCCTTGGACCAAAGCGAGCTGTAACCCCACCATGTGCTCATTTTGCTTTTGTCCCCACAGCTACCAAATCATGCTGGACTGCTGGCGAAGCAATCCCAATGACAGACCAAGGTTCTCTGAGCTGGTGAAAAAGCTGGGCGACCTGCTGCAAGCAAATGTCCAGCAGGTACTAACGTCACAACCGCATGCTGCGACTGAGGTGGGGGCGACTGGCCACATAGTCCCAGGAATAATGCTTTGATTTCTTGTGTGCATTTAGGAAGGCAAAGACTACATACCCCTCAATACTATATTTACAACGGAAAATGGTTTTCCTCCTGCATCCGATCCTTTGTGCAACGAAAATTTTTCTGTTACAAGCTCAAGTTGTGGAAGCACTGAAAACATCAGGTGAGACAAGCAAGATCAAGACTGAGTTTGTTTGTTGGGTGTTGTAGCTTGCTGCATGGCCTGGTTTGGACCTGGGTGGGAGAAAACACCCAGAGACACCCCACATGGTCTGAGTGTCCCACCAGCCACTGAGCCGCCACCACTGGGATCCTGTTGGGCTGGGACAGCCCGTTGGGGTGTCTCTGCCCAGGGGGACCATCACGTCACCAGGCTTGGGCACTGTCAGAGGGGCAGCTGTGTGCACCCCAGGGCTGGGGAATGAGGTTTGGGTGGGGTCTGGTTAACAAGTCCCTTTTGTGCAAACTACCTCGATGACACTTAGGCAACTGCTTAAAGAAACAGAGAAATATCCAGTGCTTCCTGCTTACACCCTTCACACTCTCGCCAAAAATTGTCCTGCTTTTCTTGTTGAACAGATACATAAACACTTTCAAAATAAAACCACCCCAGTGCATAAAGACATTTGAAGAGCTTCCCATCAAGAAAACGCTTGTATTTAATGTAAGTGACTCTTGGGCCAAATGATACGCCATTTATTTCTTTTTATTTATGTGACAGATTTATACGGAGAGACTCAAGAAGGGGTTTTAGTGCTTTGTCAGCTCTACTGATACAAGGTGCAAGATTAGCTGTGCTTGCAGCATGGTGTTATCCCATGTCCTACAAACTGGGGACAGTAGATCCTTGCTGACCATGCAATGGGTTGCAAACACTCCTTCCCTGGTAAGAAATGGCCGGTGCCAATAGCACTGCAAGGTTTGGCTACCAGAGTCCCATCTGAGTCCCACTGGTGTGGGAGAGACACTTAAAATCACTTGGATTCATGTTTTCATCTGAATAGTAGTGCACAAATGGGTCACATTTCCACCAGAGGTTCCTGGTATGAACAAGTCCTGTTATCTGGCGGCCAAGCTGGGGAAATGTCTCCTAACGGGGCACACATGCTGTCCTGGTGGGGGTGGGCATGAGTGAGAGGCTGGGGGAAGCTTTTAGTGACCCATTTGTATGCTTCAAGCGGTGGGAGGTGGGAAAGTCACGGTAGTGCTCTCAAGGCTGAGCTAGTGGCTGGCCAGAAAGTCACCTTGCACATAGACACCTTTCTTTTAACACTCTGTTAGCTGCATTAATGGCATGTGTTTGCTGCACCCCAAGGACAGTTTGGAAAGGCACCATTAAATACCTGGGCATTGCAGCACCTTGAGCAGCACAGAGCCACTGCCTCCTAGAGCTCCCTGAGTATAAACAACTAAACCAATGATGAAAATTGGACTGAAGAGGAGTTGAGCCCGTTGTAAAAGTAACTTTCTACAATTAACACCTAACAGGGTTGTGTCTTTCTTTTTTCTTCAAGGATTACCAAGCAGACAGTGGGATGGTGCTGGCTCCAGAAGAACTGAAACGCTTCACATGGACAGGCAGCAAGCAGAAACGGACGCTCTTTGGGTCTGTATTTTATGTTCCCTTCTTCTCCTTCACATTTCAGAGGGCAAAGGAGGATTCAAGGTCCTTGTGCTAAATCAGGCCTAGTGAAAGTAGCTGAGGTGTCCCCAGTCCCTGCAAACACTCTTGCTGAGGTGTGTCCTGCTCAGTTGAGTCAGCAGTCAATCAGCTCCCAGACCTAGCCCTCCATACACCTTCGAGGAAACAAATAACCCTCAACCCCTTCAATGCACATTGCCAACTGATCCTCAACTTAATGCCAGGCTGGACAAGTGAGTGCCAGAGAGCACTAAACCAAGGTAGAGGTAGGTAACTATAGGAAATGAGCCCTTGGCGAGGGGGAGGAGGAACATGTGGCTATGAAGGATTTGCAGTTGTTTCTGCAAGTCCCCAAGGGCACCCCAGCTGGGACAAGGCTCCCTGTGCTTGTTTTTGCCCTTCTTTTCCATGACTCAGCTAAGCACGGCCCATTTAACACCCATGGGCTCAGGATGCTAAAGTGGCAACTTTACAATAGATGGATGTGAGGGCCTCACTTCTCTTCCTGCCTTTAAGCACTTTAATATATTGGCCACCTTCCTCCACCTAATTCCTGACAGCTGCCCAAGCAGGGAACTAGGGCTGCTCTAAGAAACTCATTGCACTCTCCGTAAATGGGAAATGTTTATTTTCTCAACGCCAGTGGTGTCTCAGTTCCCAGCCGCTGCGAAGCTGGCAGTGTCTGTGGCTGGTTTCAGCTCGCTGCTCTCAGCCAGCCCGGGGACTGTCCAGACCAAACCCATCGGTCATCTTACACTGGCAGGAGGTCAAGGCTATCCCGCCATCCTGCCTGAGCCGAACTTGTCAGCAACTTGCAGCTGGGCAGGCTGGGAGGTGTAGTATTGTCTCAATGAACAATTGGAGCTGGCTGAAACGTGCAGTCAAGGCACAGAGGACTTGCTTCAAGAAAAATTCCAGTGACTAAGAGGGCGTTGGTTAAACGCACAGAAATACATGTACGAGAGCGTGCACGCTCACACAGCCAAAATACACAGCTTGCAGGGTAAACGTGCTGCTGGCAGGAGTCAGCAATGGAGCACTGCTCATGCGTGGCAAAGCCGGGGTGATTCAAGCCACTCCAAACAAGTGCTGGAAATCCCTTTCTCCTGCCTTGACCACTCACATTTCAGAAGAGGCAAGAGTGAGAAATTTTATGGTACTTTGATTTTATTGAGAAAGTCTTCCATACTCTCTTTTGAGGAGCCAGGTATTACAGAGCTTGGAATGTGTGTGGATATTAGAGGGCTCCAAAGGATGCAGTGTTTCCTAGGAGTGGTTTAACCCGTTTTCTTCTTTGTGTAAATATGACATTTCTAAAAGCTGCTGTCAGCCACAGAGACAACATGGCAACCTCCCCAAATGAAGTGTATGAAGTGCCCCATACATTTTCTTTGCATGGCACAGAATACATGAAGTGTGCCCCAAGCATCCCTCTGGAACTGCTTTAAGGAGCGTTTTCAGCTGCAGAAGGAAAAGGAATGCTTGGATAGGAAAAAAAAATTAACTCAACAGTGCCTGCTAGAATGTAAATCCTCAGGGAAACAGAGCAGTTGGCTGAGAACATACAAGGTCATCTGGCCTGCAAGCTAAACCAGTGGTACTGTAGCATTATGCCAAAAAGCACTCATGTATGTGAATGCATGCCGTGACCCTTTAGTCTGCACACATTCCTAAAAGCGGTAGCTTCTTAGCTAAGCATCCTTTACTTAGGCTAAATTGGAACAGCAAATAAATACCCCTGAAAGTTGTACTGAACACTGGACAAGGTGGACCCTGGAGGGGTTTGACACATGTCAGCTGATCTAACCAGATGCATAGTCCTGCTTCTTCCCTTGCATCTCAAGCACCCTGCTCTGTGGTCCTGCCCCCTCTCTTGTGCTGACATTTCTGCTTGGCTTGTCTTGCAGAGAGCTGGTTCAGGTCACTGGATTATCAGAACGGCCCCAGAACAGCTTCTGAGCGAGCAGTAGCAGCTCACCATCAGGGCACCTGGTGCCAGTGCCAGGCTGAGGAAGGGGTCACCCCCGTCTTAGCAGCAGATTACAGTTAGATCACCTTCACTGTAACACCTAACCGCTCCCAGAGCACTTACCATCACACTGCAAACCTCAACACTGCAGTTTAGGACACAGATGCAGACAAATCCACTCACACCAGCGGGTGGGTCCCAAGCCAAGGCTGAGGGTGCTGTGGGGCTGTGCCCCTTGCTGCTCCCTGCTTGCCTGCAGGCTGGGTCAGGCTGGCCTGCCTTTCCTGGGGCTCCCGCATTTCCTTGCTGCCCAGGGCAGAATGATGGGGGTAGGCATGTTCTTTCCTCAGTTTGAAGCACCTGAAACACATGGGAGCCAGCCAGGTGTGGTGGTGCTTTCAGACCAGCACAAGGGTGCGTGTGTGCCCTGGAGCGTGGCATTAGAGGATTCAGACTTGGTGGGGCCACGTCTGCCACAACAGCGGTGAAGGACTACATAGGGTGGAAGAAGCCAAACCCGGTGCATCCTACCTGTCCCCAGAAGTGCATCCAGGGTTTGTTTCAGAGGAAGCTGATCAGTTAACTTCAGGAGAGAGCCAGTGCATGCACTGCTGCTTACTCAGCATGACCAACCTGAGAACCAGGCCTGGGGGAGAGCAGAGTGGGGAGCCAGCTTACCTGACAGTGCAGGGCTACCCCACTGACCTAGGTGAGTCCCCTCCCCTCAGGCTTCCACTGCTGTGGAGGGAAAGGCACCAACACGCAAAGCTCACCCTTGGTTTCACTACCGGAAATGAGCATCAGCCAAAACCCTAGTGAGCCCCTTGGCCCCAGGTGGTGGCCAGGAGCACAACAACAGAAACGGTTGCTACGTGTCTTGGACTTGCTATGGCCATTGAGATAAAAGTAAGTGATACTGGGACAGCATAAAGAGAGATAAGTCTTTCTTAATGTAAGGTCTCAGTTAACAAGATCCCAATAAAAAGGTCTGGGTGCAGAGAAAGACCAACCTTCTGAGCTATGCTCCTTTGCAAGTGGAAAGGATCGCAACTGCAACTCTTTTCTAGCTTTTCAGTATTGGTGAAAAAGTCCAACCCAAGTAAGCCAAAATCATCAGGCTGGAGCAAACCCTTGAGTCAAAGCAAATTGCTAAGCCAGAAAAAGTCACAAATCCACCCCTTGTGAGCTGGAACAAGCACCTCAAGAGCCGCAGCCAGCCTCTAACCTCACTCTGTTCTTGAATCTGTCAGGAAAGCAGCAGTCATTTCCTCAAACAAATTATCCCAATTAAAACAGCCAGACACAGTTTCTAATTTACACTCCTAGAGTGGAAAGAAGAGAGTCCACAGCTAGAGAAGCCTTTACTGACTGTAAGCTCAGTCTCAAAATGAAGCCTGACTATGGATGCCAAAACCCCGTGGGCTCCCTCAAAGCTCTCTGTGGGAGTGCGTGCCCAGGTACAGCAGTGCACTTGAGGTAAAATTAATAGATGCAGCTCTACTGGTATAAAGGTTTACTAATTAAAGTAGAACCCAAGTCTAGCTCACAAAAAAATTCTCAGGATGCAAAAGCCTGATGATGAATGAAAGGATCAAAGCATGATGATTTTAAGGCTCATAACTTCACACGCACATTCCACTCTTCCCAGCCCACAGCTCCCTAAGACTCACAATTACAATGCAAATCACAGAAGCATTTCTCTTTAAACCCATCACAAAAAGTCCATTGAGTCTGTGACTAACCTTGTCACATCGTTATGGAATTTATCCCAAGGCAATTACTTCTCCATTCGCCAACAGATGCAATAAAAAAATATGGAATGCATCTGCAATCCTCATCATGAGGGCTCCTCCTCATGAACTCCACCCATCTACAAACAAATGTAATGGGGTGGTCTTCTTGGGAGAACCCTCCAATTTCCTACAGTAGGACAGAAGACAGAGACCACGCTCCTTAAAAAGCACAGAGGCTTGTGAGTTAAAGACTGAAGAAACTGTGACACCTAAGAGAAACTGTTACTTCTGCATTTCCTAATCAGGAAGGGCCCTGTGCTACCAGTTCTGTACTCTACTTAAAGATCTAACAGTGCAAATTAAAAAGAAAAGCAAAACCCTGGGCTCCAAAAGCCTCAATAGATGTTCTGACTGTCTTCTCTGGAATTCAGGATGAGGGCTGCCAATGTTCCTGACCTTATAAACAGAGAGGGGTCAAGTGTCCAAGAACTTATAAAAAATACAGGGTATGGAATCTAATTTTAGGCATTGCGGTCCAACATACATTCACATTAGGATTTCACATTTAATCAATGATGGAAAATGCTCTGGCTTGTCCTTTGTCTACAGATAAATCTTTGGTATCTAAGTTCAGTGGTGTGCAAATTCTCTTTGCCTTAACTTTCTTCATTATTGAAAGAGCCCTTTTAAGCACTGCACATTCTGAATACGGGTGAGAAAGTGCTGCAAGGCAAACGACGTCTTTAAGAGTGACTCAGCTGAGAAGACATTAAGCCTCTCTTGTAAAGGGTATCTTATAAAAGCCAGCCTACAGGATAACTGGTCCTTTGCGGGACAGGAAAACTCTAATTCAAACCAGCAGTTCATGTCTGCTGCCAAGAGAAGCCTAGAAGAGGAGATATCCAGACCTTGTGCCCTTCCCCACAAACATCAGCCATTTATCTTAAAAATTCATCCCAGCATTAGGCTTTGGGCACACCTATGCTAGCAGCAGCTTTCTGCTTTTGCCCCAAGGCTTGAGACCTTTCATTACTTCACTCCTGCTCAAAAAAAAACCCCAGTTCCCCTGGGAAGAGCATTTAAGTGTAGGGACCCTATAGGAATGCACAGCCAGACACTCCACACTACTCTGCCCTGCAATGAAGTTTCCCTCCCTAGCACCTGCCACAAATGAGCAGTTAGAGATTAGGCTGGGCAATCAAGTAGTCCCTGTAAGTACCAAGACTCTAATACTTACAATGAACACAAGCACCTTAATAGTGATGTTCAGTCTCAGCATCTCTGTTCAGAAGGGGACTCAAGGGGGACACGGGAGAGCTCTTTCAGTCCTCCGTTCTGCTCTCCCATTGACCAATCCCATCTACATCAACGCCATTACCATCATCTGAGAATAAACAAAGCTGCTTCTTGTGATGTGGCTTTGCTCAAACCATTAAACACCCGTGCATGTTAAATATGCTAACAGTGATGCTGCTCTGTTACAGCGTGAAAGGTGCCAGCAGGAGCAAGGAGTCGGTGCTTTCTGGAATAACCAAGCCAAGAAGCTTCTGCAGTTTCAGCTGCGACCATCTCAGTGACTCCAAGCGAAGATATACGTATGGTAACACAGTGCTGGAGAAAATGAAAGCATGCCATTCTCCCCCTCCTGACTACAACTCTGTCGTCCTTTATTCTCAGCCACCCGTTTAAGTACTTCTAGGCCAAGATTTAAATATGCATTTAATCCAAAAAGGTTCTTCTGAAACACTGTCAGTTTAAAAACTTTGACCCAAATAATTTTAATTATCCTAAAATTTAAAAAGATATCATTGGCTTAGTCTCAGTGATCCGCTTTTCTACAGACTGCAACAAGCATATACAAAATATAGCAAAATACTAATGCTTAGGCCTTGACTTTCCCAAATGCTGAACACCAACACCTGCCACTAAAATTGCCCAGCGCTTCTGAAAACCTGGACGGTCATCATTACAAAGAAAACCAGTTCGCTGTTTGGTCCCTGGCAGCAGGATGGTATTTCATGCTCTGGTCACCCAGCCTCTGTTCAGGCTCCGGTGCAGCACCAGTGTCCTGGTCAGGAGAAGCAGCTGGGAGCCTTCAGGAGCCCACATCAGGCACTGGGGAATTTGCACCCTATTGCCGGGGCCTATGTACTGCTGGAAAATAAAGGATTCTTCAAGAAGAGAAAACAAGAAACAGACCACGCTCTACAGTTTTTAGTGAAAACTCTACTTTGAGAAACTTGAGGAAAGGCTAATGCTCCAGGGAAGCTGAATTAGCTAGCTGGGGATGGGGCATTATACGGCTCTTACTGCTTTGGATGGCAAACACGGTAAGGAGTCTTGCAAAGCAAGAATTTCAAATTTGTGTTGCAAAACACAATTGGCAAGGATAGAGGAGAACTAAGATCAGAGCCAGCGCTGCAACAACGGGGAACACCGGTCAATTCGGTTTGGACAAGCCTGCTGAAATCAAGTAAATATTCTTGAAGTTTTGCACTTTGTCAGTATGCCAACACACACACTGGAACCAAACCACAAGCTAGATATCTTAAAGCCAAGCTCTGTCCATGAAACCTCATGGGCCTTCTAACACTGCACTAATTACATTTTATTTATGGGAAACTGTCTGAAAAGACAGGATGGCTACTAAATTGCATATATTTTAAATGAATTGATCACTAGAGAGTTTGAGGAGATTAGTTCAAAATGACAAGACGATCTCCTCAGAAAGTTAGGGCAGCTTTTCTATGAAGACAGTTGAATTTCCAGGTTAGTTACCAGTATATGTGTACAGGAATAAAAATGTATCATTCATTTGCAACAGACTTTTGTATAGCATCTCAGAAAGGGCACGAATGTTCTTTGTTCGAGAAGCATAAGGATGCACCATCCCCTTTCACCTCTGAACGCAACATTAAAATGAGAGTTGCCCATTTAACACAGTCGCGCTGACACCTTCCAAATCAACAACTACTACCCAATCTCAGCTTCTCGTGGTCCACTATAAATATATATTAACTAAAATGCTACGTATTATATGGTTCTGACCTCTTAAAACTCAGCTTAGGAGCTATGCCTTTAACCCACTAACAGACTTAAAGGCAAATGACCTTTTACATACTTATAAAGAAAAGTGTACTTGGATATTCAAGTAAAAGAAATATGTACTGCTACTTCTAAGTATCAATGCTAGATCTTCTTGGCCAAGAGATCATCAGTTTTAAGTATCTATTGCACTGTCTCTTGCTGGTAAAGTATATTTGATCTTGATCAAAACAAAAGAAAATTTCAAGAACCATTTCTTAACTCCAATTGAGCAAAAATACTTATGGGATGGATGCATCTCAAAGGAAATGTTTGCACAGTGTAAATATATAAATAAGCTTTTTGTGCATAAATATTTAAGAAAACTGGACTACAAAGAGTACTTTTATATGAACCCAAGTTTCTTCAGATGTGAATAACTCTTATTTTGTCTTGCATTTTCTGTCTTCATATAATGTATTTGACCGCTAAATTCATATAATAAAGTTTGCTTTTGAAAGAATCGACAGAGTTCTGCCAAAGTAGTTAATCCAGTGTCAGAGACTGCTGCAGCAGATGATTCGGCACTGGGCAGCACTAACACATCTGGCAAACAATCCATCCCATGGGCCAGTTTTGTGAGCAAAGTGAATATGGAATAACTGCATGGGAAGGCACAACTCTCACACAACAGAGTGGATACGGTGATGGATACTCGTACAGCTCCCTGTGTGAGTGAAATCCCCTAGATTCAGCATATCTCAGAGTGCTTACTGCTGTCTAGAGGCAAAGAATTCAACTCTACCTCCGGGAGAGGCAAGGTTTAATGGCGGGGGAAGAAAAAGCAGCCCATTGACAAACACCCATTCAACTGCCCCCCACGACCGGTTACTGCTGCAGCTAGAAGATCCGGTACAGACAAAAATACATGAGTTAGCACCTTAGGCCTGGTAGATGCTTTCTCTTCTTCAGAGAATCTCCATATCCCCACCCCATCCATCAGAAGCTGGGGATGCTACCTCCACAGTGATGTTCAGTTGAGTGCTCTCTGCTCATACAGCATTTTATAATCTGATGGGATCTCCGAGCCCCACTGCAGATAAACTGCACACAAGTGCTAGAAGGAAGCGGAGATGAAACTTTCTCTGGGGAGGCAGAACGTAACGGGATCACCTACTGCCGCAGGAGCTGTGTGGCTGTTGCTGCACATTACTCAGGAGCAAACTGGAGACTAGGTAAGTGCATCAATCAAGCTTACTGCAGCTTATATAATAAAATTGCTAAACCACTGCAATTTAAAGGATAATGACTCCATGTTAAATGTATGCAGGGAGTATCAACAATTTCACATGGATTGCACAAAACTTCACCTTACATAAGCATGATCTGGATTGGATGGGTGTAGGAGATTTTAGCCCACCAGTAAATCATCTCACCTTTGCTGGTTAACAATACAGAAAAATAATTCTGGGAAATGAAGCTGTCAATGACTGCACATGCAAAGTCTCAAATTAATATACTTTGTTATTGGGCAAAAAAGCTCAATAAACATGAAAGTAAGGGTACTTTAATAGAGTTTCAAAATTAGGGCTTGGCTAGTAAAGCAGAGCTGATCTGACAGAAGTAGATGGGACTTGCGAGTTAAGGAAATGTGTATTGGTATGATTCTAGTCAACATCATCTGTAAGTTTTAGGATGTCTGATACACTGTAAGTGGCAAGGACTAAATGCACTTTGTGACTCATGATTGTTTAAACTCTCTATTGCAGACAGCGTGAATACAAAAGAAATATGATAGAATCAATTCCAGCACCAAAGTTGAAAAGCCCTGTATCCAACTTCAGAACGTCACATTGTCAAAATAAGGCCACATTATTTCTGGTATTCTTTATTAAAAATACTGCTGTACACATGAAGAATGAAAACAGGATTAAAGATGAGTAACACATATTGGGATCATGACATTAGAACTTAACATACTGGTGCTTTTTAGGGGAAGCAGTTGACACCTGAATTACTGAAACAAGGGCAAATCAAAAATACATAGGTACCCTCAACAAAATATTTACAATATAGTAAATACAGCAACAGAATTTAAAACAGGTACAAAAATTAAAATGACCAACATCAGATGATTTCAAAGGTTGTCCCTTCTGTGCTTTTAGCTGTAAAAAATAGGAAGGTCAGAATTAAATTTCCCATCTGGGAGGGCACATCCTGGTGGCTCTTCTTTTTAAATACAGATACACAGTTCTTCCTATGAATGGATCAAACTACAACTTTAGGACAACCTTCTAAATGGAATTAAAATGGGGTAGAAGGGCTCTCCCCAAAAAAACACCCAAGCTGAACTTCAGACTGTTCAAATCATTCCCAAATACGGACCAAATTAAATAAATAGAAAACAAAGCTCAACTTTTTTTTTAATGTATTACCTGACACCAAATATTTTCTGGCTGACATTATGTATGAAAACTTATTAGCTGTCTACCTTTTTATTTTTAAACCAAGTCCTGAGGTTACTAGGGGCTGAAGCAAACTGACATTATGCAAATACACACAGGTTTGCAATTTAGACATGTCTTGCAGAGGGTGGTTTGCTGGTCTAAAAAGGATGAGAATTCAAGCCCTATTTTACCCCTGCCTTACACTTTCACAAAATATTGGTCCACAAATTAAATTTTCAAAGGTTCCCAAACCCCACAACTGAACAGATGATCCCCTTTCATTTTCAAAGAAAACAATACTGGAAAAAACCTCAGCCCGCTTATAAATTAAGCATTTCATATTTCTTCTAGAATACAAGTACTTCTTTTTTGTACAAAAGAATTACAATATGATTTGTCAAAAAACATATAAAAGACAGCTGCTCTTCCTCAAATACATGAGCTAATGATAAAAGACTGTTTTGCATGTTCACTTTTCAAAGTTCCTGTTCCTTTTATATTAAAAAGAACATTCTGGCAACTGTTATCGTTTGAATATTAAACATTATGTTCCTTTTAAAATTCATTCGATCAAATGCAACAATAATCGATTTTTAAACTCAACAACTGATGCTACCTAATGTGGATTCAACCACATTTTCTAAAATGTGTAAAGCATGTCCCTAGTCTTCAAAGCTTTCGATGTGAAGAGAGTTGCTTTTTCTTGATGCAAGTCTCAAGGCGGAGAATCATTTTAAAGCTTATAAAAGTGGACAGAGAAATATTAAAAACTTCTCTGAAAACTACAAATATTGAGAATTATTAAAATTGATGTCAGTAACATCAGTTGCAAGTGCTTAGAGTCTGTCCTGACCTTTTGAGTTTCCACATTTTCTTCATGGTGAGCACCCAGTGCTATTAAAACATTCAGTGCTGGGAAAAGATACAGTCTTCACTACTGCTTTAAGAAAGGAAATTCCTACATATTTGGCAGTCTTCAGTATCAAAGTGTAGGTGTTTAACTAGAAATCCCATGTATACCCAAGTTTGGAGACAATCTGCATGTCCAAATATTAGAAAGGTAATTGAGGAGGAAAATTCCAGACTTTTGAGACTGAATTACTTCAGGAATATTCGTATGTTGAGTATTATCAAAAGTAATATTACTTTGGGCTAAGCAGTGACTGCAAAGGCACAGCAGATCATTATCCCTCCAGATTCAGGCTGTAAAACTTGAAAAGCTCTTGATGCCAGACAACTGCTGTGTTTAGTTAATCTTCTTTTAACAGTGTCTTTGTATCTGTATCCAGTGTAGCGTACCATAATAAAGCTGTGGTTCAAAGAACAGAACTTTATACAAAAAATTATACTGTAAATAACCTAAAGTAATACACTCCTGAAATATCAGGCATTTAAACAATTTCTTTAAAAAAAAACTATTAAAAAAATTGCATAAATGTAAATGCTTCTGACTAGCAGGAAAACGTACAAACAGTTTTTAAAAGGCGCTGGTTGTGTTTAGAGCAAGTTTGATATGCTCCTTAAATTGTAGATGTTTCCCATTATGCTATTTTTGTCACTTTGCTTAGACAAAGTTTAAAACAAATGACAGGGGACTTTCTTTTCTTTTTTGTCAATTCACCGATACTTCACTTGACTGGTTTTAAAAAGTTTCGTCTTCTCACATTTCTTTGAGCTAACAGTGGGTGGCATACAGAGCTTGCATACAACACACTTTTACAGAGGTTACAAACTAAACGGTCATTAATAGAACACCATTTCTATTAAATTAATTACCTGGTCCTTTATGCTATTCTGGGTGCAAATAATATCAAAAATGAATAAATTTTGCTATATCCTCAGTGACAAAAATGTATCCCAGAAATGTCCTTTGCAAAGAGTTTCCCTTAAGTATACAATGTGGCAAAACTTCAGAGATCAGAAAAGTCTTAAAAAAATTAAAATTAGTGCATATACAAGTGGAAAAAATAAAAGCAGGAACATCATGCACCTGATGTGTTCCTTAATCTAAAATAAATTCTTCACAGATAAAGCCTCCAATGGCAGCCTTAGCTCTAGGATAAGTGAAACATTCTTCCCTTCAAGTAACAGTGTACCTGACTGAAGTGCAAGCAGCTTTGCTCATCTCCTGTTTGTTTCCCAAATGTGAAATGAGATGACAACAACAATTCAGCTGTAGTGCAATTTGCTATTGGTTAAGTTCCTCAGCAATGTCCTGCATGCTTTCAGCAAATACTACAACTGACCATTTGCCGCTGCAATCAGTTCTTGAAAAGTATTTTCAAAGCAGCGTTTTAAATCGCTGTAAGTTACCACAAGTACACTCTTCTCATCTCTGGAAATGAGGCTTATTTTTTCTGGCACACCAGCATCTAACTGTAACAAGAATGCAAAAAGATAAAATAAAAGAAGTGTGAAAGAAATGGCAAAACATTTCCCCAATAACAAAAGCAATCAATTTCTTGGCAAGTACATTGTTGTGGTGCAGTTCAAATCTGCTAACACCACAGAAAGGAAGGATCCGAATCACACCACAACAACGCACCTGCCAAAAAATCGAGACATTTTGGTCTTAACCTGATGGACATTCCAGACCTTTGGACTACGTTACCATTGTTTTCTTCCTTTTCCATAAGCTAATAATCCTGCAATACTATCTTCCCCTGTGTAGAAAGCCTAGCAAGATTTCCACATAGCTCCTAATGAACAAAACCATGTTTGACATTACATTTGCACATAAGATCCACAAGCCTCCACGCAGGGTAGGTAAATTACTTCTTGCCCACTCTAAAATGAAATAATGGATGGACCAGTCCCAGGTAGTCTGAAAACCAGTAGAAACCCAAACATCACATTTTTGGCAGTACTGGAACCAAACTAGTTCCTAAGCTGTTATAGTACATTTCATCCCTTACTCAAAAAAAAATAAAACAAAAGAAAAACCAAACACCACCAAAAAAAAAAAAACCCCAAAGGAGAACAAAAAACCAAACTAAAACAAACCCCAACAAAAACACAAAACCCCAAACAAACAAAAAAACTAACCACAAAATCAAAAGATTACCTAGTTATAATCCATAAACAAATAGATAATTTGGGATTAAAGATTAAAGTCTGTTCCACATTTGTTTTCATGTTTTGTTCCGACTTCTCAAATTCAATATTAAAAAATTGTATGTTACACTATGTACTTTAAAGATATACCACTAAATCCTAATTTGGAACAGAGGAATATCCTACTTTACATACTGAAGTCCCTTCCAACACTATATCTTATGTTCTCCTCACTTTGCAAGAACCGTTCATCAATGGAGAATTGTCAGACTCCCTTATAATGCAAAACTTTCACAGCTCTGTTTTAGTTGATCTATTGATATTTCCACATACTTGACACTACAAACTTTCTTGTTCCAATACAGAAGGTGGGGCAGAGACAAGTGGGATGTAACACTATTGAGACAATCTTTGGAAATACAGCCCCAGCAGGATTAAATAAATGTACTATAATGTTGTACTGAATAACAGAAGAACAATTAAATTTGTCACTGAGATGTTGCACTAGCTGCTGCCTGGAGCAACACAGCAAGTTAGAAATTTCTTGCATCTGTCTTCTAAAATCATGTTCTGAGCATAACCTTAAAAGCTGGAATCTCCCAAATTTAAAGTTCCCGCTTTGTGATTAGCTTCGGAAGGACAAAAGCAAGCCAGTTAGCTTTTAATTCCTGTAGAGTAGGACAAAACCACCAGTCTCTTCCAACATTGACTACAAAATATTATCATGATTAAGGTGTTTGTGAAATATTGCCTACTGTTCCCATTAGCACCATACAAGAAATCAGTGAATTACCTTAATGAATGTAGGATATGGAAGATCTGTATTAAGAAAGCCACACAGCTAACTAGAAACATCAATATTTATGGCTTGCTTTCTCTCCTCCTGTGGAGGCATAAATCGGTATCTCAGCTGAAAAGATCCCCAAAACACCACATTGAAAAAAAATTTTTTTTTTTTTTAAACAATAGAGTAATTTTCATTCAAAAGGGATGCTTTTGAATGGTAGCAGGAAAGCCCAAATAACCACTTCTACTAGTGCACACTACAGTTTTGGAAATGTTTTTTAGAGTGTATTTCCAAAGTAGAGCTCTGTAAGCCTTACGTTTTTTTGTGTGCTGAGCCCACAACCACAGAAGAGAAGAGCCTCTGTTTAAAAAGGTAAGCCATGAACATTTATAGAACAAGGCATTCTTTGACACCATCTCTTACCTGACCTACGAATTCAGGACTGTCCCCTCTTGCTACAGTACTGTACAGGTCACTGCTTTCAAATCATGATGGCATTTCACTGCCTATTTGAATATCAACATGCTTTCTTTTTGATTTAGCCTCAATCCCTTTAATGTCCTTTTTAAAGTGATTACAGACACCAACCAGAAAGATAAAAAGGAGGTTAAAGAAATGCACAGCAGTGGTCTAATAGGAGATTAAATGCCCTGATAACTACAGTTAACTCTTTTTCTCAATTAAGTCACTTGTTACATGTCAAAGTATCTGAATATATTAAATTTTTTCTGGAAGAGAAAGTTGGCTATCCTAATCCTAGAAAACAAAATACCAGCCACTGAAACTGTATATTGTCAGTGTCTGCATCACCATTCTCTATGGAGTGAGTGAAATGACCAAGCAGCTACCAAAAAAAAAAAAAAAAAAAAAAGTAAGTAGCATCTTAGTCTCCTATGAATTACTGAAGTTTGGCAAAACAATGTAAAATAAGTTGAAAACTGATCTGCCAATAAAAAAAAATCAGCTCATGTAATTTTTTAGTTTATGGAACAAGACAAGTTCTACAGCTACTGAAGATCTTGTGGTCTCTCACACGTCTCCCGCTCATTAATCATGAGAGGGCTCAGCTAAAATTTTGCTAGTGGTGCAGCTCTGGAAAACTGCAAATAACTTTGTTAAATCAACCTTGGAAAACAAAGGGCTGGAGAGGCTAGAGAAGTTATCAGAAGTGGACTTAACATTGTAAGTCACAGAAATTTTCCAGCAATGTCACAGATGGTAGGGATTTTGCACAAATTTCTATTGCAGTTTCCCCTCTTGTCTCCAGCTCTGGTCAGCACAGTTTAGGGTATGGATCCTCTTGCCTTATGACTATCCTCTGTGATAACTATATCAGCAGAAAACTCCCCCAGTTAAAGGGGTTTTATGGATCCTTTATGCTGTTTTGAAAGACCAGAGTAGCATAAAGGGACCAGCATTGCTTATCCACAGTATTCAATGCCTTCTAGGATGAAAAGTTAATACTGTATCTCACGCTGTATTACTGAATTCCAAGTTTGAATATTAATGTACTGAGTTTATTTAAAATATCCATAAATGTTTGAATATTAGCTTAGTGAATACATTGTTTTCATCCAAAACAGGGGGACAATAACCATCAGTTAAACCAACAGAATTAGGCTGCCAATGCCAACTTGAAGTGGAATATTATTTTAAAGAAAGTTAACCCAAACTAATTTTTAAAAGCTAACCCAAGTACAGTGTACCTTGTTAAGACATGAGATAATGTGACTGAGGTCAATCCAAGGAGTACCCGCTTCTGTCACCTGATGGAAAAGGTGATCTCGAAAGAGCTTTAGTAAATACCTGTCTCCAGTTTCTGACCACGTTGGGTCCTTCTGAAACCTGGAGTAAAACAAAGGCTTATATTAAAGCTCAGAAAGTTAAATAAAAAAAATCAAACCCCACAGGCATACATGACTCTTCAATCTAAACCGAGTAATCTTACTGCTCTGCTAAGCTACCTGTTATAATCTGCAATTAAATTACAGTCTCCCCTCTGCCACAAACAGAAGATAACATATTCAGAGTTTCTCAGCTGAAGTACCTGAAGCTAATGCTTACCAAAGGCCCACAAAAAAGTAATGGAAGAAAAAAAAAAAGAGTTATCTTCAACAAGTTTAACATGTAAACATTAGAAACCAGCATTACAAACACAACTCCAACTCTATTCAACAGGATGGAAAACAGACCACAAACACTTCATTTTTACATAGCAGTTGATAAAAAAAAAGCTGAAAATTAACTAGCTTAAAACCAGTATCTACACCATTTTCTACAGTTACAGCAAGCTACGGATTTCCTCAAAAACTATTGTCACTCACAAGAGACCACTAAGAGAAACCATACTAAAAAAACTGAAGCAACTTTGGCATATCTATTTGCGGCCTTCTCTTCTCCTTTATTTAAAACTTTGGTCAAAGTTGCTTATCTTATTTTTCCTCAAGGCTCATTTCTTGAGGGGCAAATATGGGGAAAGTGTTTAGCTTAAATTTACGAGGGAAGAAACCTTGCATTGCAAACTGGCTTTTACATACTCTACACTACGAAAACAAGTATTTCTTACTCTGGTCTCTCATTGATTGTTCCCAATTTTGCTAGAAGCCTAAACAACCTTCCATTTTGCACCTCCTAGAAAACAAGAAAGAGGTTATTAAAGTTTCTGAAACATAAAATTAAGACACTTACTTGCAAAAGATATACAGCAGTAATGCCAGTGAAGCACTATTAATTACAATGATTTATTTATTCTAAGAATAGGGTATAATTTTTCCAGAAAGAGATCAAATGCATTATAATGTGTATCGGTAGCCCAATGCTAATTTTTGCACTTCATATTCAAATTGTAATGTGGAGGTTTAACAACTAATGACTCCTTGCTGCCCCAGCAGGAACTGGATCAGGCAATCCATTTCTCTGTGGAAACATAAGTCTAGTCTCTTGCCAGCCTATACTTACAGGTATGTTAAAATATAGTAAGTTAAAAAAGCATATGCTAATATATATACACAGAGTTATTAAGACCTGCAGAAGTATATGGTATAATACCTTATTTCAAGTAAAGTTGAGAAGGAACATAATCTACCAGATTTGGTTCTCAGAAATGCTTTGTAGGCCTTTATTAGTAAATATTTAGCAACAATAATATCAGACTAACATTTGAATTACAATTGATTCCAAATATAATTTTGAAAGAAGTTTTTTCCAAAAAAAGCTAGGCATTTTTAAGTCTTAAAACAGTATAAATTCAGAGCCCTTCAATGACAGAGACAAGGCAATGAGAACAAGCTCACACAGAAGACAGAACATCAGAATTATAGGTGCTTAGAATACGTGCAATTGAAAAAAAAAAAAAAATCTATTTCACACTTTTTTCCTCATCAATTAGGATACAGTAAAAAGAGTTACATCCTAGCTTACATTACACTGTGGATTAATCTTTTGCTTAAGTATAAGCTGCTCAAAGCTGGCAGGAAAAAAAGATTCTCTCCTGATATTATTCATATTCTCCAATGGCCCAGCTCTCCAACATTATTCATGGTAAGCTGCATCTCATTCCATGCATGGTCATATTGATTTCAAGTGAGTTTAGTCTGAAGTAGATTACTGTGCACAGCTGGGTAAATAAAGTAGGTCAAGGTGACAATAGCTTGACCTCAGACAACCTATGGGTTGCAAGACTTCTATTACCAGTCTAAAAAACACACAGCAGAACAGCCTGCATCACAACTGTAGCTACACTTAGACATTCACAGGGAAGACTTACCTTGTCTAGCTAGCACAGGTCTATACAACCTCCAAATATTTTTTTGGTATAATTTTGGTACAATTATTTGGCCAAATACACAAAAGCCCAAACCACATCTGTGTGAATGCCACTGCCTTGCAGATTCCCAGTCAATGGTGACACAGTTGAGCAACAACACTGGCACTAAGTCTCCAGGTGGCCGCCCTGCAGGCTTGGTAGCCTGTAAGGCAGGGAGCTTTTCTACAGAGTGGATTAGAGGACTTGAAAAACTGGGGCACCGAATACCATGACATATAGACAATGGGAATATTAAGGTGAGAAAGGAAAGGGATAGAGCAATGGGGTCACTGCTGTGTGAAAGGTGTTATGGGAGTAACAAAATATTCATGGCTTCAAGAAAACAAAGTTATTAACTACATACAAACCACCTCCAGCATCAGAAACCCCTAAGCTACAGATGACTGTGTGCTTGGAAAATACAAGGAAAAACATCACACATGCTAGTCTTGTTCTAATATGCTCCCCTACCCATCTGCTTTGGGCAATAATGAAGAGAGGGTACCAGGTTAGACTTAAGGGATACTGTAGCTCTGATGTTACTGAGGACGCAGTAGTACAAACAAGTTATAGTACAACAGCTAATTAGCAACTGCTATTTATCAGTACCAGGTAAACTAAACAGCTATTGCCAAACTGAGGTCTATGCAACAACTTGGATTTGTAGTGGCTCTGCTCACCTGCCAGTGATAAACAACTGCTACAACCAACCTGACTGAAAATGCTGATTACAGAACAATCTCCATCTTTGTTATGGGAAAAGGTCCACCTGCCCAAATTTGTGCAGGTACATTGGGCCACCTTAACAAGAAATGATCATAAACATCTTCAGAGCAGGAGTAGTGGTTGACTCTGATAGAGTAGGCACCTGTCATCTAGAGCTCTGCATCCAAAGTAGATATCGCCTTGCTCTTCTACAGCTCTTTGCTTCTGATAAGATTTCAGTATTTTTCACTAAGGAGGGAGAAAACTCTTACCCAACAAGACAATGGTGGAGAAATTAAGAGAACCAGTCCACCAGAATCCCAAACATTGGTCTACTGCCTCTTAAAAAAAAATTCTCAATGAGGGCATGTAATGGAAAGGAGCCACAGGACTTGACTAAATCCTTAGAAACTTAATACCCTGTTCCACACATCTTTAGTACCATGAAAGCCTTCTGTAATGTATCTCAGTCTTGTTAGAAAATCCTGTAACCAGTGGCTTCTGATGAGCAGACACCCTTTCCTGTTTAACAAATACACACTAACATGGGACAAAGTACATATTTCCTTTATAGCTAGCACTTGATACCTTGACTGAACTTGATAGACTAACCAGACCCCCACAGCAAGAGGTACATACTTCAGGGAAACTGAGGATGGCAACCTCCATGGTCTACCATTCATTTGGAAAGGAAAACGTATGAGGTAAGTAAAGGGACACTGGAATCCAAATCTATCCAAGAATTTAAAGACAACATTTGCTGCTGCATAACCTCTAGCACAAACTATATGATCTAGTGCATGATGACATACATGGCCTTATTTACTCAGAATACTACTTTTTAACCATTCTATAAAGAACATCTTTTCCCCAAGACTGCTGGTTGGACAGGAAGATGTTACTTTCGTTAAAGCCCAGCTGAGGGCATCCTAAAACTAGTGATTCTTGGAGGTTTTGGACTTTCAATACCTTGAGCTCAGAGTTCTCAAGTCTGCAGGCAGATTACTTAGGTTGCTAAACAAACAAAGGAAAAAATGGTAGAAAACATTCCCTCTTAAGGTAGAGCTGTAGGAATTATGACTATAGGCCTTCCTGTAGGAATTACTAAATGATTTACCTTTGCAAGGTCTTCCTCTATAACATCATTTCGCATTTGAGCAGCATCCAACTGAGTATAGAATCGCGCACCAATCATAGGCATGATATCATTTACACTGCGAAGCCTGTTTTGGTCAGTCAGCAAATACCTGCCAAAATATGCCCACCCCCAAAAAGATTACTTAAACATGCTGCAAATCCCAGAGAGATCATCCTATTATGATTTTAGACATCATTGTCAAATAGTTACATTTAATACACAAAGTTGACAATCGCAGCGTTTCTTAAAAAAAGGTATTAACAGAGAAAACGTGTGTTAACTTACATGTGTACATCCAGTCAGTTATTTATACAAGATAGGAGTGTACTTTCATGGAACTGTGCAGCTCACCCACTCAAACAGCAAGAGCATACTCAAAAAGAGAGAAGACGCTAAGATTCAGATTGTCATGCAATTGTTTTTAAAAAGAGGGAAGGGACAGATTTCTACTTTTCCCCTCTTAGGCTGCAAGAGGAGAAAGGCTGAATATACTAAAGAACACCACAAAATAACATGCAGCCAAGAAAAATTAGCACTCAATCCCTTGGTCAAAAAGGCAATGTGCCTATTTCTCAACACCTTCTGAAACTGTAAGGTAATACTAGCATATTGCTATGGTAGATAACAGGCAATGAAGCCCAGTATTGAAGACAACTTAAAATGCTTGCTTTGTTTAAGCTCCTAATTCTTATTAGGAGCTTTAACAGCACTTAAAGCAAGGACATTGATTTTATTAGATACACCATGAAAATACACGCTGTACAAACAAATTTTAAATTATGGTTAATGATGCATTGACTGTGCATACAACTCAATGACAGTAGTTATACCTGTAATCTTACTTGCATCTAAAAATATTATTTGACATTTTAATTTGTATGTTTAAAAAAAGTAGTAATTTCCTTTAAAAGTTTTATTACATAAACTTACAAAATCAGATTCTTCAGATCAGAGGAATAGTTGATTGTCACCAGTTCCATTGCTTTCTGCAAATTCTCTCTCTGAATTCCTGACAAAGAATTGCAAGCCAAAGCCAACACAACTTTCCCCAGGGAGATCAGATCTGCTTGCTAACAGGGAAAAAACACACAGATAAGATTCCTAGCATAAATATTACCTATGGTACTAGATGGTGTTTAAAAAGAGACAGTTCTTCAGTAACCTTAGAAGAATTTGAGCAACTAACCTAAGTGCTATTCAAGTCATAGTTCAATGACTGTTCAAGTTACAGTAGTCAAAATGTACAGAGGAAAATCTGTCCTGATTCCTAGCAATTTCTAGGTACTATATTTATCTTTGAGTGCTTAAAATTTACCTGTTTTTAGCTTAAGGATAGTACCAGAAAGAATTCTTGTGTAGAGAACAGAAGCTCTGCAAAGAGGTTCTCTTAACCACCTACCCTGCTTGCTCCTGACAAGTCAGGGAGTTGGTGGCAAATAGAGCAAGTCCTCTCAATACAACACGCAGAAATAGCTATCAAGGATTATTTGTGAAAACAGAAACATCGTTTGCTGGACTCATATCTTATCACACTGGAATCTACACTAGATTCCAGCAAACACTGTTTCTGTTTTAACAAAGAGCTCAAAGATTTTAATCTCTGACAGCCAGTGTGAAAAGATATAAACTGCCTGAAATAACTAGCCAGGAACAGGCCTGTATGGCTGACAAATTGAGCAGCATCACATTTGATGAAGAAATCCTTAGGGTTACTGAACACTTTCCTTAAAAGTAGAACCACTCTTAAGATGAATGCTGCATACAGGCTGCTTTGCCACAATAGAAAGTTCTGCCGATTTTAATAGACAGCCACCAGACATTATTTTGAAAAGCTGTACCAGATTTTAAAGCCCATCCCTAAAAACAGGAGCCTAATTTAGTAGCAGACAATGACATTCATAGCAAAAGCTGCCTGATTCTTTCCATGGAAAAGATTTCAGCTGCATATAACTTGGCTGAAGTTGAAACACCTGCAGCTTTCCATGCTGGATGCCAGCTTCAGACTGAATTTAAGAGTCAGCGAGACACACAAATTTAGTATTTTCCTGACTTTTTTTCCTGAGAAAGATATTTTTTCAAAAGTAGAAAAGTGAAAGCTACTAATTATCAAGAAAGTCAGCTCCACAGTCCAGAGCAAGGCTATGCCATTCAGCAGAGAACACAGTTGTATAAGGAATACACCACCTGCCATTTCCGTAAGAAAGCCTGAAAAGTTGGCAGCACTGCAACGTTGAAAATTGTTTAGAATTTGGCAGCTTTAGAAAAGTGCTGTGATGGTGAACGCATCTCAGCCCCTCACAGCTCTTCCACCCAGAAGGGTAACCATGTTTGCTGCCTCTGGCTGCACTAACTGAGCCACATCTCCCAGGTGTTGAAGGACAGAGTAAAGAAAACCTTTCCAGGTCTCTCAAATGTCCCCACTGCTTCCATATCAAGTTTGATTAAGCAGCACAATTAAAACATGGATATGCAACATGGCAGAAGTTAAAAAGCATGGTACTCTGGTAGCTAATGAAGACAGAAACAGGATGTGGAAAATGAGACAGAAATAAGGACAAAGCAGTGGAGAAGGCAACGGGACTGGCATTTGCTAGACTCGATTTCCTACGGAACCAGGAATTCCTGAGTATCAGCATACCTTTGTACTTTGGTAAAGAGAAATGAACCTGAGCAACAAACCCCATTTTGGAGGGAACCCACTTGCTTCCACTACCAAGTAGTCAATTCGAGCAGCAGAGGACACTGCTATAGTACCAGAGAAATCTTGCTGATGCAGTATCTGTACAGAGACATATGTCACCCGACTGTGAGAGACTGAAAGAGTTAATGTCTCAAACATTGTGGTGAGGCAAGTTAAGGTCTGCACAGAGACAAGTTAAGGTCATGACACTGACACAATGGCTTTTTTTGTCCCCTCTCTAAAAGACTTAGAAGAAATATGTAAGTATTTGTATTAACCACAATCTTTCTTCTTTCTGCAGTCCCCTACTTTATGCTTAATACCTTCCAACTTTTAGAAATTCATAATGATGTATCCTATATAAATTCTCTATCATCACACAACCCAAGACACCGAATACACACAACTTCAGACAAGACCCTATGAAAACAGTCTTCCTTTACATAGGTGTTTTCATAATACAGATTGCATTAGATTTTAAAAATGGTTGAGAGTCTTACATCAACATCAGCCAGGAAATTCTAAATTCAGGCTTTTGGGTTTTTTGACTGTTTGACTCATAACCCTAATTTTTGTTTGTTTTGCAAATTACATCTAATAGAAAAACTGGCAGAGACGATGCAACACACCAATGCAGCCTCAAACCCACACATTTCAAATTACAGCCAATGCTTAACTTGTCTTAGTTGCAAAAGTGGCTTGGATTCATCCCACTAATTTTAGGAACTTCAACTTCAAGCAATTCAGTTAAGAGTCTGATCAATTTAAGATATCTGTAATTCTGCAAGACAATTAAGATTTTGAGTGAGCTGAATTGCTCTCCGGAGGTGCCTCACTATTCACTGACAGCCAAAAACCTGAAAGAAAATGTTATTACAATGCCCAATGTTTGAAGTTTTACAAGTGCACAAAGACAGGCAGTAATTTTCCTGTGTGATAGGGGAATCATAGAATATCTCAAGTTGGAAGGGACCCATAAAGATCAGGATATATGGAAGTCAGATTCCTGTTTTAGGAGAGACAAAACTACCATCCACTGACAAACTCTATCCATGCAGGCAGGGCGCACAACTTCCCAGAAGCTGGGGCACACCATCCTTTCTACAAGGAAGCAATCCACATAAGCCTATTAAGCCCTAACCTCCCCTCTGAAAACATCAACAGATTCGGCTCTTCCTGCTTCTAGGCAGAGAAAGGTTAAAGGAGGCACACAAGAATTGCTAGACCTCCTTGGAGCAGGGACACCAGAAATAAATGTTGTATTCCTGTATTAGCCTTGCTAGGGCAAGGTACAGATCAACATTAGGTATGATCACTTCCCTGTCTATATGCCGTATCGTGCTTTGCATGTATCTATGGACCACACCAGTTCCTTTTGCCACAGACCTGCCAGAAGACTTTTGCTATGGTAACTATCAAGAGTGACTATTATGTCATACTAAGTTGATTCTCAATTTCAAGGAAAAGCTTTACACCTTTTAAGTACATGCTGCCTTTTGTTCAAAAATGTACCTTGCATGCAACTAATGACCACTTAATTAGCAATTCAATTAATAACTGTAACCTGTACCAGCCTATCTTTTTATATCCTGAAAGCTTTGCTAGTAAAGATTTTATCACCATCATCTAGTTTATTGATAGAAACATTAAACAGCATTAGACTAAAAAACAGCCCCTAGGAGATAAACTCAGAAACAGCCCTCTTCATTAATGTCTCCCTGTTATCAAATTAATTTCAAATACGTCAGTGAGCAATTTAAAAGTTAATTGAATAGGTACCCTTTCTCTTCTACATAATTTTTTTTTGTTTAATATTAAAATGGCATGTGCTACTATGCCAAATGCCCTGGAGATACCTCAGCTTTTTATACACTTGGCCTTATCAGCCAGACATGCAAACTAGTCAAATAAATCTTATTTTTTTGACAAGACCCATTTTCCACAAACTCTTTGAAACTGACATTACTTTTTTGTTTATTCTGTTCCACTGCTTTCCTTGGATCAATATCAGCTCATCCACTCTAAAATTCTGTGGAGTCACTTATCCTTTTAAGTTCTGGAATTGCACTTACAAGTACCTCCAAGTTCCTAGATTTTTTTTTTTTTTTTTTTGTAAAGTCAACGTTAATACTTCAGATGCCTCTTCAGCTTGTTTCTTTAAATTTGGGGAGGTGTATGTGAAAGTTACTTCAGTTTGCTAAATGAAAAATATTTTCTTTGAGCAAATGTTACCTTATAGCCCTCATTAAATCAATAGAATTTATGTTTCATATGGAGAGGACTCACCTTCATTTTATTCCAAATACAGAAATATTTATTAAACCTTTCTACTGTTTCCTACATCACCATTTACAGTTTTCCTATCTGTATCCTGTAACTGACTGACACAAGACTTAAGGATCAGGGGTGGGAAGTGATGTGCTGGAATTTATATAGGTTTAACACCTTGTTTTTAATGCAAGTGGCCGTATTTCATTTACTTCTTTTTAGATTCCCTTATTGTTGCCTTTATTTAACTCTTAAATGATCATATAAATTAATGTGTTTAACACAGATTGTAAAGAACAATTGCATCGCTTTTATATAGCCCCTCTCTGTTCTGGCCAAACTCTTTGCTATCTATATTAACAATGGGAAACGGCCAGAAAGTGACAAATGCTAACAAAAATACCTTCCTCCACTGAAGACAGCAACAAGGAAATGCATATTAGCTGGGCAGTAAACCAAGAGATAACCTACATTTTTAACAGTCACAGGAGTCCCAGAGGAATTCAGGAACTGGGTCATGGATCGAGAGGAAAAAGGACAAGCAGCAGCTGTTATTTTGTAATTTTATCTGGCTAGGGCAAACAAAAGGTAGAGGATGATAAATGACTCCTGAATTTCAAGGAATGAACTCAATCCAGAAACTCTGAAGGAACAAAATGGATAGTGAAAGCCTAGTCCTTCTAGAGGAAGCAACAAAAAAGAAGGCAATATGGTATTTTCTAACTGCAGTTTAGATCTTCCGAACTATGCATTTAAGAGTACTTCTTTTCCGGTTTAGCAGTGATAACTGAACAATTTGGATACCAAGAATGTATAAAACATGCAAAAACATCCCCCCTAAACAAAACTATGCATTACCAAGCAAGTTAGTTGCCAAGTGTTGGGCTGCTATGGTGGTAAATGCTTTTGACAGATTCATGTACCTGCAAGTATTTTTAGATTTGTACCTCCAAGTATATTAAACATTTTGTCTTAAAATTCCTTGAATGTCATAATATCTCGGGAGGATCTCTTTCCCAGCTGCAATTAAAATAAGTTTAAAGAAATATTTAGATTAAAAAAAAAAATATCTCATTACATTTTTAGGCATGGAATCCCTCACTTGCACGTATTCCTATCTTCTCTCAGCTGTTTTCCACTAAATGATTACCAAAAGCCCACTGATATGTAGCTGTGCGGGGGGGGAAATCCTTTGGTGTACTCTGAGTACACTGAAAATTGATTTACTGTATCATTCAAAAGAAAAAAGTTGCTATGTTCTAGGACATGGTCTCCAATAAGCTAGTTTCTGCCTGGCCAAAGTTCAAACATTTCATTTATTACTGGAAGACTCTGAATGAGCAATTTTCTCACAGTGAATAAGCTCAATTAATGAAAATAAATTAAATCCAACTCCCTACTGTAGTCTTTCACTCCCAGTACAGACAGGGTATGTGATGACTGCTGAAGCAATGTACTTTACCCTGAGGGGAAGTTAGGGAAAGAGGCACTCCTGTACACAGTGATGCTCCAGATGATTGTGGAACAGTTTTTGTTAAGTCTAAAGGGATTCTTCTTAATTCAGGAATTATGCAGAGTCCACACTTCAGAGAACGTCAGGAGAGCACGGAAAAACTAGGAGCCTAAAATAAAGATACACTAGAACCTTTTAGGAGTGAGGAGAAGGCCAAAGTGAAGTTATTTAAAAGATCTCGTACTCCTCTGTAAACAGGTATTCAATACTTAGTTATTTTTGTTAAAATAACAAAACAGAAAGCAGAGTAAAACCTGTTATTGAACCATTACTTTTTGCTCTCTAACACTAAATCTAAGATTTTTCTTCCCCTTCTTTTAGAAATTCATATTTCCAACTATTTCTGACTTTGTTTGTTAAATACTAGTAGTTCAACCTGTTTGGTGAGTTTGCTGAAATTTTAGAAGCAGAAGATAGCAAAATGAGCATTTACATTTTTAAATTAAAAGCAAATTTGAATAATACATGGCAGAACCAAGATCAAATCAGGAATGAAAAAAAATACAGTTATTTAGAGATAGATATACTGGACTACAGTTTAATTAAAATACTTGTCTTCGAAAACGAATCACACTGGTTTTCAGTACTCCCCATGCCAAGTCACCAGCCTAACTATGGTGTTGCTGTCTTACCTGAAACTGAGCCATTAATGCCAGTGGATTATTTTGACTGTTGTCAAATGTCAAAACGTCAAAGATTCCAACACAATTAACTCGTAACCTTTAGGAACGAGAAGAGAAAAGGAAGAAGTGTCATTAAATTTTGTCAGTTACTCAGTTTTTCCTCTAGCATTCACTGAATGCTTTGATATGACAAAAATGTTGTCAGTACTCAGAAAATTACTATGAAGCAGAAAATACTAATTTTACTATTCAATAAACTGCAACAGACAGTCTTCAGTTTACAAATAAATCAACAAATTTCTAAATTGTCAGTAAAACTGAACAGTACTTTGAGGATAAATGCATAAGCCTTCCCAAAACATGTTTAAAAAGAACTTTAAAAAAAAATTGTACAAGTTTTGGCATGTATTTATTTTTAGTCTCATACCAGTTAAAAGTAACAGAACTTTCTAGCTAGACTTCATTATTTCCCTAACAGATACACAGTCAGCAGCTACCATGAACACAGATCACAGTACACAGTGAGGGTGAATGCTTTCATTACCTTGTTTTGCCCGTTACTAGAATCTTTGTTGGATCCATAACTCGGCATGCCAGTCCTGCTGTATGAATGGTCCGTAACGCAGAGCTGAGCTGCACAATATATGCCCATATCAAAGACTCTGGAAGCAATCCAGCATGCTGTCGTGGTAGAGGTCCATCATGCTGACCTAGAAGCAAAATGTTGTAAGCATCAACAAAAGGCCACTACATAAAATTAAAGTTAGCACATTTTGAATTATACAATTCACATATTCATTTCATTCAACTCTTAACAGTCCTTGAAAGACTTATCTATTATGCTTTAATGGTTGGGGTTTTTTTGTTTGGTTTAGGTTGGGTTTTTTTGGAAGGACACTACAATTCATTAGGCATTATTAGTTTCACACTCACATTCAGGAAAACCATGCTGATTTTTAAAGTTTAGGATGAATAATCACTACAAAAAGAGCACTGGTTAGAAATTGCTGGAAGTGGGTGGTACATCAAAATATGCAGGTACTTCAGAAGTAAAAATGCCAGTATTCTGAAACAACGAGCGTGTACCACAATAGCTGCAACAGATCCTGGTTTACCTCCTTTATTGTAGGAAGGCTTACAAATTAAACACTGTCTATCATCTGATAAGAAAAAGTAACAAGCTAGTTTCAAATTACATGGACAGATCAGACTGGAAAATTTGGTAGCTAAACATCACTGAACACAACTTCACATATGTTCTGCTGTGACCCAACTCTCTGACAAGACATCACTGCATGACTCCTGTTCAATAGGCCATATGAAAGCAATGCTTCATTCCCCTTCTAAATGGATTTGTAGTCCTCCTTTCAAAAGTAAAACTCTTTGCAAACACAAACTCAAACTCTACATTGCAAACTGTTTCTGAGTAATACTGAGCCAGAAATGAAAAAATAAAGATACAGATAACAAATGTTATTTTTGGTAAGATGAGTGTTACACAAAGAAGTTGCTACTGTTTGTGTGGCATGAAGCTGAAGTAAGAGAAGAAAATACATCCAGAGTAAAACCATGCTTCTCAATTTTACAAAACATGACAGGCGTTTCATGAGGTTGCCTCAGTACTGATTTTTGCTAATTTTGAGACCAGTAATATCATCAGTATTCAGTAAAATCATGTAAGCATCCGATTCAGTTGTAAACTGACTGCACTACTCTCCTCCAAATGTTTGTTCCTTGTCTTTTTATTTGTTTTTTTTTTTTTTTTCCCTCTCCCTACAGGAGCATATCAACATCTGTGCACTTGCTCAAAATAAGTTTGTGTGTGCGTGTGCTTGCATGTGTACACACTAACACAAACATATATATGCAAGAGTTAAAAAGTGAAACAGATTATTGAAAAACTTTTACTTAGAAATTTTACTGATTTGGGGGTGATGTGCTGGGTATGTTCCCAGCTTCCATTTCTGAGCTTTTGTTTGTTTTTAAACTTTAGTTCATTTTTCAGGTTTAAGGTGCTTTGGTTTAGATTACAAAGATCAAGACACTGACTCCTTTAAATAGCAATAAGACTGGCATGTCCACTGCAGGCTGAATATAACGAGATAGTCTCTGTTTTTTCTGGCCTCCTGATGAATCATTATGCAAATCACTTCCCACAAACCAGCATACCAGAAGTCTCACATAGCAAACTTTTTTCCCCTCATGATTCTCTCCTTCAGCATGACAAAAATTATGGTGATATAAAATGACTGAAGACCTATATCCTCCTTTATTAGTCAAGGCTCTTTCTCTAGTTACTTCTTCCTATAGAATAGACTTTATATTTGGTAAACAGCAATGTGTGTGATGTGTTTAACAGGAATGTGTATGGTCAGTGTAAGACAGAGTTACATCTGCATGAAACAAATACTGCCAGAACAGAAATGTTGCTGTAATATCCCAAAGAGAGAAAAAAAGCCAAAACTTGTGGGTTATTTTTCTGCATGCAACTTAAAAACAACAGCACTTGCCACTTGATTTCCAGATAAAGGCAATGTAACCAAGAGAATATTCAACATATGCTGAAAAGCTGAAAGGTCAGAGTTCAACACAGCTTCTCCCCCTCTATCAGAAGATCTCAATCAAGCAACAACATTATTTTACCACTGGAAAGACTCGCTTGAGGCTACAGCCGAATCTAAGCTGCTGCTTTCAGGCTGGTTGACTGCACCCCACATTCCCATACACTAAAGGTACAAGCTAAAACGGTGGAAGAATCAGTTTTGAAATGCCTTCTTACATATCTACCTGTTCAAACCAAGTAAGATTGAAAGCAGTTCAGTTTGTTGCAATGTTGACTACGAAGTATGTCCCATGAAGGCCCATCAGGCCTGCCACAGATGGCACTTGAGCAAGGACCCAAGGAGACGAAACCCAAAAGCTCACTCTTCAGGCAAAACACAAAAAGCTTTGGAAAGCTTTCCTAAAAGAAGCTAATGGATACTAATGGAGTAGATTAAAAATTAAAGAACTGCCATTCCAAAAACACAGGTTATCCAGTATTTGTTCCTTGCTGCATTAAAATAAACTCATTGTCAGCATTATTTATTTATTTTTAACTTCTGTGGTATGATGTTCTCCACTAAGCAAGAAATGTCCCCTTTGCCCTGGTGTGTGTATATTTTTTTGTTTGTTAAAAAAGCATTCAAATGAAATTCAGTTCCCCAGAGCAAAGATAAAGCCAGGGATAGTTTGAGGGTTGGAAGGAGGAGCTGGGACCACTGGCAGTAGGACCTGTTTTACATCATCAGGAACACTGCCAGAAAGCATGCTAACAAACAGCAGTTCTCATCAGACAGTTATGAAATTAAAAATCAGAAGCCCAATGAAAGATTTAGCGGCTCACTAAACTGAACCTCTCAGGCCTGTAAATCAGTCTTTTATATTGAGAACTGTAAATTGTTCTGTGTTCCTGAGCTGAAGTACTGAAAGTAAGGTAAGAGCAGTAGCCTTCATTTCTCCCCCTTCTCCAGGGAAACCTGGACTTTGGTTTTACATTTCCCAGTTTTGAATATACAGAACGGTTCTGAACTACTAGTGCAGCACTGCATTTTGTAAAAAATCTAAAGATAATGAAAACTTTAATTTACTTTGAAAAAGTTGCGGCTTTTGGCAAGGGTATTTTAGGACAATTATTAGTCACACATTTTGTCCTCAACAACACAATGTTGACTTTCAATATTCCTATATTCTTTCTTCTCATCACAATCTAAGTATACAACTTATTCCTTTTTCAATGAAAAAGGTATTTTATGAAAAAACGTTCAGCAACTGCGGATACAAAAACTTTAAAGTCAGCAGTGAAGTCTATTTTTGTGCATTACATACCACTACTAATGTGTCCAAAGGAAAACTAGGTCCAGGAAACTTGCCTATCTTCATTAAGTATTTGTTTGCTGAAAAGCAGAATCTGAGGTGCTGAAAACTACTATTAACAGCACGTACACCACCATTTAATTACTCAGAGCATTTTTAATAAACAGACCAAAGGATATATCAAAGGCATGCTTATTCTCTGCCAACAACAAAAACTCATCAGGACAAAGAAAAAACCTTACTGGCAGCAGTGGATAGTTATTGTTAATTTGCCAAGATTTTCTAGCCGATAGTTTTGATACATACATTCCGAATGTGGTTTACCATTTAGTTTTTGGACTGTTAAGAACACCATTTCAGTACTTTTGGGTTAACTTGTTAATTTAAAGAGAACATAATTTCTGCAGAAATAAATGCACTAACATGTACTATAATCTGAAGTTGAGAAATATCAGAAAGGTGGAAGAAAACCAAATTCCAGAACAATAGATTTAATGTTTAGACACTTTTGATGGAAATAAAAGTGTATTGACGAAGTACGAGGAATGAGAATCAAACAAAAAGGAGCTTTTCAAATCAAAGTACTCCAAGTAATAATTAACTGAAAAGTAAGACTCCTGATTTTAAAACTTGTCAAAATTTAGTAAAATATGACAGAACAACATTGGATTATCACGCTGTACCACCTGAAGAAAGAGGGTATTTCATTGCATAAAGAACACAAGCAAGAAATTCTATAGAATTCAGAAGCAACAAAGACATTAGTTTACAGTACAAAAATAAATGTAAGCTGCTTTTTTTTTTTCCCACACCAAATCCCTTCCAGCGTAGTTCTGTAACACGGTCTGTAAATAACATGGCAAAAAGAAAAAACCTGAGACTGACCACACTGACACCAGTGACATGCAAGACAGCTATGTAAACCATAATCCTCATCTTTTAACTGTCAAAGTCTCACGTTGCCAGCTGGAGTGTTCAACATAAATAAGGTTGCATACCTGAAATCAAATTCTCTGAGTTCACTGATCAGGTTCACAGTGTTGTGCCTCCTAAAACCTTTAAAAGCAATTGTACTAATCTGGGCCTCATGCTGCAGAGTACCCAACTTCCATCCATTCCCCTGCTTCTCTTGGGAGTCTCCTCTAGGCAGGCAGACGGCCAAGAAACTCTGTGAGGGGATGGAGAAAGGATCCATGAAGGCAGGCAATTCTGAGAAATCAAGTTATAGGTATGCAATCTTATTTTTCTCTCTTAAATTGCTCCTTCTACTGAGGACCAGACTAGAAAGCAGCAGTTACCAAAAAAGAAAGGCCAAAGCAAAGATGTGCAGAACAATTTGGAAAAATTGGGGAATTTCAGGTGACTTTGTTTTCTTATTTATCTAAGACTGGAAGAGCAGGTAATGAGAAGTGCCACAGGCAGGAGAAAGTTATCTTCCTTACATACCCTGTAAGTTCTGCCACAACAGTTCATTTTAATTAAATACTACTTTGGTTTGGCTGAACAGAAATTGATGTCTTATTTCTAGTTTTAAAGCCCATCCCTGCCTATAGAAGGAAGTTGTAGTAGGTCAAATAAATGGTCCAGATAGCCCACTAGACTGTTTCAAAGACACACTAAAATCAGAACGGTAGCTTGCAGTAGATACCTGAGCATATGAACATAAACAAATAGAATATTCTACTAGCCTCCAATGATTTGCAGCTTAGAGATCTCCTGAGCTAGAGATAGTGTCTTTGCACTTAGCAGTCCTCAAGTATTTCTCCTCCATGAGTAAACCCACTTTCTCCTTGAACCCAGGCAAACATCCACAATAACCTGCAACAAAGTTCCATTGCTTAACGGTCTTTACACAGGCTTTGAATTTGCTACCTGGCTAGTTTCATTTGTCAGTTCCTAGTTCTAGGCTGGAAGAAATAGCAAACTATTGTTGCTTATTCATTTTCCCTTTATCCCTGATGATTTCAGGCACCTACCATATTCCAGTCATTTTTAACCCCCTCATATTCCTATCCATCTTTAAGAGCACGAAAAGCACTATTCCACATCGCTGTTCTTCATACAGAAGCAGTTCCATGCCTTTGATCGTTCCTGTCACCTCTTCTCAACTTCTTTGCTGTTCTTCTACACCCTTCAAAGTGTGTAAGGAGGACCACAACTACAGATACGAGTCTATGATGCACCCACATCTTGAATACAGTGTTTTCCGTTTCATTGTTTACTCTTTTCTTAATAGTCCACAACAATCAATTTCCTATTTGCTGCTCTTCAGCAAGAGGACAATATTTTCCTTAATCTACTTAACTATAAACCCAATCTATTATTGAGTGGTAACAGCCATGACAGAGGCCATCATTTTATGTTTAAAGTTAGAGTTATGTTTTAACTCAGTCATATTGGTTTACATTACATCACCTGCTAGATTATTGCCAAGAGTCCCAGTCTTGCAAGACCCTTCTGCAATCTATCACAATTGGCCTTTGTTTTTAACAATCCAAATAATTCGGTATTATCAGTAAACTTTGACACACCATTATTTATCTTCAGCGCAAATAAGTGAATGTGTTAAGAAATACAACTCCCAGCACATACTCTTGTAAGACTCCATCAGTAATCTCCCTTAACTGTGAAAATTAACTGTTCACTCTTACTCTGTTTCTTATCTTCTAAGCAGTTATTAACCTAACTGAGGACTTTCTCTTTTATCCCATGGTCACTTAGTTTCTTTTAGAGACTCTGATGGACTTCATTGAAAACCCAAGATCTTATCTACTGCATCTTCAAAGAACTTAGCTAGATTAATGAGACATGACTGCCCTTTACAGGAGCAAAACTTAATTCTTTTCCAGTGTGACAAAAGAATGTGTCCCCAAGAATTTTATTATAACTTCTATTATTCTATCTAGAACAGACATCATTCTTCTGTAATACTCTAGAGAGGTATAAAAACATAACAAGGATGATTTACATGGAAACTGAAAACCATGAGTGGGAGACACTCAGAAGTCTAGTCCTACATGTAACAGTCATTAACCTGGCAGTAGGTGTTCCAGGTTTACCCTACCAAATTAATTTCACATCAGGCTCACTGAATTTGTAATTAGTATTCTTCAACTTGCCACAAGTTAAGCTAGGGTTTCCTCTGTCTGAGATATTACCACCAAAAACAGTGGTGGAACTCAAGTTCCAACCTCACTTACACCAGTCAGCTCAGTGCAAAGCCAGTGGGAATTATTCAGTATATAAGGGATCTACAAGCCTTTGAATATATTCACACACTACCAATCCATTACACTCTGACCTATCAGATAGCCTAGTAAAGTTTTCCATGTCAACCTTTGAGAGACTGAATTCACAGTGAAAGACTGTAATTTCAAAAGGCACAAGAAAGAAGAAACCTTAGCTCCTGCTTCTCTTTATACACTGGCAGCCTGAAGACATTTAGGGAACATCTACTCTAATGAAATAAAGGCCACGTCATAGTCCTCTGGTTGTCCCTACTGCTGGATCTAATTTTAGGGTTGGTCCTGCATCGAGCAGGAAGCTGGGCCAAATGAGCTCTGAGGGTATGTTCCTACCCTAAGTCTTTCTGTGATTCCATTCAGCTGTGAGCATCTCTCTTTCTCAGCCTGGTACTGGGCTCTACTAATAGTTTTGGCCTGTTGTGTTTGAGGCAACATCTGGATGCAGTTTGTGGGACTGCATGGGTCATGAACTGGTCCAAATATGCAGTACGATTGGCAGCATTCTGGTTTGGAGGGGAAGAGGCTTTAGCCATATGGATATGAGCTCTGCCGAGTGACTTGCTGAGCCACAGACCATACTGTGACAGATTTTATTTATGAATGTAGATGTAGCTTTAGTGACTCCTTTGCAGCCATACTATAAATCTGAAAAAAAATCAGGCCTACAATGTGAAGTTTGTGTCTGAAAAGAATATATGTTACAGGGATTTTTCAATCCATTTCTTAACTAGTACTTCACATTTCAAAACATTGAATAAAACACTGTCTAATTAGTCCTCATAATACTTTATGAGGAAAAAAAAATTGTAAGTGGAGGGCACCTGAACAGGAAGCATCAAATTGACATAGCATATGTCTTCTACAATTTTGGAAACATCTCAAGTGTCAGGTGTCACCCAGTGACAGACCTGCAATTAAAACCCCAGAGTTCTTGGCTCCCAATTCCATTCAAACTTATTTCGCTATCAAAGAATTGCAATTCCCTTACAAACTGGCGTCAATTTTGCAAATTAGTCATAAGTCAAATGTGACCAGAAAAGTAAATTGTTCATTGTTAAAGACTTTTACCTTAAACTCTAGTTATACTTTTCTGTTATTTAAAAAAAAAAAAAAAATTTCAGAAATTTTACAAATAGAAAGTAGAGTTCTCTGATCCCAATCAGGTTATGATATGGCAGAACTGATTAGCTAAAAAATTAAGCTGAAAGGACTATTTCTGACCAGCTATTTACTGCTTAAGTATTAGAAATAGTTTACAAAGTACTGTATGATAATGTATTTTCCTTACCCCATTTTCGTTTTGTGAAATAGGCATCAGCACTAGGGTCATTGAAGTGTCTGCTCATCATAGTCTCTCCTCCAGCATGAAAATCATATGCAAACACAAGAGCTTAAAGATAGAAACAGGTGACAATTACTAATGCAAGCATTTAGAAAACAGTCTCAACACATCAGTTAGGGGGGGTAAAAAAAAACCAAACACAAACCAAAAAACTTACAATGTTCTCCAAATGCTTTAGTGGTAAACACTTCACGCAAGGTTACTATATTTGAGTGCTGAATTTTTTTCCACATGTCAACCAATACCATACACTTTGTGTTAACAAGACGAAAACCTATGAAAGAACAAAACCCATGGTTTAAAATTTGATGTTCTGGGGGATAATTTTTTACTTTAAAATTTCTTCTGAAACTACTGAAAAGCAACCAGACATTAAAATATGACTAGCATGCTTAGGAATGCTAGTCCTATTGAGACAATTCAATTTTTCTCACCATGTATCCTCCGAAGGCAATATGGCAGGTCATCTTTACTATTTACAGCTTTGTAGCATGATGTAATGTACCCAAAGTTGCTTGTTTTCTGTATCCGATTGGGTGGTGGCAGTGGTTCCAAAGGAAAGAGACTGTGGTAGCTGTCCACTTCCGCAGGAACTGCTAAACTCAGTTTATACACAGAAACATATTAGGAGTCAGCTGACTTTGAGAAAGTTATTACAGTAGCAGAAAAGATTAAAATGATTGTCATTAACACATAAACCCTTTGCACCATCTTTTAGGTGCATGTAAAGTTAAAATTCACTATTTTTGCTTTAATACCAATATATAGGTTCCTGGAAGAGAGTCTGCAGAGCTGAAGTAACTGTCTTCAGAAAAACAGTTACACCAAGTAAAATCAACAGAATAGATGCACAGTTCCATCTGCCATTTTCTCATTTGTCTTAAAAATTCACCCTTCTGAATGACCTTTCTTTGGTGTTTTTTTTCCTGCACAGACTCATAAATAAGCACCAATTTCCATACAGACTTCATACCACTGTAAGAACCCCATTTTCATCACAAAAAAGCAAATCTGAATCCTCCATGTTTTAACACACTGGTTTAGAAAAAAAGGGGGGGGTGCTGAAGATTTACAAATCAGATTAAGAGATCACCCCTGCAAGAAAAGATACACTTGTACTTCATCTGGATTAGTAAACTAAACTGCGTTTTTTTTCCTGTATCATTATCATATTAAGCACACATTTGAGAATTAAGGATACTGCAACCAAAAAAGCTATCTGTGAACACAGTCAATTGTAAATTCTCCAAAAGCCAAATGACAATGAATAGCATATGCTTCTCTTGCCTGACTAGTACAAAGCCTTCTCTGATACAGCAAATTAGTTTTAAAGCAAACTGGCTGGTAGCTTATACAGTTTATGTGCAGCCTTTGAAAATATATGCATCCTTTAAAAGGAATACCTAATATGTACAAAGCAATGCAATACTGTTCCTCATGAGGCTTTATTGCCTTAATGATTTTTCCTTCCTCAGCAATTTTAAGTATTCCCAACCATTAAGGAGTTTCAAAGCAGAAGAAAATTACAGAAGAAAAAGAGAATAGAAGCAAGAAACAAATTTCATATTTCTGAAATACTTTGTATCTGGTTATTCACAGCCCAGGCTGATGATTAAGGCTTCAGGAAAAATTAAAAACAGTTGGTGTTTTTTGCAAGATGTTGTTAATATTCTTGAATATGCATGGTTGCAGAACAATATGATCACAGTTTAGTTTATAAGAAACACTTACTTACCAGGTATATCAGCCTGATCAATCTGGGCCATAGTTATTAAGTGTCTGTTGATCAGTTCCTGAATAACAAATTAAGTCAAGTTTTGAACATTATAATTTCAGTTCATCATTTTTCATAAGTTACCAGTACACTGTCTTTGAAGTACCAGCTACTTGTACTAAAACAGGGAGTTGATGCAAGTGTCCAGGGTGGGGTGGGGAAGACCACCACTAACTTGAAAACGTTAATGACAAAATACAGAAATTCTTGAAGGAAGAAGCTGCGGAAAACACATTAGCTAGAGCTAGCATTGACAGAGGCACCTACTACAATAAAGCTGAAATAAATAACAGTCACAGCCAGCCCTCAGAGAAGGGCTCACCAACTAACACCTGCATATACTTTCATTTCAGTGAAAGACTTTAAAACCGGGTAGGATTACAGCTTAAAGGAATGCTACATAAATGAACCCATGCACACCAAAACAATACACAAGAAGTAAGAATACTTAGCTGAATAGTAAATCACAGCATGCAGGTTAGATTGCAGTCACATATGTTGTAACCTGCTCCCACTCTCTGTTGTACTCCATCCATTACAGGACTTGATTTTTTTTAAATTCTCCACAAGGAAAATCGACTAGTGGCTATTTCTCTTCTACTATTAGCGATTTTCTAGTTTTTGCCAAGATAGGCAATTTTCCTTTAAATTCTCTATCATCTTACCTGTCTGAGCTCATCTGCCATGAAGAAGGAAGGTGCATTTGCTTTTGGCTGCATGTAAGCAACATGAGGTGCAGCTGGATGGTAAATGTGGTAGTTTGGAAATACCTGAAAACAAAACATTTTAAGCAGCAGTTTAAAATCCTTAAGGATAGGGAAAACAAAGAGTTTTGTCACTGTTTTAGTTTGAACTATAGAACTACGAAGTCTTCATGCGCAATACATTACAAAAATACTGTCAGATACATTACAATTTCCTTATGCAATATTCGCTACTAATTATTTCAAGGGGGTGTGCGTATGTATGTAAACAGTTATTTCAACATTTTTCTAACTGCCTTTTCCCCTCCACTGTAAATTTAAGAGTTATTTAACCTACCAGACCAAAAAAAAAACCAACCTGAATTTTTTATGTTTTTTCATTACATATGTATCCACTGACACATACATAAAATGCTGTCTTTCTACTGCTGTATTAAAAAACCCAAAACTCTACACAGAAGTAAATGAAAACACATAAAAAATTCTCTGGTCCTTAAATTTCAGTGATTTGGGGGAAAATCACAACAATTAAAAGGCCAAATCTTCATAGAGAATAAGGGTTTCAGAGTGTTAAGAATAATCTCTGTAGCATCAACCAATTCAGCATTTGGAAACTCCATACAGTTCTGCATCGAAAGCAAACATACCATTCCTGTGAGAGGTGCTGGAGTTGTATCAGTGTAGAAGTATGTTGTTCCACCCACTGTTTCCTTCTGGATCACCTGGCCAGTAGACGGAGGCTGAGAGACAGCGTTAGCAACAGAAGCAGAGGCACTAGTAGGCACCATATAGTTTGCTGGGTTAGGAGTATGACTTCTTCTTCGAGGAGCAGGAGATGTATGAGGAGTTATTTTGGGGGAATGAAGAGGTGAAGATCCTGCTGACAGTGACATTCCTTAAAGAAACACAAGGAGATATTCTTGATCAAATCTGTCATTAAAAAAAAATCAGTAATTTGAAAAAAAAGCAGCCTTCACTACCAATAACATGATGAACAGGTGAGACACTTAAGGATTGCTACATCTATACGAAGAGTTAAGAGGTAAAACATTAAGAGCAAGACTGAACAGATACATTTTCCCACAAATCTTTGCATAGTTCAGAGAGAAAGGGCTTGGAAACTTATTATCTATATATGAAGAACTGGAATAAAAGATGTAGAAGTAGTAAAAAGGGGGAGAGGAATCAAATTAATGCTGTGTGTAGAAGAGAGTTTATTAAACTGCAAAAAGATAAAATATTAATGACTATATAAGCAAATGTTTACGTAAGTTACATGATCAGTCAATGGAGTTTGCCAAGCTGTAACTCATTTCACCTAATTACATGTGTACCTTCTACTAGAACCAACTCCACAGCTATAAATGAGTTAGATCTCTAGTAACTACAGCACACAAATAAGCAATGCACAATATGCTACTTTTAATAATTTCAGGGGAGAAATTACCTATTTTCCTATAATTATTATATTCACAAATCATCCTCCAAAAGATCTATTTGACTTGTAAAGATTGATAACTTCTCAGAATATGAAGTCTATTAGGCATTCATGCTGAGATTTTCAAATTTATTTAAAATTATTTTATTGACTGGTGTTCACCTTCAACATTAGACAGGTAACTCAACTGAAACTTAAGAAACTCAGCGTCTAAACAAAGTGCATCAGTGGGGAAAAACAAGGGCAACTTTTTTGCATACATACTTTTTAGTTACCAAAAACTAGTTTAGTTACTTCAAGAGTCATTGTATGCAGAATTCTCAGATATGCTTATTTATCAAAGTTTAGATGTCAAAGAAACCTTCCAGGGTGACAGAGAGACTACCCTTCAGAAAACTCCTAGTATTACTAGTAGAAGATCCTAGATATCTAGGTATTCAGATGAATATGAAGGAGAGCATCTACAAAACTTACTGTTGCTCAGTTCAGATTGGGATGTACTTTCTCTTCCTTAACAGTCAGAATTGTATTAGTCATACTAAATTCTTTTTTTGAAAGGATATAAGATACACAACATATTTAATGCTCTATGGACAGTTGAGAATTCTTCTCTAATTAAGAATTCAGTTAGTTGGTACTCAGATATTTGTTTAAATTACTTACATTTATAAGCTCTGGTTACCAGAGCAAGAGCAGCTTTTTTTTTTTTTTGCATACACACTTCTTAGTTACCAAAAGCTAGTTTAGTTACTTCAGTCAAGAGTTATTGTATGCAGAGTTCTCAATATACATCATCAGTAATGTGTAGGAGTGTTTTTACACTCATGTTTTATCTCTACAGTAGCTGCACCCCTCCTACATTTACTACTTTTTTTTTTTTTTAAGACAAACCACAAAAGCAAATAACAATTTTAGTATTAACAGTTTAACCAGCAGTTGGGGAAAAATTATTTTGAAGCTGTATTATCCTAATGATATTAACAGAATATTTGTATATACCTCCAATCATTTACTTTTTTGACATATCAGAAACTACGTGTATTAATTCAGCACAATTATTTCTTTTGTTCTTGAAAAGTGAATAGTTACAACAAAATTACAACAAGACCATTTAACGTAAAACATAAGAAAATCTTACATCTTTCTCTTTAGATGGGTGTCTCCAGGCATTTATTCTTTTTATAAAATTTTAAAATATAAACTAGAAGAATAGAAGAATATGAAAATATAAAGTCTAGACTTTTCTGGGCCAGAACTTTTCTTTATATTAATACATGTACATGTGTGTGTACACACACCTTATAGATAAGCTATATTGTGGAACAATTGCTTGCTGATTAGTGTATTAACTTAAAATGTGAATTATAATAGGCACTTCTGAACGTTTGACTTTTAAAGCAGTCTCCTAAAAATCCATTTACAAATCAACTGTATGTCCATAAAATGTTACGCATTGTGACAGCGCTGTTTTATGCTACAAAAGAAATTAAGTTTCCATTAAGGTAAAAGTTGCCTTGAGTGACTAAGACTTAAATATTTCAATAGCTACTGTAGAGATGGTTACATTTAAAAAAAAAAAGACTAAAACATGAATGCATTCTTAATCCACTGTGGGAAAAGAGCAATTTCAAAGGAAACAATATATTACTATTAAAATTTGAAGGATGGCTAATTAAAATGGCCATAAAACTGAAGCAGCTCTACAATTTGTGTCTATGATGTTCAAGGGATTCTCTTCATCTAAGGAAAGTTATTGACATGTCTTTTTCACTCTATTCCAATAAAACACAGCATTAACTGAAGTCCTTGTAAGCATGTAAACTCTACCCAGACAGAAATAACTGGCTTCAAGAAACTTTTTTTTCAATAAAACATTCAACTGTAGGAACCAGGAAAAACACCCAGCAGCCTTCATAAATACTAATGAAATATTAACCGAAGACCTCTCTACTTTAAAATAAAAAAAGCATGTATAAGACAGTATACTGTAAATCTTATCTTCGAAATGAAAGTGATGACTTGCAACCTTGCTAAAATTATATTGCGACCTTCTACTGAAAGTTTCCCAGGGCGGGGGGGGGCATCTATCACTAGCGGTTCTTACTGATACAATTTCAAACAATTTCCACTGTAAGATTTACTTTTTAAAAAATCCATTCCTACCAAAGAATAGTTACAAATATAAATCCTTAATGTCTTTGCTTGGGTATTAATGCAAGATTGAAAGAAAAGGAAGACAGTCAGAGTTACACAAATCCTTTCAAATGCCCGTCCAACCTCAGTTAGGTCTGATATTGGAAGGACATCAAGAGTACAATGAAAATCATCTGGTGGGCAGAATATACAGGCTTCTCATTTTCCAATATACATAATAAGTTCAAGATATGAAAGAAGCTTGACTACAGTTTGGTTTTATACTACTAGAACAATATACTACAAGTTACGAGAAATTTGCTGCTAGTGCTGCTGTGGGTACCAACAGACTGAGGCAGCAGATATTCAAGGTGATAGATTCTTCCGAGCGACCTGCATTAAATTCTGCCGAGTCTAAATAAATAAGTAATAATTAAAAGTCTAATATCATATAAAAAAGAAAAAAACTTTTAATACAGTAAAACTGATGCATAGTAAGTACTTACAGAACCAAATAATTGGGTGCACAAACTCAAGCAGATCTCACCAACTTCATTAGTATTTCAACCAGTTAAAACCTTACTAATATTTATATTTAACCACAACAAAATAGAATTAGAGGAAAATAAAGGAAAACAGCTGTATTAAAATGGTGAACATATTCCTACTGACTCATACTGAAGGAAAAAGATGGTACTTCACATATGATGGTAACAACATGGTGAATGAATATGGAACCACCCCTCACAGAATCAGACATGCTGATTTAAATAGCACCATTTATTTAAACACTTATTCACTTAAGGGCCTAAGAAAAAATTGGATTTGAATAATTTAATTATGATTATCATACCAGTGACCCTGACAAATAAATAACAGCTTTAAGCTTTCCTTATAAGACAGTTTAGTGTTCCCCTATATTAAAATGCCAACAGGAGCATTAAGACAAACACCAAAAATCCTGCTTCAAATTGTCCTTCCTGAGACTTATCTACTAGTAAAGGTGGGTCTCCATTCCTTGTCTCACTGAATATTAATACCCTTCACAAAGAAGTCAAACACTATCTTGAAAAGTAAACTAAAAGGAGAAAGGGCTTTTTTCACTTCACAATTATTTACATCTAAAAAACACTGTCATGGTGTACAGCTATCATGGTATCATACTAACATGGAAATGGCTGTGGGATTTGAAGGTCTTTTCACAATGTTTGCAGTGACTGTACAGGCTACCTACACATACCTGGAGCTCCTGCTGCTATTCTCATTTTAGGTAGAGAAAGAGGTCATATTTACATATCCCTCTTTATTATTATATTTTCACTTCTTGCATCGTTTTTTATTTTTGAAGTTTCATTGTGACTGAGGAAAGGGAAGTGGTAGACTTTGAAATTCATTTGAAAAAGTGCTCAAAGATATTTTATGAGATTAACGCTTCTAATAAAGCTTTGTAGCATGCAATGTATTCAAATTAAAAGCTAGGTTGTATTTTGAATCTGAGAACTCATACAGAAAAACAGAATCAAAGAAAGGGCATCAAGCATGATCTCCCATTAAGGACTCAGTGTCTACAGTTTTTTTGATTCAATGGAAGTTTACAAGTTAATGAAGCAGGATTTCATTAAGCTCATGTGTATACAAATCAGCTGGCCTACAACATAATTTTTAAAAAACAGAAATCCAATAAATGCTCTATAGATACTTTCTTACCTTTGCCTACAAATTTACTCATCTACAACCATACACCTATGCCTCTAAGGCTCTTAACACATTCAGAGGTCAAAAATTAAGCTTTTACCATTTTATTACTATAATGTTTTGCACTTTAGAGATACTCTAGACTACTAGGTACATTTTGAGCAATGGCTAAACTGAGGAAATAATAAAACCAGACTATTTCAGTAACTTCTTTCAAGCAGCATCCTTAAATTCACTATATATTTCTTTTTATTATAAGCATTCTATCAGGTCATTGGCATTATAGCTGTGTATTTCCAAGTTAATCAAATCTGCTTAATTCCCTAAACAACTTTAGAGTCCAAGTTCGTTCTTCTCAGTTTTATTTGGGATAAAACTAATTTTACAATCTCTTTGCCTTCTTCCTCTCTTGTATTATTCTGGCATGACTGTGGAACTTTCTCAGCAGAATGGCTGCACCATACTTGATACGGGAGGTTGGAAGAAGCTCTCGGTGCCTTAGGCCACTCAAACCACCTCAGCTGAAAGTGGTCCATTTCCAGCTGAGGTCATGAGCTCCGAGAACTATACTTTCGTAGCCCGTCACGAATGGAGATGTGTGAACTGGACACAAGCACATCACCTTCATGCTCCTGGCTCCTAAGCCTGCAGGTCCAGACTGGCAGCAGAAATAGGATTCCTTGGATTCTGCATAAGCTCAGAGCCTGTCTTGAACTAAATACAGAAGCAACAGCAATTTGCTGTCATTTCCATTGATGACAAAGGCATCGCTCTTCAGCTATAACCTACCTTAAGCAAACCCAAGCCAGACAAAGATTTTCTCTGCTAGGGGCTAAACAGCTGTTGTCTCTCAAGTTTAACACAGCAATGATGTCTTATCACTTCAATGACATTTATGAATTTCTTTCATATGCTTTGCTGCATATTTTAATGGTGCTATTACTCTGAAACCACTACACAGAACTGGATAAGCTAAGCTTGTTAGCGAAAGTACTATTTGAAGACTGTCAACAACTCACTAAATTTCCCATACAAATGATAAACAAAATGTGTTTGCTAGCAAGGGAATGGAAGGAAAAAGTAGGGTATCAGCCAGGGGAGCTTAAAGGAAGAAGGTTTGGAGAGGGTGAAGGAGATCTGTTCAAAGCTCTTCAATAGGACAATTTTCTCCAGCTATTTGTGTAAGTTGCATTTTATCTCAGTATGTTTTCATATTCTATTAAAGGCTACCAAGATGAAGACTGACTCTGTGTTGAGATTCTGCTAGAAAGCACTTATCTGAGTAAACACACTTAACAGTGGGAGTAACCTTCTTCCACGCTACGCCCTAATAGATATGTCAGGTGTGGATACAAGAAGTTATCTATTAAAGTATGTTAGGTTTCAGTTGTCATTTTTTCCAGTATTTCTGCAGTACTGTTGATAAGACAGGCAGAACAAATATTTTCCAGGGACAATCAATTTTGTGAACAGTTATCTATGAAATACTAGATGTCAAAAGTGGTTTTGATTCACACCTACCTTTAGGGAAATCTCAGAAATTAGTGATGTGAAATAACTTAATTTTTTTCCATCCTCAAGATGGAAATCAAAGGATTGTTCTCATCATTTACCTACTTTGTTATGGGTGAATTAAACTATGGAGCTTTTAACGTATTATTACTACTACATTTCCTTATTTCTTATGAAATATTCATTTTCTCCAGTACCCTGTAAGCTACTATAAGCAATCTTAATGTCATGCAAATGCTTAAATCTTACACATTTCCTGAAAGTTATTCTACTGGAGAATACACACGATTTAACTGGAAGGAGACTTACCTTGATTTAAAGGAAAATTCTTATAAACTCTTTACACGGGTTTCACTTGAAATTGTTTTCACTTACTGAAAGCTAACAGATCCCAACAATAATTTTTAATGACAATTTCAATCTTTTTTTATGCTGTTATCCAGTATGACCTAAATGGTGAAGTTTCCCCATACATAAATACTGCTTTCTTATTTAAGAGCCTAATCTTTTAGAAAGAGCACCTCCTAACTCACCTTGAGTAACAAAAGTTTTTGTGGATGTATACTATTGACAGCTAAACCATTTATTTAAGTGTCTATGAGTATTATTTACACAGGACATTTAGGTTCAGAGAATTCTGCACTCAGTGTAGAGAAAGAACCTTCTAGAGAAAGCCAACCCAGATCCCTACTCTGAACTATATTCTCTTTTTAATTATACAGGAAGAGCAGGGAAACAAGCCAACTTTGCCTGAAGTTAGCTCTTGTGAATACTCCCCCATCCCTCTCATCCATAAACAATAGTATTTGAACCTAAACAGTCTTCAGCAATGGTATCTATATTTCTAGCAGCTCAAATTGTTGTAAGAACTTCTTTCATCAACAGTGTTACTTATCCTTTCAAGTATTACTTACAGATAGTAAAGAAATTGGACTGTGAAGGATCCCTCTGAGACCCCACTGGACACTTTCCAAAAGTAGATCATTTTACTGTATTCTATTTAATCCTTTATACACTTTTCAATCCAGGTGACAAGGCTGAGAGGCATATAAACACAACAGTTTTCCAATAAGACTGTACAGCACAATATAGTATGAATCAGACACAGTACTGCAACATGTTCATTTGGTCAGAAGAAGCATCAATCACTTTCCCAGTCTGTTCCGATGGTTATAACATGCGAGCTAAGTGCTGGCTTCTTTCACATTGACACTGACATTTATCCCCTGGCATCAGAAAAGACTGAAGTTCAGTTTAATAGATGGTAATTGTCAATATTGGTTTAAAAAACCCAAACATTTACAATATTTGCCTCTCTGCCTTTTGGCAGCTACCTAATGCTTCTTGTCCGTCACAAGAAATTGCTGAAGGTTTAAGTACGTACGGAAACTTGCTAAAGGATCTGCGATGTGTAATACCCAGATCTGCTGATGGTTATATCTTAAAACTATTTCATTTTATTTAAAAAAAAAAATAGAATTAAGCTAACTTTTTAACGTCAGAAGTCCAAAAGATGCATGAAGAGCTTGAACTTTTTAAATGTTAAAAAAAAAAAAATCTCGTCACTTAGAATTGTATGAATGCATGGAACACATTTCAGTAAGAGTTTTAAATGTGGGAAATAATCAAAAATTAATCTTAAAAGTGAGATTACATATGACAGATACAATAACAATTAACACTACTTTGCAAGGCAAATTATTTTAGAATAAGTTTATCTTCTACTATTTGTTTTTCCATGAAGATTTTTAAGTCCTCATATATACCCATTAACATTGAAAATAATTACTTCTAGATTACATACTCTAGAAACAAATCAAAACAGCAGATCAATGTGTGGTAATCAGAGCCCATATTAATTGTAGACTGCAGTGCATTTCTAGATCTGGGTAGTTTAAATCATCTTCAGGTACTGCTCTGGCAAGGACCACATACAGCACAGTATGTGATAACTCAGCACCCTTTTCCCCAAAAAGAGCAGACGAGAAGTTACACTGAGTTGATTTCAGTGCTGCTGTGGCTAAACAGATTTCACAGCCTGCAGTGTGATTTCCATACTATTAGAAGATAAATCCCCAGTTCCTGCACTTTGATATGGTTGAAGACTGTCTTAAAATTAAGAGCTAAAGAAGGAGGTGGCTACATTTATACCCGATAAACCTGATCACTATCTATACAGGATTATGTTTGACATTAACTTAAAAGAAGCAACTGTACTGCAAATCATTACTCTCAACTTACCTGGTGCTAGCCCAGCAGTAGCAGGACTTCCCATGGAGGGGTGAGAGAACAAGGCTTGAGAGAAGGCAGACATACTTGACTGGGATACATTACTCAGCCTGGAGGTTGATCCTCCTTTAGGAATAAACTCACTTGCAGAAGGATTTGGTGTCTGTTTAAAAAACAAATGTAAATTAAATGTTTATTTTAAACGTGAAGAGATGGACAGTGCCTATTTGGTAGAAAATAGTTTGAAGCAAGCCTACTGAGTGCAGGGGATATTTAAGTTACATACAGCTTGCTGACAAGAACAGCAGATACTGGAAGCTGGTCTGCACAAACAAATTTAAACATGTTTCTAGCTTATGTCTGAAGTAGCATTAGCTTTCCATATGAACAGCTGATGTTTGTTCATATAAACACTTTGCAAAAAGGCTTTCCATAAGCATTACATTATAAAGTTGGAGAACAGACTTGGCACTGAGAAAAGCCTTGCCACTGCTGCACAGACTGCTCCTACGTGACTTTAGAGACTTCATCTCAAACTAAGTAGCAGTTTCAAATTAAACCAGTAAAAATGATTCCTACCAAAGAAGTCACCCCTGCCTCTATTTCAAATAGGCCTATAAGGTGTTTTTTGTGAAGCTAACTTCTGTTTTTGTTATATATTCCATTTATGTAGCACCTTTAATAATGAGGTTTAATTTGGTACCACAAATAGCAGCAGAGTGACCATCAAACATTCAGTATTTATTAGTACATAAAACATATCACACAACCAACTTTTAATTTCTATTAAAATCTGTGCACAAGTTTTTTTAGGTTGGGGGTGGGGGGGAGATGTTTGTTTTGGGGTGAGTTTTTTGTTTGTTTTGGGGTAGGGAGGATTAGAAAAAGAAAATCCTAACTGGAGCTCAGAAGAGCTCAAAAGGCAAGCTTACTATTGGACAGCCAATCACAAAAGACATTAGTGGAAGAAAAAAAAATATTAAATTAAGCCAAGAAATAAAACCAATTATTACATGAACACAATGAAGATTATCAACTCTCAAAGTTAAGTTTATTAAGTAATCTTCAGAGTACTTCTCAAAAGTGTCTAAACAAAAGAGGTAAAATGAGAAGATACTAACAACTCCCAATAGACAAAGGATACCGTTAAGAAAATACATAATGTTTTTTTAAAGCAAATTATGTTGGATCACTTTGGGTTTAGGCACTTTTTAAATGACCAAATATATCAATTATTAGTTAAATTACCAATATTGATTTTTACCATTATGAATAAAGTGGCATCAGAGAAGTTAAGGCAGTGCCAAATTAGAAAGGAAGTGTGATTACAAAACACTAATTTAGACAGTAAAGTATTTGAAAAAAAATGTTTTTGTGTGTTAATTTGTTTTTAATAACTTTATTTGAATACTTCAGCCAAATATCATAGTATTAATGTATTTCAAAGCACTGGAAAGGAAAGAGGATTCTAGAAGCTGTAAAATTAAAGAGGATGTTCAGGTTTAAAAGCAAATAGTAAGACTATTCCACCTTTAATCACACAGTAAATTTTAACCGCTAACCACCTTATGATGTTACATATTAGTCATTCTATATGTGCATGTGTCTGAATATTCAAACAGCTACAACCAAATATGTAGACCGGTGAAGTAGAACACTTAGATTTACATGGGTAAAAAGTTCGTAAGAATCTTAAAACCCTTCAATCACTTTTAGTTAAGGAAAACTTGCTAAGGTATACACTAATGCAGCAAGACTAATGGTAAGTTGCATCATACAGACTGAAAACAAGTAACTGATACATTTAAACTCAAAAGGTAATATTCTGGACCTATCCGAATTTCAGGTACAGGAACAACTAAGAGAATGGTGTTCCTCTAAATAAAACCTGGCATGCAACAATTCAACCCAATCTGCACTGAAACTGGAGAAAATGACAGGTGGTAAAGAGCCAAGTAGAATTTGTCCAAATAGCAATACAGCCGAAAAGTCATCATCAACCAAAACAACTGGGAGAGCAAGGCACAGAATTTGTAGCGTCTTGTTAAAAGCACATACTTTCAAAGAACTACATGAGATCCACATTCTTCCACTGCTAAAACTAGCCATGACACTTCTACAGATCTACCATACCTAAATACTGTGTCAACAAGGCGACAAGAGCAGGACATAGCAAAAAAACTGAAGCATTCAAGTGGAGAGAAAGACACCTTCTGGAAGATAACCTCAGCCTTTCCTAGACCAACTGAGAGAGTTCCCAAAATTCCATCCATACCATTCTGGCTAAACTCTTACCACTTTCATCAACTGATTCAATTAATGCCTACAGAACAGGTCTGCTTTTTCTTTCTAAATGCATTCTGCAACTTTTCGTAGACCAGTTTTGGTCTCTAAAAGTTACTTATATATCCATCATCATTTTAAAGTGAAGCTGCTTTAGAGCTCCACTTTAACTGGTAGGTATTTTAATTTATCCAAGTGAGAGTCAAACCCAGGAATCTACTAGAGCAGTTTGGGTTTATGCTGTAGAATTACAAACAGCAGTGGGTCAAGCCTGATGGAAATTAATTTTTCATTCCATTTTTTGGTGTCACAATTCAGGATCAGAATCAAAGCCTGATAAGATTAAGTTGTTTCTATATGACTTTGATGAAAGCTTTTTATATGAGTTAACAGCTGTGATTTGCACAGGTAGACCCTTTACTACAAAAGCCCGTTTTGCTTCTCTGTGATGTTACAAATGTGAAGCTGTAATCCAAGACTTTCCCCATTGCTAAAAAAAGCAATTTAAATCTTGGTTCCAATTTTAAAAGACCCTTACACATTCAAGCTGTTTTCTAAATACAGAAAAATACCTGAGCTCCACGGCCACCAGACAGAATATACTAATCATAAACTAGTACAACGAAATTTAATAATTTGTGGCCAAAACTAGTTAATAGTTTGTCAGAAAATTTGAAGCTAAGCCCCAGGCCATGTTTAAATATGTTACATCTGTGTGAAGCTGCAGTTCTTAAAAGGTTTCAAAAAGCATACAAGTTTTCATCTGGAGTAAAACACTAATTTTTCTGCATACACTTTGCTTCCAACAAAATAATAAAAAATGTAACATTTTCATAGCATGTAGGCTAGAATAAGTGACTAGACTAGCCTAAGTGAGGGAATGGAATACCCCTATTAGTTCTTTAATATTTAATTTTTTCATTATTTTTCAAACTTTGTCGACAACCTATTCTGCACCACTAAGCATGCAAATATGTCAAAATTAGGAAGCCACATTCTTAATGGCCAATGATTCAAAAATTTATGTTCTTGGTCTGGAAAAATATCCTACTTTCACCCTGGCAACTCATAATACAAAGCATAAATTCCAAGCCTGGTAGGCTTGAAAATCTGTCTAGAAGGGGACTATGCTTTAAAATCCTACAGGGCATTTTTACAGTTTTTCTGTTAGAATCTTACCAAACTTCCCAAAATGAAGTTGAATAAAAAAAAAATTTACATTTTTATAAGAATGAAAATAATCTATATCTAATTAGTAAAAAACATTTTCTTCATTTTATATTATGTTTAAATTTCCCACAAGCACAGCTTTAAAACAGTTTTCACTTAATTAGTCATTAACTACTCATCTCTGAGTAAGGTAACTTATTCATGCTAGACCAGGCTTAGAATTTTAATTCTGAGTAAATCAGGACTGGTAAAAAAAGGTAGAGAAAACAGTTATTGAAGACTTCTACTAAACCTTGGGAGTAATTAAAAAAATGGAGATGAAAGAAATACTTAGAGGACATGTAACGAATTATGCGATACTGATGTTAAAAACAAAAGCAGTGAATGCACTTTCTAAAGCCCAAACAAGAAACACAAAGACTGCCAGCACTGTCTGCACTATGCAACAAACTAAAGACTCTATTTCAGTTTCAAATGCAAATGTCCTATAAAAAGGCACACACAAAATTATTTCAAAACATTAACAAGTTTTCAACAAAGGGCATTAAACAGAAACAAGTACAGCTGTGTCAGCTATGTTAAATTTTTCTAGCAACCCACCCAAAGTAACTTCCAACTCGTACATTTGCTAAAATTACCACTTCTTTTTCCTCTCAACCTGGCCAGTTTAAATCTCATCCCCCTTCTTCCAGTATATTTGTAAAAATACTGTCAAACTAAAGCAGGGAAGCAACTTCCCTAGGCATTAGCTGAATTAATATCTGCATCATGCATTCTTACCAGAATGATTCCATAAAGAAATCTCACTAAAATACCCTATTTTCAGATTCTTTATGTCTATGCTCTCTCAAAGAGAGAAGAGCCTTTTCTCAGTCAGCTTTGCAGAGAAACTTCCAAAGACAGACCACAAAACTGAGTCCATCCAGCTCCACATACAAAACCAATTTCTATACTTCCATACATCAGAGAATGCAAAGTGTTATAAAACACATACAAGTACAGTCTAAATGAAGGCTGAATTTAGTCATGATGCAATTAGTAAGGATGGAACCACAAGAGAAGTTAAAAAGCAGGGGAAGACTACAAAACAACTCATTTGTGTCACCATTCAGCACAGTTTATCTGTCTGGTGGCCTTTACACTTTTAGAGATATAAAAGGAAATACAATTAAAATATAGTGCAGAGGGGAAGAAACAAATATTTTGTGGGTACCACCAAAAAATAATTCAAGGCTCCTTAAAGGAAGCTGCAGATGAAAGTGAAGAGCAAGCCAAGGATCTCAGCTGAAGACCATCACTGGGAGGACCGCAGAGCAGCATGCAGCATTACTGTATGTTGAGGAATCACAGAATCATAGAATTGTTTAGGTTGGCAAAGACCTTTAAGATCATCCAGTCCAACCATTAACCTAACACTGCCAAGTTGCACATATCAACAGATTTCCATAGTCCAGAAGTAAGATGAAAATTCCTGTTTCATCAACTATTGATTTCAATACATACACTTTTTTCTCTATGCTCCTCAGTGATAAAACTCCTAAGGCCCCACTGCTGCATTCACTCATAAATGAATCCTCAAAGCACCATGGAGTACTGAACTATGCTGTAACACAGGGATGCACAAGTTACGGAGCCTTTGGAAGGCCATGCAGGGATCCCACAGGAGTACTGGAAACCACCCTTCTCTCTCTCTATTTCCAGTTCAGCATCTCACTACACAGAGCTGCACAGCAGCGGCAGAGCCTCCACCTCTGTTTCAGTGGCTATAACGCTACTCCATTAGAACAGTCCTGGTCCCACATTCTACCAAAGCCATCTACCTAAAGCAAAAAGTAGGCCAATTTAATTTTATTTTGGAAGAATGTGCTAATGTACTTACCTCGCTAAACACTGGACACAAGCCTTTTTGTTCTTTTTTTATGTTCTCCTTCACCTCCAAGTTCATACTGATCTGTTCTGACATCCCAAATTGCATAATCCTGTAATGGTTACAGAAAACCACCACTAAACTATACCCATGCTATAAGCAGGGCAGTCCTCTACCAGTCTATTTTTGGCATAGTCTTCAGAATATCTCTTAGGAATCCAAAAACATGCAAAAATGTTACTTGTTTTTTTATGTGTGCGGGGGGGTGGTTGTTGTTTTGAGGGGTTTCTTTGTTGTTTTATAATGGCCAGATGTGCCATACAGGGAGCTTCACTTTACACAGACAGCATTGCCACAACCCCTCTGTTTCCAGGAGAATTCCTTATTAACTATGACATCAGGGAAGGATGCATTCTAGGATGTCAGAGCAGCCCAGCAGACACTGGAGGTCACCAAGGGCTTCAAAGCAA